GTGCCACACAATTTTTTGTGTCTGCTACAGTAAATCACTCGTCCACTTATCCTGCGTTCTCCTTTATAGAAGGTGGAGAAATAGAGAAATGCATATTTAGTGTTTTTTGGTGTCATTATGCCATCCCCTAGTTTTGCATTAATTCAGCAGAATAAGATTAGGTATCTACTTAGATAGAGGCCTCACTTCAATACAGCCAATCAAATCTTGCATAAAGCAGTGACGTTAGTGTTCAATCATAAGCAGAACAGATGTCACACTGACCCAGACAGCAGCCTGCTAAGACCCACAGATTCTGAACAACAACCCACATTAGCTTCCTGCTAAAGTCTCCTTGAACGAGAGACCATACCAACATTCACAGAGGAAAAGTGCACAGCTAACAGTCAGCTATAGCTAATTAAATAGCATGTGATTTGCATACCTGCAAATGTCACTTGAGTCTAGTTAGATGCTGTCGTGGTCCTTACTCTTCAACACCACTAACAACACACTTTCTGTCCATGACATGTAAGCTACAGTTTGTTTATGTGTCTCTTATTCAGACAAAAACTAACGAATGCATTATTATCTATGAACAATACATTTAAAAACACATCAACATTATTTTTGACTGCATAAAGGGATAATTAAATGTGATTTTAATTAGACTTTAAGAGGTGATATACCAAAAAGGCCGAGAACCACTGTCTTATGTAATGATAAACTCATTATCTTTAGGTTTCTGAGTGTATAGCCCAAGTAATTATTTGATTACTGTATCAGCCTAAATAAAAGACAATCCAGATTTTAAGATACCTTTTTAAACCTTAATTCCAGTAAATAATATTGTATTATATCAATACGTTTATCACAAAAATAATGATCAGATTAATCAATAATGAATATCATTGTTGGATGCTGCCCTGTATATTTATACAAACTGATGTTTCCTGAACTAATGTGTTTCTTGTTTCTGTCTGTCTCATCCCGTCCTCCAGCCACGCTGCAGAGGTGATGGAGACAGCAGGTTGGAAGTCCATGGTGGCGTCCCATCCACACCTGGTTGCCGAAGCTTACCGCTCCCTGGCTTCGGCCCAATGCCCTTTCCTCGGACCCCCACGCAAGCGCCTCAAACAATCCTAACAGCCTCACGGCGAGGCGTCTACTACTCGTGCATATACACACACATGCATACACACACAAAAACACACAGATTCCCATTCACAGGGACAACTTTTCCCCTTGCTGTTACCTACTACACTACCTACAGCCTCCCCCGAAACTCCCCCTTCTGCCCCATTCAAACCTGCTGTATTTAGTCTCTTCTAAAGATGGAGGGAATAAGATGGAGGTGGAGGAGGAGGAGGATATGGCAGAGAGGGGCAGGTGGGCTCATGAAGTGGATGTTTGTCGTTTACAAAAAAACCACAACACCCCTCCCCTTTTCTCCTTGGCTCTGGCTTAGTGAGGTCTGACGTTGTGCTCTTTTCCGTATGTGAAGTTAAATCCTTCGACTTCCTGTTAGTTCCTACTTTGGAATCCGTTCGGGAGGAAGAACTGGACACAATAAGAGCCAAACGTCTGGAAATTTGGAGGCTTAAAGGACAAGTGCAGATAAATAAAGTCTTTAACTGTCTATTTTATCATAAGGCTTCTTTTTGCTCTGTTCTTAATGTTTGGAGAAGAGCAGTCGGAAAAGCCCCCAAACTAATGGACACATGGGCCTGTGAGGGATTTAGAAAAGGAGAAGGAGTAGTGGGCCTGTAAGTTACAAACTAGAAGCCTCCCTGAGAGAGACAACCAAGGGCTAGTCTAAAAAGCAGATATGGGACAAAATCATCAAAATAAGTCTCCCAAAGAAAGTTGGGAAAACATTGCACTAAAGTCACAGGTCACCCCTCGTCAACCCTTACCAGCAGTAAAGTAGAAATACTGTAGGCAAGCACACATTGAAGCAAGCTTCATGGACTAAAGACTCAGCTGGACCACCAAGAACAAGTACCCTTTAAGAAGATTTATCAGCAAGTGACAAAAACAACACACGTATTCCCATACAGAACTCTGCTTCATCTGCGTCCGTTTTCATTTTTTAAATAGCTGGGAAACAGAACAGCATAGAGAGGATACAGAAAATAGCAACGCACAACTGGATGTCATTCTTGGGGAAATTGTATTTTGTGTGTGGATCTGTCTTTGTAGCCCTTGAGAGAAAATAAAATCCAAGGTGTCAACAGACAAACCAACCAGGAGACAACGAATGGATGAGGAAAAAAATCGTCCAAGAAATGGTTTCAAAATAACATTAGGATTCGATCAGGCATGTTAATGTTCTTTTATGACGGATTTCTTATTTGTTTTTTTCCCTCAGAACTGTCATTTCTATTTTTTTCATAGGAATTTGTACAGACGCCAGTGTTTTTTGAAGCTGTGTAAACAAAAAGCATTTTCAGCCGTGAAATGGAAGAAAAAGTGGACGGATGTTTTCTTTGCAGGCATGAAGACTGAGGGGAAATGAAATTGAAATGAACACGTTTTAATGTTCAGAATAGACAGAATGTGAAAAATGCACACCAAGGCAAACCACATGAAATACATTTGAAGTTATCATTTGAACCTGGTGGAAAATTGTAATTGATAGAAGGAACCATTGTTGTTTCTTTCCTGTAGATATCGCTGGTTATGAGAAGTGACACTTAGTTGTTGCCATTTTTTGTTCCCAAAAGAATAAACCACAACTATTTTGTATTGAATGCAGTGCAAACTTTGTCGTGGTATTTTTGTATGAATTGTGTGTTTGTACTGAATTTATTGATTTATGTGACAGCTGAAAATAAGAGTTTCATGAGGGATTGATCAGGAGACTATACAGAAACACATCAAACCTAAAGTGAGGAAATTCAGAAAGTGTTTTTATGACATTTAGTTTAATGTAAGATCCCAGATGACCAGTGCCACAGCCAACCTGATACAGCTGCAATAAATACAGCTACCCAACCGAATATAAAGTAATTAAAATCAGACCAACTAAAAAAGTAAAATGCTACTTAATTATCCAGAAATATATAATGAGATAACACTCACAGGAAACAGTTTCTTTAGATATTTTAATTACATTGTGCTATAAACAGTTATGTTCTTTTATTTAAGTGACATTAAATGCAGGATTACTACTTGTAATGGAGTACAGGGTTCCCACATGTCCTGGAATATCTGGAAATTCATTTAAATCTGGAAATTAGTTTTTCAGTCATGGAAACACCTGGAAATGGATTAGAATGTATAATATATCAAATATCCTGAAAATTAGGTTAAAAAGAAAATAGCTGATTTAATAGAAGCAGTCTTTGCCGGCAGTCTGAGCATCCAAACAACCCAGTGGCCTCTGAACATAGCTGTGGTGCACAGGGAGTGCATACATGACAATGATCGCTGAGGTGTGTGAGGGTCGGTCATCCACCATGTGGTTAGGTCATCACCTCTGTCAGCTACATAATCTAGTTAGTAGTGTATGTCTGGGCCATTAAACATCCGTTCACCCTGTAGAAAAGGTTACTGTCACTTTCTACCTCTACTCCACTACACTGTAATGTACTTTTCATGCTACTGCATTTATCTAAAAGCTTTAGTTACCAGTTCAGACTAGTACAGATTCATTGGTGACTAATTTATTGATTTTTTAAGTCATTTGACATAGCTTTTCATTTGAATTATTTTCATGTATTATTTCTTATTTTCTGAACTTTTACAAACCAAATAATAAATTAATTGGGAAAATAATCCGCAGGTAAATCCATAATGAATGAATTGTTGCAGTTCTATATAAAATAGTTAAATTAGCTCCACCTCAACCAACTACAACAGTAAAATCCTGCTTTTACATGAATACATGAGTAATAATAATAATGATCTATCTTTTCTTTTTTCTTTTTCTGCATTGAGTACTTTTCATACTTTAAATAAATTTTCCTGATTATACTTAAATACTTTTACTTAAGAATCATTTTGCAGTCCAGTGTGTAACATTAGGAGGATCTATTGGCAGAATAAAAAAATTATTCATAGATTCATTAATGTATAATCACCTGAAAATAAGGATGATTGTGTTTTCGTTAGAATGAGCCGTTTTATCTACAGAGGGAGCTGGTCCTCTTCTTCTGAGTCTGCCATGAAGCGCCATGTTTCTACAGTAGCCCAGAGCGAGCAAACCAAACTCTGGCTCTGGACTGTGCTACTGTAGTTTCTCCTACATGCTTAGAAGGCGAGTGGTATTCAGTTGGTTGTAATCTGCAACTTTACAGGTAGGTGCCACTTAATCCTGCACATTTGTCCTTCACGTAAAGGATCAGAATACCTTCACCACTGGCAGTAAGTGCAGTCACCCAGTTACAACTGCTCAGAAACAAATATATTTAAACCCCCGGCATGTTACAGGCTTCCAGAACCATTCAACAACCCCGAAACCTCAACATAGCTTTCACCAGCAGCCTTAGTATCAGGACCATTCATGGCACGGCACTTTCACAGCCAATGGGAAACCACAAATAAGAAGTTTGAATTGCTGTCACAGTTTGACTACGTGTCACTATAGTTAGTTTTAAATAAGGAAACCATTTTAATCTTCTTCTTAAGAAAACAATACTTTGTCAACAAGCTGTTTCCTAATGGGGTTAACCTATAATGTTAATAACCTGTTTAGGCTTAAACCTGTACATTTAGTCATTTATAACCCAGATGAGGTCTAAACTTCTGAGTGTGTAAGCTTGTATAAAGAATCATGAATAAACATCAGCTTTGTAGACCAAGCACTGATTGTAACTAATTCAGTTAAGGAAAAACTCACAAATGTAGAAATCTGGTCCTAAACCTTGTTTGCCTACTGACCTTCAGTGGCCTTTAAATAACTAAATGGTCACTCTGTGCTGTTTTATATTGCAGTTTTTCTCATAGGAGGACTCATTAATAGAGAGATAATAAAAAAATCACCTGTTTTAGCCTTTTTATTTTATTTTATTGGGTAACATACAGTAAAAGTGACATTAATAGGGTATTAATATAATGATATAAATAACTATAATGATAATAATATTAAGTGTACAAGGTAATGGAAAATAAGAGTGTTGCAAATGCATGGTATATCTCGATATATCCATAGTCCACAGATATTTTTACCATGATGATGATATATTAACCCTTACAATGCAAAAAACTGATTATTCAGTTGTTCAATAGAAAATGAATTAGCAACTATTTTGAGAATCTATTAACTGTTCATGTCAGTCTTTCTAAAAAAAAAGAAAATGCAGAATTTTATCTAATGTGACTGTAAACTAAATGTCTTTGGGCTTTGAAATGTTGGTCAGACAATACAGATAATGTGAAGGTTGTGATTTTGCATTTTTCACAACTTTCTGTCATTTCATAAAATAAGAAAATCAAAAATAATGGTCACATCAATCGATAATAAAAGAATTGTTAGCTGCAGCCCTAATGCATGTCATAAAAACTGTCTAACACAACTCTTGTGGTCTACAACAAGCAAGATATTGCACTAAAACATATACTTTACAGTATTTGGTTAATTATAAGAAAAATTTATTCTCTGGAGAAATCCCTTTAAAAACCTCCATCACTCATAACTCATAGCTGCTCCAACTGGATTTATTAAAACATTGTCTCTCCACTGTCGTCCTTGGCTCAACCTTGGGTTAACCTGTGGGCAGATAGGCTCCTGGATTCTGGTAGCTGTAGTCTGGACAGACTTTTTGAACCAGTCTGTAGTCTGTGCTGTAGAAAGACACATAGACGCAGATGACCTGGAATGGCTTGGAGCACATCCAGGTGATGTGGCTCTGGGTCTGCTCCTGAGCACACGTCTTGGATGGGTCATAGTTGCACAGCATCACCTTTTTGTTCCGTTCAGTCTTCTCATAGTCCACCCTGCAGTTGAACGTCTTTGAGTCTTTGGGGTTGACTACACTTTGGCGCTCCAGATCAAACTCCACCTCTTTCATTGGTGGGACAAGACTGACAGACACGTTGCCCACACCTGTGGAGTTGTGACGGAAGTAGACTCCGAGAGAGCCGTTCCCGTGATCCACAATCTTGCCCATTATCAGCAAATTCAGCTTGACAGTTTTGATGTTTGAGTAAAAGTCCCCCCAACTGAATGTCCTGGAGAATTTAGATGTTCCATGAACTTTCATGATGGGGCGAAGCTTTATCTTTAAGGACGGGTTGGAGTATGACTGGGGGTTTCCTCCAAGTATTTCCAGAAGTCCCGGCTTTGAAAGGGGAATAAAAGGACTGATTGGTAGTTTGGTGTTCTGAATCAAGCTCCTAGTTTGGGACGCCCAGTTTTTCTGTGAAGACGGGTCTTGGTCTCTGTTGAGTTCAGGTGATGTTCTCTTGCTGAAGGTGAAGTTGCCATTATGTTGACCAAGAACCAGCTAGACAGAAAAAAAGGAGATAAATTTGGACATTGAAGGCAACTGGAATTACATTAATAAGAAAGATAAGGCAAAAAGGGCTAAGGATGTTCAGAGATTCAGTTAATATACTCACTCTAATTGCCTAAAAATATCAACATTATGTTAAATGACTACCAAAAATGTGACTGCTAAATACATTAGAAACACTGTGATGACAAATACTGCATTAAAAATTGCTAATTTGCAATTACTAGCATAAAATTATTCGTAAGTACCAAATATAAAATGACTTATTATGAAGAATGGTACATTAAATTACTATTAAATTAAAAAACATAAAAAAAATGTATCACATTAGTTTATAACTAGTCATTTTAGTTCCTGGAAATGGAAAATATAGCTGAGAATAGTTGCAATAGTCACATAAAGTGTCAGTATCTCTCAACACAAGTTCTACTCTTGCTCACATGTTTGGAGGCATCTCCTCAGTGTTTAGTTCTTCAGGATTACTTACCAAACAAACGGTTCCCTTCAGAAGTATCCAAACAAAGCACTGCCTGGTGAACATCTCCATACTGCATAAATTCCTGTCAGAAGACCCATCCACTCTCTCCTGAAGTTCATTCAGGCCGAGTTAACTTTCGGAAGTCCATGTTGAACAGCTACATCCATATTCAACGCTGGGAGAGACACTCAGTTGTTCCAGCAGGAAACCTTCTGCAGCTTCCACTCACAGCACTCACACTGGAAGGCTTCCTCAGATCTCCAGATTTTTAACACTCAGTTTTGCTGTGTTTGCCCTCTCTCTCTCTTTCATCCCCCCTCTCTCTCTCTCTCTCTCTCTCTCACCCACCCACCCAATCACACACGCACACACACAGACACACAGACACACACACACACACACACACACACACACACACACACACACACACACACACACACACACCCTTTTCTTAAAGGATCTGCAGTATTAACATTATTGCACTGTATCTCCTGCCTGGACTCCCCCCCCTCTCTGACACTGAAAAACATCTAGTATTATGTCCCCAGTGATTAATTAATTTAATTGACACTTTTATAAATAAGAATTTATGTTTGTGCCTGGTGTTCAGGAGGCGAACTATGTGATACTGCCACCTTGTGGCCACAATGCAAAGTGGCACCCAACCAAATTACATGTGATGGTCCCATTTGAAACTATATTATGACTTAATCCCCAGAAATCTTAAGATTAGATAAATAGATAGAAAATATAAAAAATCGTACAATATAAACATAGGACATAAAGTAATAGTACAAAAAAGGGAGGTAAGGTGCACAGTCCTGAGGAATATGTACATTTGCAAAATAAATACGGTGCTATATACAGTGTTAAATATATCTATATATTGCACATTATATATATATTGCCCATTATGGTATGGAATATTGCACATTGTATGGTATTGCACAGTAGTTAAGGTTTTTAACAGTATTTAATAGTAACTGAAGAGAGTCCGGGGGTTGGGGTGGTTGGACTATGAAAGCAGTGCATGTGAGAGTTCAGGGTGGTTATTGCTTTTGGGAAGAAGTTTTTGAATCTATTTGTTTTAGTCCTAATGCACCTGTAGCGCCTCCCTGAGGGCAACAGGTCAAACAGGTCAAAGCCAGGGTCTTTGGTGATGGTTTTAACTCTGTTGAGGCAGTGGGAGGTGTAAATGTCCATCAGGGAGGGGAGAGGGCAGCCAATGATCTTCTGTGCTGCCTTTACAACTTTCTGGAGCCTCTCCCTGTCTGCAACAGTGCAGCTGCCGTATCATACTGTGATACAGTATGTCAGCAGACTCTTGATGGATGAGCGGTAGAAGGTCAGCAGCAGGTTGGAGTATAGGTTATGCTTCCTGAGCCTTCTTGATGACTGCTGTGATGTTCTCTGTCCAGGAGATGTCGGCGGAGATGAGGACGCTGAGAAACCTTAAGGTATGGACCCTCTCCACACACTCGCCGTTGATGTAAAGGGGGGCTGGGTCGGTGCTGTGCTTCCTGAAGTCAATGATGAGCTCTCTGGTTTTCTTGGTGTTCAGAGCGAGGTTATTCTCTGAATACCAGGCTGCCAATTTCAGGACCTCCACTTGTAGGCTGCCTCATCACCCTTAGAGATGAGTCCAACCACTGTAGTGTCGTCTGCAAACTTGACGATGAGATTGTCATTGTGGGCCGAACTGCAGTCGTGGGTGTAGAGGCAGTACAGGAGGGGGCTCAGCACACAGCCCCATGGGGAGCCGATGCTCAGCGTGTGGGTGGAGGAGAGGTGGGGGCCAAGTCTCACAGTCTGGGGTCGGTTGGTTAGAAAGTCCATTATCCAGGCACATGTGAGGGGGAAGGCCGAGAGTGTCCAGTTTAGTGATGAGTCTGTCCGGGATTATAGTGTTGAAGGCTGAACTGTAATCCACAAAGAGCATCCAAACGTAGCTCTGCTGCTGCTCCAGGTGGTTCAGCGCAGAGTGGAGAGCTACGGAAATGGTGTCCTCTGTGGATCTGTTCGCACGATATGCGAACTGGTGAGGGTCGAAGTCTAGGGGGAGATAGTCCTTGATGTGCTGAAGGACCAGTCTCTCGAAGCACCTCACGATTACTGGAGTAAGGGCCACCGGACGGTAATCGTTCAGGCTGGTGATGGGAGACTTCTTCGGCACTGGGATTATTATAGCTGATTTTAGGCACGGCGGGATGACTGCCTGGGCAAGGGAGAGGTTGAAGATCCCGTTAAAGGTGGGGGCGAGCTGGTAGGCGCACGCTCTGAGCACCTTGCCAGGTACTCAGGTCTGGGCCGGCAGCTTTCTTGGGGTTCACTGCTAGGAGTACTCGTCTGACATCATGCTCCTGCACAGTGAGTGGAGTGGTGCAGGAGCCAGATGGGGGTGGTGGCAGGGCTGGAGCAGACGAGTGCTGCTGAGATGTTTCAAAGCGAGCAAAGAAGCAGTTTAGCTCCTTTGCCAGTGGCGCACTCAGGTCTTCTGTAGACTCATCACAGCCTCTAAAGTTTGTGATGTCTTGTATGCCCCGCCACACCTCCCATGTGTTGTTGCTGGACAGGTGGGACTCTATGCACATCCTGTGGTCCGCCTTTGCTCTAGTGTGCGGACCTGGCTGGTCATCCAGGGTTTCTGATTTGGGAAAGCCTAGATGTTTTTGTCCACAGTCACATTCCCGATGCAGAACTGGATATAGTCCAGTACCGTTCCTGTGAATGTCTCCAGCTCCTGGTGTACAAATAAGTCCCAGTCTGTCTGTTTGAAGCAGTCTGTTAGTTTGAAGAGTGCATTTCCAGGCCAGGTTGTAACAGTCTTTGTGGTGGGCCTGGCCCTGTGTCTGAGGGGGGTGTAGGCTGGGGAAAGCAGGAGGGAAAGATGGTCTGACTGGCCGAGGTGGGGGAGAGGTATGGCTCTGTACGTGTTCTTAATGATGGTGTAAACATGATCCAGAATGTTCTCCCCCCTTGTAGAACACTTGACAAACCTCAAACCAGTGAGAAGAACTCAGGAGATAACAAAACAAAAATGAAGATATCTCTCATGTAAAATAAACCAAAAACTAGTGTAACTTTGGCAGAAAATAAGATGTTTTATTAGTAGTAATTACTCAGAGATTCTGGATAAGTGTTTATAAGCATTCATATTTGGAAGTCTTTATTCCAAAGTATCATTTATCAAACCTAACTCTCTTGTGTGACAGTTGATGTATCTGAAAGCATTTATACAAGTACTTATAGCTATTTGATCCTAAAAAATCTAAAGCAAGTTGACATTGTAATGTCCTAACACTTTGTATACAATGCAATCATTCATATCCAGTGAATCAATTGCAGTAGTACTGTTTATGTGGTTCATGATTCATATAATTTATTATCATAAGAATACATTTTATCATGTTTCCAGTGTTAAAAGATATCAAAGTAATTCTCCAGTAGAGGGTTATATTCTACATGTGGCTCAAGGCACATTATATGTCACTGTTTTTTTGCACTTAGCCTAGTCACAACATAATTATTTCTATATAATTGAACTGGGACTTCAACATGACTATAACTCAGACCATTGGTTACTGCTAAACTTCTGAGATCCTTTTCTATGGTCTTCACTGGTGCTATATTCAGCTGCGCTCACTGCAAACCAAATCTGCTGCTACATGCTGTGAATTCATGTGGATTTAATATGCTTCAACATGATCTGCTCCATGTCAGACAGGTCTCAGCCTGCTGCTGTACATCAGGTGAATTATTATGAAGTTACTTTTGTGTCTTTATTGTGCAATCAAACAAAATAGATTTGAAAGCAAAACATTCAACAGTGCAATCAAAAAACAGATTTGAGAGCAAAACCATTGAAAACTTTTTAGTTCAGATAAAACAAATTGAAAATATATTGTATTAAGACCAGTCAATCAGTTTGGGGGTAAAAACAGAGAGTAAAACTCTGTATTCAATTTTAATAGTGAGCCAAAATTTTCTGAATATACATGGGCTGTGCCTTCTAAATTAATTCAACTCAATTCTGCAAATAAAACAAGATAAGTGAATCAGTTGTCTTTTACTATACATCCTTTCTCAATAGAGCAGGCAGAGAAAGATGACCTCCTTGGTATTCTGACTAGAAAAGACAAGACACACGTGAATATAGAGGAAAGGTAGGGCACTGAAGTTGCATACACATGTGGGTGTCAAGAAAAATAAATCTTCACATGGCACTGAACCAACAGGAATAAGTAACCAATCACAATAGAGTTCAAATTAGATTTCTAGTGCTACGCAGTTCTCTGCATGTTATATACTTGTTACTCGAATAAAACACAACCATAATTTTCTGATGTACTTCATCAACACTGACATTAAAACATTATGTGGTGTTTGATTGAATTCCTAATTGACATCATTTAATTCATTCATGTGGTGCCTATTTTTTGGGTCAAAGATTTTGAAGATTAAGTTGAGTGAAGTTAAGTGAATAATGCCTCACCTCTGCCCAGCCTACCTTTGTTCGGGGCACAGATCATATTGCAGGTTATGTTCGTTTTTATTAATTTTTTGGAGGGCAGATTTACAAGGAAGAAGGTTAAAAAAAAAGATGAAATATCACTTCCAACTCAGGACAAAGTTAGAGAGCGATCTTCACTGTCCTGTTGGCTCCTACTGAATGACCTGAAACTATCCATCTAAGAACAACAAGCAAACATGTTGTTATTGTGCTGATTAGCTCTCTCAGTGGATTTCCTGCTTTATTTTCAAACTTGAGTCAAGGACTTGCTTTTGCTGCTTTATTTGGGATTGTAGGGCCTAGTAGCATACAGACTGTGAATAGCTGTTGACCCTGGTAAAGTGGAGTGATGGTGTTTCTCCCGGTCTGCAGTTCTGACCACCTCCACTGTTCAGTTTGAAACCTCGCACTGCTACCTGGTCTGTCCTCAAAAAAAGCATTTAAGTTGGCATCATGTATTTCCTTATATTCCTGATGCTTCTTCAGTGTAACCCTGAATTAAATGGACTAAATGAGCACAATCTGGAAAGTGATTTCACCATATACTCCAGACAACTCTCAATTTCTCTGACAAGAAGTCTTGAGCCATTTCACCAACCAATTAATCCACTCCATCAACTGCAGATCTACTGCTGCTCTCAAGTGCAAGTCAATGAGATCCTGTATATTAGAACCTAATTCTGTTAAATTACTATTTTATCATGTTGCCATGTATGTTAAAACTTGGCTTATTAGCTCTGTAACTCTGTCCATTACTAAAGCTCTTGACAAAAGCAATTTGAGGTCTTGGCCATCAAAGTAGATGTATCAATGGATTTTTACATCCTTATGGTTTATCTAATTTTGGACTTTCATGTAACTCAGATTGTTTTAAAGAACTTTGTAACTCTTTAAACCTTGTGTAACTCATTAATGCACCAACATGGCCAAATACTAAAGCACAAAATAAATCTACCTGGCTTGATTTAATTATAACGAATATACCTCACAAATACACCTCAACTGGCATTATTTTGTAATGATGTCAGTGATCCCTTAGGTAAAAGCCTGTCTCATTTTAAAAAGCTTTGAAGAGCAGGTATTTTTGCATGATTTGTACAGCAGTGATCTTAGCAGAGTTACTTTAGATGTTGAACTGGCATGGTATTCATTTCATTTCAAAGGTAGGGCACTGAGGTTGCATACACCTGTATGTGGGTGTCAAGAAAAAAAAAAATTCACATGGCGCTGAACCAACAGGAATAAGTGACCAATCACAATAGAGTTCAAATTAGATTTCTAGAGCTACGCAGTTTTCTGCATGTTATATACTTGTTACTCGAATAAAACACAACTATAATTTTCTGATGCACTTCATCAACACTGACATTAAAACATTATGTGGTGTTTGATTGAATTCCTAATTGACATCATTTAATTCATTCATGTGGTGCCTATTTCTTGGGTCAAAGATTTTGAAGATTAAGTTGCACGTGAATAATGCCTCACCTCTGCCCAGCCTGCCTTTGTTCGGGGCTCAGATCATATTGCAGGTTATGTTCGTTTTTATTCATTTTTTGGAGGGCAGATTTACAAGGAAGAAGGTTAAAGAAAAAGATGAAATATCACTTCCAACTCAGGTCAGAGTTAGAGAGCGATCTTCACTGTCCTGTTGGCTCTTACTGAGTGACCTGAAACTCTCCATCTAAGAACAATAAGCAAACATGTTGTTCTTGTGCTGATTGGCTTTCTCGGTGGATTTCCTGCTTTATCTCACCTCCACTGTTCAGTTTGAAACCTCCCACTGCTATCTGGTCTGTCCTCAAAAACAGCTTTTAAGTTGGCATCATGTATTTCTTTATATTCCTGATGCTTCTTCAGTGCAACCCTGGATTAAATGGACTAAATGAGCACAATCTCAAGAGTGAATTTACCATATACTCTACTCTCCATACTTACCATATACTTACTATTTTATCATGTTGCCATGTATGTTAAAACTTGGCTTATTAGCTATGTAACTCTGTCCATTACTAAAGCTCTTAACAAAAGCAATTTGAGGTCTTGGCCATGAAAGTAGATGTATCAATGGATTTTCACATCCTTATGGTTTATCTAATTTTGGACTTTCATGTAACTCAGATTGTTTTAAAGAACTTTGTGACTCTTTAAACCTTGTGCAACTCATTAATGCACCAACATGGCCAAATGCTAAAGCACAAAATAAATCTACCTGGCTTGATTTAATTATAACGAGTATACCTCACAAATACACCTCAACTGGCATATTTTGTAATGATGTCAGTGATCCCTCAGGTAAAAGCCTGTCTCATTTTAAAAAGCTTTGAAGAGCAGGTATTTTTGCATGATTTGTATAGCAGTGATCTTAGCAGAGTTACTTTGGATGTTGAACTGGCATGGGATTAATTTCATTAAATTTCCCTATCTAATAAAAATGTTTCCATTATGAAGTTTAGGATCAGTGGTAGGGACACTCCCTGGTTCTCAGACAATCTTTCAGAGCTAATTTGCTTAAGAAACAGGTCATCAAAGACCATCAAAATTCTGGTAATCAATTAAGTCTTTGTCAGGTACACGTGTTGCTTCAAACCTCCCTGAACACATTCAGGTTGGCTCAGATGAAATAAAGGAAAGATGTGCCATAGTCAGTCAGTTTAACAAAGATTTTATTCAGGCTGGGTCTGTATTTGACAGCTCTTACTTAAATACATCGGTCCCATGTTCTGCCACTACTACTACTGATGAAAATCTGGATTTGTTTGATTTTAAACCCATTTCAGTGGCTCAAGTGTGTAAAGGTCTGAAAGACATTGACCAGAAATTATTTTGCACATCGAACTTCAGATGTCCAGACAGAAGGCCATATATCAAATGTTTTGAGATAACTAAAGATGCCCCCCAGGGTTCCATTTTGGGACCTATTTTGTTCTCTGTTTTCATAAATTACTTAGGTATGGACAAGAGCTTCAGACTTCATTTCAGTCATTACAAACTTCTCTGCCAGTCTGAAATTGGCTTTAAATTCTCAGAAGACAAAGTTCATGGTCTTCTCTAAAGCTCACCTACAGTTGCTTGATGATTTTAGCATTTTCACATCTGATAGTAAATCCATTGAAAGGGTGCCCTCGTACAAGTACCTGGGTATATGGATAGGCTACAATGACCAAAACACCTCTTTGTGTAATGCAATATAATGGTGTGTGTATTTCTCTGAACACATTTAAACACCTGAATGAAATTTGAAGAACATTGGTAGCCACCCAACAAGCGACAGTGTTGAGAATTATCCTTTGGAACAAGTGTCTTGAAACCTTATAGCGCAGAAAACAAAGGCGGCGAGTATCACATTTCAGAATCTGATCATCTTTATTTTTTGCTACAGATAAGGCATTGTGTTATAAGGAAGCAAAAGCTATTTCATTTTGACCTATTTGAAACTGCTCAAAAGATGGGTTACTTCACTGTCCTAGCTGTTACTATATAAGGCCTCGTTCCAGCTCTGCAGTCTCAAATGGATGAAGGAAAAGAACAGCATTACCAGGTAAATATTTAATTTTGTTGACGTGGACCTTCATTTTTAATACAAATGCATGTTTGCAAACATTTGTAATCGCAGGCTAACTTGTAATTTAATATTTTATAATAAATGATAATAAAATTAAATCCATTATAAACAGATCTGAACAGACTGGGAGAATGGCACATCACATCATATTGTTTGTGCTGGTTTTGGGGGTGATAAGTAAGTAGTTTCAACAAAACTTTATTTCAAATGTTATCTTCTTGCTCTATATTAATTGATGTTGTGAAATTATAAGCTTTCCTTAAATGATTTACTGTTAGAAAATATTTATAGATGTATCTAGTTATATTTAATAGTTTTATTATATTTATTTACTTGTGCATCTTTGCTTCCATTTTGTTTACTTTACAGACACAGTGATTCCCCAGGTATTGGGTAGGTTGAAGTCTACATACATCTTGATCTTTCTTCAATAATTCACACAATCATGCTAAGTTCATTGGGTCATACCAACTATTACATCAATATCATTACAATGACAACTTTTTCTGTATGATTATTAGTTATTATTAAATAGTTATAATTATTATAATTTGTGCATAATATAAATGATTACTGACACACATGTACATCACCATTAGGTCAATTTGTATAAGGATGTGTAATACAATTGGATCATTGCAGTAAAAATTCAAATTTTTGTCTCAGCGGAGCATTTTAAAGTTATGCAGAACTGTCAGTACGGGTTATATGTTTCTGGTTTTGTGTGAAAGGATATTGTATATGACAAAAGAACAATCCAAGACATGCTCTGCACATACTGAAAAGACTATTAAGCACTGGAATATTTTCAAACTTCAATGTTTTTTTAGTGACTGTGCAATGTTATCTTTCTTAGGACCCCTCTACCCAATATCTGGAACTACAGTCTCTCGATCAGATGATAAAAGTTCTCCTCTAATAACCCTGCAACGATCTTTTGTCTATTTTGGGCAGACATATAATCAGATTTATGTAAGTGAATATATTGTTGTCCAAATACAACACTCAAATGTTTGTAGACTGAAAAACCAATGGTGATAAAACAAACAAAACATGTTGTAAAACACAATGTTTGATTTAATTATATTATATATAGTCATTATTAGGTTATATCAGGTAATATTTAATAAAATTGTGTTATAATAGATTATAGATTATAACCAGCAACAAGTGATTTCTGGATCGTAAAAATTGATTTACTCAAATATTTATTTTCAGGTCAACCAGAATGGACATTTGACATTTGATAGGCCATGGCCAGGTTTCATAGCTCAAAGGTTTCCAATGTACGGACCCAGAGACATCATTGCTCCATTCTGGACAGATCTTGACAACACAGAAACTGGTCATGTCTACTACAACCAGTACACCAGTGGCAGTGTTCTCCAACAAGCTACACAAGACATTAATGAGTACTTCCCAGGGTTGAACTTCAATGCCAACTTGGTGTTTGTTGCAACATGGTATGAGGTGGCCTACTATCCAACTACTGGAACAGTAAGTAATCTTGTTCTACATGGTAAAACACCCCAAAAAATAAAGATATCTCATTTTATCAAGTACTATAAACAATTTTCTCCACAGCAAACAACTGTCCAAGCAGTCTTGATATCTGGTGGACAGTACTCATTTGTGCTGATGAACTATGGGATAATAGCCTCCACAATACGCAAAGTACAGGTCAGAACCAACAAAGCTATGAGTGATACTTTAATTAATTTGTGCATAAATATGTACTGTACATTTTTAAGTTACAAAATTACCGAAAACACAATCTTAATACAAACCCTTAATTTTTAATCTATATTACATATTACATATTCCAGGCTGGATATGACACAGTCAACTCTACACACCATTTCACCATCCCTGGTTCATTCTCGAGCACTGCTACAGGCATTAACTCAAATTTCCGCTTGAGCACCAATGTCAATGTACCCGGTCGCTGGGCTTTCAGGACAGACCGTGGTTCAAGAGGCTGCACTTTCAAAGGTAAGATCAGATACAGAGGGTAACGGCAAGTGGAATATTATGATTTATGTACCTTATTTTACTGAAAAAAACTCTGCATGAATGAAAAATAAACTAGTGTAAGATTATATTACTTATAAATATGCCCTCTGTTGTCCACTATTGTATAAAATATAAAGTTGTTGCATTGCAAGGATATAAGTTTTTTTTTATTGTTTTTTATTGTTAATATGGTATTGTTTGTGAGTTGGTTTATATGTAAGTTTTCATTGACCATGTCCTCTTCTTTTCAAGGTGAACCAGTGCAGCTTGGTGACTCATTCTGGAGCGACAGTAGCTGTGCACAGAAGTGCACCTGCACCTCAACAGGCCTGCAATGTCACAACCAACCCTGCTCCTTTTCCCAAATCTGCCGGACAAGTGCCTTTCAGTTCTCCTGCCAGACAGTGCAGAGACGCACCTGCACCATAAGTGGTGATCCACATTACTATACCTTCGATGGCACGGTGTTTCACTTTCAGGGCACCTGCACTTATGTTCTCTCAGAGCAATGTGGTCGAGGGCTTCCTTACTATAGAGTAGAGGGCAAGAATGAGCACAGAGGCAGCACTCGAGTTTCCTGGACACGACTGGTCAAAGTGTTTGTCTACAATGAAACCATCGAGCTTGTCAAGGGACATCATGCTAAAGCTATGGTTGGTTATTTTGAATTTTGAACTCAGTTTTAAATATGAGAACAAATATGTCTTTGCTACTCTTGACATGCTTGCTGTTGTGCTTACAGGTTAATGGAAACTTTGCATCCACTCCGTTCTATCTCAACAATGGAACTGTCCAGGTTTATGAGTCAGGTTTTTCTGTGATTGTCAGTACTGACTTTGGCTTGGAGGTATCTTATGACACAAATCATTATGTCAGGATTAGTGTGCCCTACACTTACCAGAATGCAACATGTGGCCTGTGTGGAAACTTCAACAATCACCGTGGGGATGACTTCCGAACCCGTCAGGGCGAGGTTGTGAGCTCTGATGTAGTGTTTGCTAACAGTTGGCAAGCATCAGGGGATGATGAGCCTGGTTGTGAGCCGCAGTGTAAAGGTCTGGACTGCGCTGCCTGCACTGAGGACCAGACAGCTTTATACAGCAGTACTGAACATTGTGGTATCCTCCAGAACAGTTCTGGACCTTTTGCTGTTTGCCATCAACAACTTCCCCCACAGGACTTTGTGGAGAGCTGTGTGTATGATCTGTGTGTAGGAGGAGGGTACAAGCCCATTCTGTGCCAAGCCCTAAATGCATATGCCAGTCAGTGTCAACAGAATGGTATACAGCTACCAAGCTGGAGGAGACAAGGCTTCTGTGGTATGTCTGTTGTCTTTCGACATATTTTCAAAATATCCTTTTGGTAAAATGTCCATGATATCAAGATCAATGCTGTTTTCTTTCATCTAGAAATCCCCTGCCCATCCAACAGCCACTTTGAGTCCCAAGGCACAGGATGTCCAGCTACCTGTGTCAATCCCAATTCTACCCTGAACTGCCCTCTCCCTGCCCAGGAGAGCTGCATGTGCAATTCAGGCTACATCCTTAGTGCTGGGGTCTGCGTACCCCATGCTGATTGTGGCTGTAGCTTTGAGGGTCGCTACTACCACTCTGGAGATACCGTAATACTAGACAAGGACTGTGGGAGACGTTGTAGCTGCAGTTATGGCTCCATGACATGTCATTCCCATGGTTGTGGCCCACTAGAGTCTTGTAGTGTGGAGGAAGGAGAAAGAGGATGCAGACCTAACAGCTATGCAACATGCTCAATAATGGGCTCAACATCATATCATACATTTGATGGACTGACATACCAGTATCCTGGGGCGTGTCGATTCACTCTTGTCAAAGTAAAAAGTATGTCAAGACACCCCCACTTTGTGGTGACAATAGAAAAAACACCTACAGACCAGCAGGACTTTACCCAGGTGTTGAAGTTTGAGGTAGAAGATTCACAGGTGTCCATTGGGATGGACAATAGCAAAGTACAGGTATGTGTTGAAAAATGTGAGAAAATAATAATCTTGCACTCATGTCTCACAGTTAAGGATTTGACTATATCTTGAAATTTAAATGGCCCTTTAGGTAGACGGTCAACGGATCAGACTACCATTCAGGTCAGCATCCAATCGAATCCAAATCTACCACAGCAGCATTCACAGTATCACCCTTCGCACCTCCTTTGGTGTAACTCTGCAGACAGTATGGCCTCACTTTGTGCATGTCACTGCACCTGGTATCTACAATGGATCACTTGGTGGACTCTGTGGTGACTACAATGGTCATCCAAATGATGATTTCCGTACACCAATTGGCAGCCTGGTCAACAGCTCTCAGCTCTTTGGAGACAGCTGGAGGAGTGGCTCTCTTGCTGCACACTGTGTGGAAACTGGAAATAACAACACAGAAAGGGATCCTGGTGAGTACTGTGGTATTCTTGGATTGTCACATTGGCCTTTTGCCCAATGTTGGGTCATGGTAGACCCATGGCAGCATGTTCACATCTGTGATGGGACGGTTAAGTCTTCTTGGAATCCAGCAGTGGTGCAAAATAATTATCTTATTTTCTTCTTAGTGTCTGGGGGTAGTTTTAGAAGGGAGGCCCACTGTGGGCTCCTGTAAGGGTCTGGGGCGACCCCACAGCTGGATAAAGATCTGTCAAAATAAACATAAATTAACAAAAATCACCATAATAAATAAAATGGAAAACACGTTATTAACAGCACACAGTTAAAATTCAAAGAAATAATTTCAAAAGTCAAAATAATTATACTGCTGACCCAGCTGGCCTGACCCACCGGCCCGTTCTGGAGCTTCCTGATGGTGCCCTGGTTTTCACAGCCAGCAACTTGGATTAACATGCTGCCAGCTGTTATTATTATTATTGTTAATAGTAGTGGTAGAAGGACTAGTCGTGATGGTAGTAGTAGTTGTAGCAATAGTAGTGTTGGTTGTGGCAAAGGTAGTATTAGCATTGGTTTACATTTCTTTCTCTCCTCCTGTTTCTAACATCCACTGGTGGTATGCAAGCTCTCTCTAGTGGTGGACACACAAATCTCTCAATAAAATAAATGAAAAAAGACTTAAATTATGAAATTGCCAAAAGGTAATTTATAATAAGTTGTGTCTTCCCTGTAATATTTTTGTTTCAATACATCATGCTATACATTCATTCATGCACATTGTGCACACATACATCCATGTGTGGTTACAGATTGCTGTCCAGAAGAATGGTGTATGAAGTTGAGAAACACTGTCTTAGAGCACTTGAAGAATATAACTGGCTTTAATAAGAACTTTGATGAATGTTGGCTTTCGTATTGGTTTAAAAAGTTCTTAATCAATCTTTTTCCTTATTCCTAGAGAAAAACTGCCCTAAAAACAGCCATTATGAACCCTGCGGAACTTCTTGTCCTTCCACCTGCCCCAGCCTTTCCTTTCCCTTCCTCTGCACCACTTATTGCCAGGAAGGTTGCCAGTGTGATGATGGTTTTGTCCTCAATGGCAACCAGTGCGTGCCACCAACAGCCTGCGGATGCTATCACCAAGGACGCTATTGGTCAGTGGGTGAACACTTCTGGGATGGCGAGGAATGTAACAGCTTGTGTACATGTGATGGCACTACCGGGGTAGTCCACTGTATCCCCAACTCCTGTGGACCTCAAGAGTCCTGCCGTGTGGTGGAGGGAAAGCTTGGTTGCCATCCCAACCCTCACGGCACCTGCTCTGCCTCTGGTGACCCCCACTACCTCACATTTGATGGCAAGGCCTATGACTTGCAGGGAACCTGCCGCTATGTTCTGGTGACACTTTGTAATGCTACTAATGGTCTCCACCAATTTTCAGTGGATGCTAAGAATGAGCCATGGCCAAGGGAGTGGTCAGCAGTTTCAGTCACATCTGAAGTTTTTGTGAATGTGTGGGGCCATCGAGTGCATATGTCAAAGCGAACCCATGGTGTGGTACAGGTGAGTTCCACAGATTCAGATCTTTGCCATCATTCTTTATTGAATCATTGCACAGTATCTACATACATTTGTAATCAACCCTGAACAAGACAAATATTTTGAAAATTGCCAATTATTTATGCAATGTTGGTTTTCTAATGATTAAGGTGGATGGAGTAACAAAAAACTTACCTATCTTCTTGAATGGGAGTCATGTTTCTATCTATGCAAGAGGATATGAAACATATGTCAGTGCTGATTTTGGCCTGATTGTCAAGTATGATGGACAGTACAGAGTGACAATCTCTGTACCTTCAAGTTACAGGTATCTCCCATGTTTGAATGCTTTAATTTATTTAATTTTACATATTTAGCTTCAATCTGTCAACATATTTTTTGACTCTTGATGTCTTTAATCATTGTCATTAATACAGGGGAAAAACATGTGGACTTTGTGGAAACTTCAATGGAAATCCAAATGATGAGTTCCGCATCCCATCTGGAATGATGGTCACCACTCCAGATGAGTTTGGGACAGCTTGGAAGGTGGCAGGCAGCAATACTTGCAATGATGGGTGTGGCTCCTCCTGCCCAAAATGCCAGAATGAACTCCCTGCTAGAGCTCAGTGTGAGGTGATTCAGGCAGCTGACGGCCCGTTAAGCTTCTGCCATGAGCACGTGGACCCAGCACCGTACCTCAATGACTGTGTGTATGATGTGTGTGTATTGGGAGATGATTTTCTGTGCGGGGCCATTCAAACATATGTCAGTGCCTGTCAGTCTGCTAATGTTCGAATCTACCCATGGAGACAAAACACCACCTGCAGTAAGTCAACCAGACAATTTCTGAATGAAAAGTACATCGAAAGTCATACGAAAAATCTACTATGTCCTCTCAGCACGTCTCCTGATTGACTGTGTACTCACCAATTCATGTAATGGTCTGAGGTTATTATAACCAGCTAATAGCCACCATTTCTATTCTCACTTATCAAGGACCTGAGTGTCCCGCCAACAGCCATTATGAGCTGTGTGGTAGTGACTGTGGCCACACCTGTGCCAGCAGCATGAATGCCAGCTGCGGGCAGGTTTGCTCTGAGGGATGTTTCTGTGATGAAGGTTTCGTCAGGAGTGGGACGGGATGTGTCCCTGTGGAAAGCTGTGGCTGTGAACATGACGGCTCCTACTATAAGGTAAGGCCTGACCCAGTTAATACTTTATATAGTTGTAAGAAGCAACATTTTCAATAAAAACGTGTCCTTTTCTCTCTTTGTTGTCGCAGGATGGTGAGTCCTTCTGGACAGAAGGTTGCTCCCAGCGATGTGAGTGCCATGCTCCCAATGACCTGCGCTGTTCTGCTGCATCTTGCACTCCTGCTCAAGAGTGTGCAATCAGAGATGGCAGGCTGGGCTGTTTTCTTTACGATTTGACCACTTGCACTGTGTGGGGGGATCCACACTACATCACTTTTGATCACAAGGCCTATGACTTCCAGGGAACGTGTCGCTATGTTGTAGCAACCCTTTGTAATGACACAGATGGACTCCATCCATTTTCAGTGGAAGCTAAGAATGAGCGCTGGAGTCGGAGTACAGTTTCAGTCATAGCTGAAGTTTTTGTGAACGTGTTGGGCAATCAAGTGCATATGTCCAGGGGACGCAACGGTGTGGTAAAAGTGAGTAAAAAGACTTTTTGAACATTGCAGGCATTTTTTTTTAAATGTAATTTACACTGAATGAGACAGATCATTTTCGAAAGCACTAGATAGATGCAAAACAACTATAAAGCTACAATTGTTCATAGACTGTTGTTTTTCCCATGTTAAAGGTGAATGGAGTAACTAAAAACGTACCTGTTTTCTTGAACGGAAGTGATGTATCTGTCTATGCAAGTGGGTCTTTCACATACATCAGTGCCAATTTTGGCCTGATTGTGAAGTACAATGGACTGTATGAACTGACAATCTCCGTACCTTCAAGTTACAGGTATCTGCCATGTTTGAATGCTTTAGTTAACATTCTGAACTATCTATATTATCACATAGGCTACTTGACATCTTTAGCTTCAATCAGTCAACATGTTTTTGATTCTGGATGTGTTTAATCATTGTCATTAATACAGGGGAAAAACATGTGGACTTTGTGGAAACTTCAATGGAAATCCAGATGATGAGTTCCGCATCCCATCTGGAATGATGGTCACCACTCCAGATGAGTTTGGGAAAGCTTGGAAGGTGGCAGGCAGCGATACTTGCAGCGATGGGTGTGGCTCCTCCTGCCAACAATGTACCAATGAGCTCCATGCTAGAGCTCAGTGTGAGGTGATTCAGGCAGCCGACGGCCCGTTAAGATTCTGCCATGAGCACGTGGACCCGGCACGATATTTCAAGAGCTGTGTGTTTGACGTGTGTGTGTTGGGAGATGATTTTCTGTGCGGGGCCATTCAAACATATGTCAGCGCCTGTCAGTCTGCTAATGGTCGAATCTACCCATGGAGACAAAACACCACCTGCAGTAAGTCAACCAGACAATTTCTGAATGAAAAGTACATCGAAAGTCATACGAAAAATCTACTATGTCCTCTCAGCACGTCTCCTGATTGACTGTGTACTCACCAATTCATGTAATGGTCTGAGGTTATTATAACCAGCTAATAGCCACCATTTCTATTCTCACTTATCAAGGACCTGAGTGTCCCGCCAACAGCCATTATGAGCTGTGTGGTAGCGACTGTGGCCACACCTGTGCCAGCAGCATGAATGCCAGCTGCGGGCAGGTTTGCTCTGAGGGATGTTTCTGTGATGAAGGTTTCGTCAGGAGTGGGACGGGATGTGTCCCTGTGGAAAGTTGTGGCTGTGAACATGACGGCTCCTACTATAAGGTAAGGCCTGACCCAGTTAATACTTTATATAGTTGTAAGAAGCAACATTTTCAATAAAAACGTGTCCTTTTCTCTTTTTGTTGTCGCAGGATGGTGAGTCCTTCTGGACAGAAGGTTGCTCCCAGCAATGTGAGTGCCATGCTCCCAATGACCTGCGCTGTTCTGCTGCATCTTGCACTCCTGCACAAGAGTGTGCCATCAGAGATGGCAGGCTGGGCTGTTTTCTTTACGATTTGACCACTTGCACCGTGTGGGGGGATCCACACTACATCACTTTTGATCACAAGGCCTATGACTTCCAGGGAACGTGTCGCTATGTTGTAGCAACCCTTTGTAATGACACAGATGGACTCCATCCATTTTCAGTGGAAGCTAAGAATGAGCGCTGGAGTCGGAGTACAGTTTCAGTCATAGCTGAAGTTTTTGTGAACGTGTTGGGCAATCAAGTGCATATGTCCAGGGGACGCAACGGTGTGGTAAAAGTGAGTAAAAAGACTTTTTGAACATTGCAGGCATTTTTTATGAAATGTAATTTACACTGAATGAGACAGATCATTTTCAAAAGCACTAGATAGATGCAAAACAACTATAAAGCTACAATTGTTCATAGACTTTTGTTTTTCCCATGTTAAAGGTGAATGGAGTAACTAAAAACGTACCTGTTTTCTTGAACGGAAGTGATGTATCTGTCTATGCAAGTGGGTCTTTCACATACATCAGTGCCAATTTTGGCCTGATTGTGAAGTCCAATGGACTGTATGAACTGACAATCTCCGTACCTTCAAGTTACAGGTATCTGCCATGTTTGAATGCTTTAGTTAACATTCTGAACTATCTATATTATCACATAGGCTACTTGACATCTTTAGCTTCAATCAGTCAACATGTTTTTGATTCTGGATGTGTTTAATCATTGTCATTAATACAGGGGAAAAACATGTGGACTTTGTGGAAACTTCAATGGAAATCCAGATGATGAGTTCCGCATCCCATCTGGAATGATGGTCACCACTCCAGATGAGTTTGGGACAGCTTGGAAGGTGGCAGGCAGCGATACTTGCAGCGATGGGTGTGGCTCCTCCTGCCAACAATGTACCAATGAGCTCCATGCTAGAGCTCAGTGTGAGGTGATTCAGGCAGCCGACGGCCCGTTAAGATTCTGCCATGAGCACGTGGACCCGGCACGATATTTCAAGAGCTGTGTGTTTGACGTGTGTGTGTTGGGAGATGATTTTCTGTGCGGGGCCATTCAAACATATGTCAGCGCCTGTCAGTCTGCTAATGGTCGAATCTACCCATGGAGACAAAACACCACCTGCAGTAAGTCAACCAGACAATTTCTGAATGAAAAGTACATCGAAAGTCATACGAAAAATCTACTATGTCCTCTCAGCACGTCTCCTGATTGACTGTGTACTCACCAATTCATGTAATGGTCTGAGGTTATTATAACCAGCTAATAGCCACCATTTCTATTCTCACTTATCAAGGACCTGAGTGTCCCGCCAACAGCCATTATGAGCTGTGTGGTAGCGACTGTGGCCACACCTGTGCCAGCAGCATTAATGCCAGCTGCGGGCAGGTTTGCTCTGAGGGATGTTTCTGTGATGAAGGTTTCGTCAGGAGTGGGACGGGATGTGTCCCTGTGGAAAGCTGTGGCTGTGAACATGACGGCTCCTACTATAAGGTAAGGCCTGACCCAGTTAATACTTTATATAGTTGTAAGAAGCAACATTTTCAATAAAAACGTGTCCTTTTCTCTTTTTGTTGTCGCAGGATGGTGAGTCCTTCTGGACAGAAGGTTGCTCCCAGCAATGTGAGTGCCATGCTCCCAATGACCTGCGCTGTTCTGCTGCATCTTGCACTCCTGCACAAGAGTGTGCCATCAGAGATGGCAGGCTGGGCTGTTTTCTTTACGATTTGACCACTTGCACTGTGTGGGGGGATCCACACTACATCACTTTTGATCACAAGGCCTATGACTTCCAGGGAACGTGTCGCTATGTTGTAGCAACCCTTTGTAATGACACAGATGGACTCCATCCATTTTCAGTGGAAGCTAAGAATGAGCGCTGGAGTCGGAGTACAGTTTCAGTCATAGCTGAAGTTTTTGTGAACGTGTTGGGCAATCAAGTGCATATGTCCAGGGGACGCAACGGTGTGGTAAAAGTGAGTAAAAAGACTTTTTGAACATTGCAGGCATTTTTTATGAAATGTAATTTACACTGAATGAGACAGATAATTTTCGAAAGCAGTAGATAGATGCAAAACAACTATAAAGCTACAATTGTTCATAGACTGTTGTTTTTCCCATGTTAAAGGTGAATGGAGTTACTAAAAACGTACCTGTTTTATTGAACGGAAGTGATGTATCTGTCTATGCAAGTGGGTCTTTCACATACATCAGTGCCAATTTTGGCCTGATTGTGAAGTACAATGGACTGTATGAACTGACAATCTCCGTACCTTCAAGTTACAGGTATCTGCCATGTTTGAATGCTTTAGGTTAACATTCTGAACTATCTATATTATCACATAGGCTACATGGCATCTTTAGCTTCAATCAGTCAACATGTTTTTGATTATCGATGTGTTTAATCATTGTCATTAATACAGGGGAAAAACATGTGGACTTTGTGGAAACTTCAATGGAAATCCAAATGATGAGTTCCGCATCCCATCTGGAATGATGGTCACCACTCCAGATGAGTTTGGGACAGCTTGGAAGGTGGCAGGCAGCGATACTTGCAGCGATGGGTGTGGCTCCTCCTGCCAACAATGTACCAATGAGCTCCATGCTAGAGCTCAGTGTGAGGTGATTCAGGCAGCCGACGGCCCGTTAAGATTCTGCCATGAGCACGTGGACCCGGCACGATATTTCAAGAGCTGTGTGTTTGACGTGTGTGTGTTGGGAGATGATTTTCTGTGCGGGGCCATTCAAACATATGTCAGCGCCTGTCAGTCTGCTAATGGTCGAATCTACCCATGGAGACAAAACACCACCTGCAGTAAGTCAACCAGACAATTTCTGAATGAAAAGTACATCGAAAGTCATACGAAAAATCTACTGTGTCCTCTCAGCACGTCTCCTGATTGACTGTGTACTCACCAATTCATGTAATGGTCTGAGGTTATTATAACCAGCTAATAGCCACCATTTCTATTCTCACTTATCAAGGACCTGAGTGTCCCGCCAACAGCCATTATGAGCTGTGTGGTAGCGACTGTGGCCACACCTGTGCCAGCAGCATGAATGCCAGCTGTGGGCAGGTTTGCTCTGAGGGATGTTTCTGTGATGAAGGTTTCGTCAGGAGTGGGACGGGATGTGTCCCTGTGGAAAGCTGTGGCTGTGAACATGACGGCTCCTACTATAAGGTAAGGCCTGACCCAGTTAATACTTTATATAGTTGTAAGAAGCAACATTTTCAATAAAAATGTGTCCTTTTCTCTTTTTGTTGTCGCAGGATGGTGAGTCCTTCTGGACAGAAGGTTGCTCCCAGCAATGTGAGTGCCATGCTCCCAATGACCTGCGCTGTTCTGCTGCATCTTGCACTCCTGCACAAGAGTGTGCCATCAGAGATGGCAGGCTGGGCTGTTTTCTTTACGATTTGACCACTTGCACCGTGTGGGGGGATCCACACTACATCACTTTTGATCACAAGGCCTATGACTTCCAGGGAACGTGTCGCTATGTTGTAGCAACCCTTTGTAATGACACAGATGGACTCCATCCATTTTCAGTGGAAGCTAAGAATGAGCGCTGGAGTCGGAGTACAGTTTCAGTCATAGCTGAAGTTTTTGTGAACGTGTTGGGCAATCAAGTGCATATGTCCAGGGGACGCAACGGTGTGGTAAAAGTGAGTAAAAAGACTTTTTGAACATTGCAGGCATTTTTTATGAAATGTAATTTACACTGAATGAGACAGATCATTTTCGAAAGCACTAGATAGATGCAAAACAACTATAAAGCTACAATTGTTCATAGACTGTTGTTTTTCCCATGTTAAAGGTGAATGGAGTAACTAAAAACGTACCTGTTTTCTTGAACGGAAGTGATGTATCTGTCTATGCAAGTGGGTCTTTCACATACATCAGTGCCAATTTTGGCCTGATTGTGAAGTACAATGGACTGTATGAACTGACAATCTCCGTACCTTCAAGTTACAGGTATCTGCCATGTTTGAATGCTTTAGTTAACATTCTGAACTATCTATATTATCACATACATGACATCTTTAGCTTCAATCAGTCAACATGTTTTTGATTATCGATGTGTTTAATCATTGTCATTAATACAGGGGAAAAACATGTGGACTTTGTGGAAACTTCAATGGAAATCCAAATGATGAGTTCCGCATCCCATCTGGAATGATGGTCACCACTCCAGATGAGTTTGGGACAGCTTGGAAGGTGGCAGGCAGCGATACTTGCAGCGATGGGTGTGGCTCCTCCTGCCAACAATGTACCAATGATCTCCATGCTAGAGCTCAGTGTGAGGTGATTCAGGCAGCCGACGGCCCGTTAAGATTCTGCCATGAGCACGTGGACCCGGCACGATATTTCAAGAGCTGTGTGTTTGACATGTGTGTGTTGGGAGATGATTTTCTGTGCGGGGCCATTCAAACATATGTCAGCGCCTGTCAGTCTGCTAATGGTCGAATCTACCCATGGAGACAAAACACCACCTGCAGTAAGTCAACCAGACAATTTCTGAATGAAAAGTACATCGAAAGTCATACGAAAAATCTACTGTGTCCTCTCAGCACGTCTCCTGATTGACTGTGTACTCACCAATTCATGTAATGGTCTGAGGTTATTATAACCAGCTAATAGCCACCATTTCTATTCTCACTTATCAAGGACCTGAGTGTCCCGCCAACAGCCATTATGAGCTGTGTGGTAGCGACTGTGGCCACACCTGTGCCAGCAGCATGAATGCCAGCTGTGGGCAGGTTTGCTCTGAGGGATGTTTCTGTGATGAAGGTTTCGTCAGGGAGTGGGACGGGATGTGTCCCTGTGGAAAGCTGTGGCTGTGAACATGACGGCTCCTACTATAAGGTAAGGCCTGACCCAGTTAATACTTTATATAGTTGTAAGAAGCAACATTTTCAATAAAAACGTGTCCTTTTCTCTTTTTGTTGTCGCAGGATGGTGAGTCCTTCTGGACAGAAGGTTGCTCCCAGCAATGTGAGTGCCATGCTCCCAATGACCTGCACTGTTCTGCTGCATCTTGCACTCCTGCACAAGAGTGTGCCATCAGAGATGGCAGGCTTGGCTGTTTTCTTTACGATTTGACCACTTGCACCGTGTGGGGGGATCCACACTACATCACTTTTGATCACAAGGCCTATGACTTCCAGGGAACGTGTCGCTATGTTGTAGCAACCCTTTGTAATGACACAGATGGACTCCATCCATTTTCAGTGGAAGCTAAGAATGAGCGCTGGAGTCGGAGTACAGTTTCAGTCATAGCTGAAGTTTTTGTGAACGTGTTGGGCAATCAAGTGCATATGTCCAGGGGACGCAACGGTGTGGTAAAAGTGAGTAAAAAGACTTTTTGAACATTGCAGGCATTTTTTATGAAATGTAATTTACACTGAATGAGACAGATCATTTTCGAAAGCACTAGATAGATGCAAAACAACTATAAAGCTACAATTGTTCATAGACTTTTGTTTTTCCCATGTTAAAGGTGAATGGAGTAACTAAAAACGTACCTGTTTTCTTGAACGGAAGTGATGTATCTGTCTATGCAAGTGGGTCTTTCATATACATCAGTGCCAATTTTGGCCTGATTGTGAAGTACAATGGACTGTATGAACTGACAATCTCCGTACCTTCAAGTTACAGGTATCTGCCATGTTTGAATGCTTTAGTTAACATTCTGAACTATCTATATTATCACATAGGCTACTTGACATCTTTAGCTTCAATCAGTCAACATGTTTTTGATTCTGGATGTGTTTAATCATTGTTATTAATACAGGGGAAAAACATGTGGACTTTGTGGAAACTTCAATGGAAATCCAGATGATGAGTTCCGCATCCCATCTGGAATGATGGTCACCACTCCAGATGAGTTTGGGACAGCTTGGAAGGTGGCAGGCAGCGATACTTGCAGCGATGGGTGTGGCTCCTCCTGCCAACAATGTACCAATGAGCTCCATGCTAGAGCTCAGTGTGAGGTGATTCAGGCAGCCGACGGCCCGTTAAGATTCTGCCATGAGCACGTGGACCCGGCACGATATTTCAAGAGCTGTGTGTTTGACGTGTGTGTGTTGGGAGATGATTTTCTGTGCGGGGCCATTCAAACATATGTCAGCGCCTGTCAGTCTGCTAATGGTCGAATCTACCCATGGAGACAAAACACCACCTGCAGTAAGTCAACCAGACAATTTCTGAATGAAAAGTACATCGAAAGTCATACGAAAAATCTACTATGTCCTCTCAGCACGTCTCCTGATTGACTGTGTACTCACCAATTCATGTAATGGTCTGAGGTTATTATAACCAGCTAATAGCCACCATTTCTATTCTCACTTATCAAGGACCTGAGTGTCCCGCCAACAGCCATTATGAGCTGTGTGGTAGCGACTGTGGCCACACCTGTGCCAGCAGCATTAATGCCAGCTGCGGGCAGGTTTGCTCTGAGGGATGTTTCTGTGATGAAGGTTTCGTCAGGAGTGGGACGGGATGTGTCCCTGTGGAAAGCTGTGGCTGTGAACATGACGGCTCCTACTATAAGGTAAGGCCTGACCCAGTTAATACTTTATATAGTTGTAAGAAGCAACATTTTCAATAAAAACGTGTCCTTTTCTCTTTTTGTTGTCGCAGGATGGTGAGTCCTTCTGGACAGAAGGTTGCTCCCAGCGATGTGAGTGCCATGCTCCCAATGACCTGCGCTGTTCTGCTGCATCTTGCACTCCTGCACAAGAGTGTGCCATCAGAGATGGCAGGCTGGGCTGTTTTCTTTACGATTTGACCACTTGCACTGTGTGGGGGGATCCACACTACATCACTTTTGATCACAAGGCCTATGACTTCCAGGGAACGTGTCGCTATGTTGTAGCAACCCTTTGTAATGACACAGATGGACTCCATCCATTTTCAGTGGAAGCTAAGAATGAGCGCTGGAGTCGGAGTACAGTTTCAGTCATAGCTGAAGTTTTTGTGAACGTGTTGGGCAATCAAGTGCATATGTCCAGGGGACGCAACGGTGTGGTAAAAGTGAGTAAAAAGACTTTTTGAACATTGCAGGCATTTTTTATGAAATGTAATTTACACTGAATGAGACAGATAATTTTCGAAAGCAGTAGATAGATGCAAAACAACTATAAAGCTACAATTGTTCATAGACTGTTGTTTTTCCCATGTTAAAGGTGAATGGAGTTACTAAAAACGTACCTGTTTTCTTGAACGGAAGTGATGTATCTGTCTATGCAAGTGGGTCTTTCACATACATCAGTGCCAATTTTGGCCTGATTGTGAAGTACAATGGACTGTATGAACTGACAATCTCCGTACCTTCAAGTTACAGGTATCTGCCATGTTTGAATGCTTTAGTTAACATTCTGAACTATCTATATTATCACATACATGGCATCTTTAGCTTCAATCAGTCAACATGTTTTTGATTATCGATGTGTTTAATCATTGTCATTAATACAGGGGAAAAACATGTGGACTTTGTGGAAACTTCAATGGAAATCCAAATGATGAGTTCCGCATCCCATCTGGAATGATGGTCACCACTCCAGATGAGTTTGGGACAGCTTGGAAGGTGGCAGGCAGCGATACTTGCAGCGATGGGTGTGGCTCCTCCTGCCAACAATGTACCAATGAGCTCCATGCTAGAGCTCAGTGTGAGGTGATTCAGGCAGCCGACGGCCCGTTAAGATTCTGCCATGAGCACGTGGACCCGGCACGATATTTCAAGAGCTGTGTGTTTGACGTGTGTGTGTTGGGAGATGATTTTCTGTGCGGGGCCATTCAAACATATGTCAGCGCCTGTCAGTCTGCTAATGGTCGAATCTACCCATGGAGACAAAACACCACCTGCAGTAAGTCAACCAGACAATTTCTGAATGAAAAGTACATCGAAAGTCATACGAAAAATCTACTGTGTCCTCTCAGCACGTCTCCTGATTGACTGTGTACTCACCAATTCATGTAATGGTCTGAGGTTATTATAACCAGCTAATAGCCACCATTTCTATTCTCACTTATCAAGGACCTGAGTGTCCCGCCAACAGCCATTATGAGCTGTGTGGTAGCGACTGTGGCCACACCTGTGCCAGCAGCATGAATGCCAGCTGTGGGCAGGTTTGCTCTGAGGGATGTTTCTGTGATGAAGGTTTCGTCAGGAGTGGGACGGGATGTGTCCCTGTGGAAAGCTGTGGCTGTGAACATGACGGCTCCTACTATAAGGTAAGGCCTGACCCAGTTAATACTTTATATAGTTGTAAGAAGCAACATTTTCAATAAAAATGTGTCCTTTTCTCTTTTGTTGTCGCAGGATGGTGAGTCCTTCTGGACAGAAGGTTGCTCCCAGCAATGTGAGTGCCATGCTCCCAATGACCTGCGCTGTTCTGCTGCATCTTGCACTCCTGCACAAGAGTGTGCCATCAGAGATGGCAGGCTGGGCTGTTTTCTTTACGATTTGACCACTTGCACCGTGTGGGGGGATCCACACTACATCACTTTTGATCACAAGGCCTATGACTTCCAGGGAACGTGTCGCTATGTTGTAGCAACCCTTTGTAATGACACAGATGGACTCCATCCATTTTCAGTGGAAGCTAAGAATGAGCGCTGGAGTCGGAGTACAGTTTCAGTCATAGCTGAAGTTTTTGTGAACGTGTTGGGCAATCAAGTGCATATGTCCAGGGGACGCAACGGTGTGGTAAAAGTGAGTAAAAAGACTTTTTGAACATTGCAGGCATTTTTTATGAAATGTAATTTACACTGAATGAGACAGATCATTTTCGAAAGCACTAGATAGATGCAAAACAACTATAAAGCTACAATTGTTCATAGACTGTTGTTTTTCCCATGTTAAAGGTGAATGGAGTAACTAAAAACGTACCTGTTTTCTTGAACGGAAGTGATGTATCTGTCTATGCAAGTGGGTCTTTCACATACATCAGTGCCAATTTTGGCCTGATTGTGAAGTACAATGGACTGTATGAACTGACAATCTCCGTACCTTCAAGTTACAGGTATCTGCCATGTTTGAATGCTTTAGTTAACATTCTGAACTATCTATATTATCACATACATGACATCTTTAGCTTCAATCAGTCAACATGTTTTTGATTATCGATGTGTTTAATCATTGTCATTAATACAGGGGAAAAACATGTGGACTTTGTGGAAACTTCAATGGAAATCCAAATGATGAGTTCCGCATCCCATCTGGAATGATGGTCACCACTCCAGATGAGTTTGGGACAGCTTGGAAGGTGGCAGGCAGCGATACTTGCAGCGATGGGTGTGGCTCCTCCTGCCAACAATGTACCAATGATCTCCATGCTAGAGCTCAGTGTGAGGTGATTCAGGCAGCCGACGGCCCGTTAAGATTCTGCCATGAGCACGTGGACCCGGCACGATATTTCAAGAGCTGTGTGTTTGACATGTGTGTGTTGGGAGATGATTTTCTGTGCGGGGCCATTCAAACATATGTCAGCGCCTGTCAGTCTGCTAATGGTCGAATCTACCCATGGAGACAAAACACCACCTGCAGTAAGTCAACCAGACAATTTCTGAATGAAAAGTACATCGAAAGTCATACGAAAAATCTACTGTGTCCTCTCAGCACGTCTCCTGATTGACTGTGTACTCACCAATTCATGTAATGGTCTGAGGTTATTATAACCAGCTAATAGCCACCATTTCTATTCTCACTTATCAAGGACCTGAGTGTCCCGCCAACAGCCATTATGAGCTGTGTGGTAGCGACTGTGGCCACACCTGTGCCAGCAGCATGAATGCCAGCTGTGGGCAGGTTTGCTCTGAGGGATGTTTCTGTGATGAAGGTTTCGTCAGGAGTGGGACGGGATGTGTCCCTGTGGAAAGCTGTGGCTGTGAACATGACGGCTCCTACTATAAGGTAAGGCCTGACCCAGTTAATACTTTATATAGTTGTAAGAAGCAACATTTTCAATAAAAACGTGTCCTTTTCTCTTTTTGTTGTCGCAGGATGGTGAGTCCTTCTGGACAGAAGGTTGCTCCCAGCAATGTGAGTGCCATGCTCCCAATGACCTGCACTGTTCTGCTGCATCTTGCACTCCTGCACAAGAGTGTGCCATCAGAGATGGCAGGCTTGGCTGTTTTCTTTACGATTTGACCACTTGCACCGTGTGGGGGGATCCACACTACATCACTTTTGATCACAAGGCCTATGACTTCCAGGGAACGTGTCGCTATGTTGTAGCAACCCTTTGTAATGACACAGATGGACTCCATCCATTTTCAGTGGAAGCTAAGAATGAGCGCTGGAGTCGGAGTACAGTTTCAGTCATAGCTGAAGTTTTTGTGAACGTGTTGGGCAATCAAGTGCATATGTCCAGGGGACGCAACGGTGTGGTAAAAGTGAGTAAAAAGACTTTTTGAACATTGCAGGCATTTTTTATGAAATGTAATTTACACTGAATGAGACAGATCATTTTCGAAAGCACTAGATAGATGCAAAACAACTATAAAGCTACAATTGTTCATAGACTTTTGTTTTTCCCATGTTAAAGGTGAATGGAGTAACTAAAAACGTACCTGTTTTCTTGAACGGAAGTGATGTATCTGTCTATGCAAGTGGGTCTTTCATATACATCAGTGCCAATTTTGGCCTGATTGTGAAGTACAATGGACTGTATGAACTGACAATCTCCGTACCTTCAAGTTACAGGTATCTGCCATGTTTGAATGCTTTAGTTAACATTCTGAACTATCTATATTATCACATAGGCTACTTGACATCTTTAGCTTCAATCAGTCAACATGTTTTTGATTCTGGATGTGTTTAATCATTGTTATTAATACAGGGGAAAAACATGTGGACTTTGTGGAAACTTCAATGGAAATCCAGATGATGAGTTCCGCATCCCATCTGGAATGATGGTCACCACTCCAGATGAGTTTGGGACAGCTTGGAAGGTGGCAGGCAGCGATACTTGCAGCGATGGGTGTGGCTCCTCCTGCCAACAATGTACCAATGAGCTCCATGCTAGAGCTCAGTGTGAGGTGATTCAGGCAGCCGACGGCCCGTTAAGATTCTGCCATGAGCACGTGGACCCGGCACGATATTTCAAGAGCTGTGTGTTTGACGTGTGTGTGTTGGGAGATGATTTTCTGTGCGGGGCCATTCAAACATATGTCAGCGCCTGTCAGTCTGCTAATGGTCGAATCTACCCATGGAGACAAAACACCACCTGCAGTAAGTCAACCAGACAATTTCTGAATGAAAAGTACATCGAAAGTCATACGAAAAATCTACTATGTCCTCTCAGCACGTCTCCTGATTGACTGTGTACTCACCAATTCATGTAATGGTCTGAGGTTATTATAACCAGCTAATAGCCACCATTTCTATTCTCACTTATCAAGGACCTGAGTGTCCCGCCAACAGCCATTATGAGCTGTGTGGTAGCGACTGTGGCCACACCTGTGCCAGCAGCATTAATGCCAGCTGCGGGCAGGTTTGCTCTGAGGGATGTTTCTGTGATGAAGGTTTCGTCAGGAGTGGGACGGGATGTGTCCCTGTGGAAAGCTGTGGCTGTGAACATGACGGCTCCTACTATAAGGTAAGGCCTGACCCAGTTAATACTTTATATAGTTGTAAGAAGCAACATTTTCAATAAAAACGTGTCCTTTTCTCTTTTTGTTGTCGCAGGATGGTGAGTCCTTCTGGACAGAAGGTTGCTCCCAGCGATGTGAGTGCCATGCTCCCAATGACCTGCGCTGTTCTGCTGCATCTTGCACTCCTGCACAAGAGTGTGCCATCAGAGATGGCAGGCTGGGCTGTTTTCTTTACGATTTGACCACTTGCACTGTGTGGGGGGATCCACACTACATCACTTTTGATCACAAGGCCTATGACTTCCAGGGAACGTGTCGCTATGTTGTAGCAACCCTTTGTAATGACACAGATGGACTCCATCCATTTTCAGTGGAAGCTAAGAATGAGCGCTGGAGTCGGAGTACAGTTTCAGTCATAGCTGAAGTTTTTGTGAACGTGTTGGGCAATCAAGTGCATATGTCCAGGGGACGCAACGGTGTGGTAAAAGTGAGTAAAAAGACTTTTTGAACATTGCAGGCATTTTTTATGAAATGTAATTTACACTGAATGAGACAGATCATTTTCGAAAGCACTAGATAGATGCAAAACAACTATAAAGCTACAATTGTTCATAGACTGTTGTTTTTCCCATGTTAAAGGTGAATGGAGTTACTAAAAACGTACCTGTTTTCTTGAACGGAAGTGATGTATCTGTCTATGCAAGTGGGTCTTTCACATACATCAGTGCCAATTTTGGCCTGATTGTGAAGTACAATGGACTGTATGAACTGACAATCTCCGTACCTTCAAGTTACAGGTATCTGCCATGTTTGAATGCTTTAGTTAACATTCTGAACTATCTATATTATCACATGGCTACATGGCATCTTTAGCTTCAATCAGTCAACATGTTTTTGATTATCGATGTGTTTAATCATTGTCATTAATACAGGGGAAAAACATGTGGACTTTGTGGAAACTTCAATGGAAATCCAAATGATGAGTTCCGCATCCCATCTGGAATGATGGTCACCACTCCAGATGAGTTTGGGACAGCTTGGAAGGTGGCAGGCAGCGATACTTGCAGCGATGGGTGTGGCTCCTCCTGCCAACAATGTACCAATGAGCTCCATGCTAGAGCTCAGTGTGAGGTGATTCAGGCAGCCGACGGCCCGTTAAGATTCTGCCATGAGCACGTGGACCCGGCACGATATTTCAAGAGCTGTGTGTTTGACGTGTGTGTGTTGGGAGATGATTTTCTGTGCGGGGCCATTCAAACATATGTCAGCGCCTGTCAGTCTGCTAATGGTCGAATCTACCCATGGAGACAAAACACCACCTGCAGTAAGTCAACCAGACAATTTCTGAATGAAAAGTACATCGAAAGTCATACGAAAAATCTACTGTGTCCTCTCAGCACGTCTCCTGATTGACTGTGTACTCACCAATTCATGTAATGGTCTGAGGTTATTATAACCAGCTAATAGCCACCATTTCTATTCTCACTTATCAAGGACCTGAGTGTCCCGCCAACAGCCATTATGAGCTGTGTGGTAGCGACTGTGGCCACACCTGTGCCAGCAGCATGAATGCCAGCTGTGGGCAGGTTTGCTCTGAGGGATGTTTCTGTGATGAAGGTTTCGTCAGGAGTGGGACGGGATGTGTCCCTGTGGAAAGCTGTGGCTGTGAACATGACGGCTCCTACTATAAGGTAAGGCCTGACCCAGTTAATACTTTATATAGTTGTAAGAAGCAACATTTTCAATAAAAATGTGTCCTTTTCTCTTTTTGTTGTCGCAGGATGGTGAGTCCTTCTGGACAGAAGGTTGCTCCCAGCAATGTGAGTGCCATGCTCCCAATGACCTGCGCTGTTCTGCTGCATCTTGCACTCCTGCACAAGAGTGTGCCATCAGAGATGGCAGGCTGGGCTGTTTTCTTTACGATTTGACCACTTGCACCGTGTGGGGGGATCCACACTACATCACTTTTGATCACAAGGCCTATGACTTCCAGGGAACGTGTCGCTATGTTGTAGCAACCCTTTGTAATGACACAGATGGACTCCATCCATTTTCAGTGGAAGCTAAGAATGAGCGCTGGAGTCGGAGTACAGTTTCAGTCATAGCTGAAGTTTTTGTGAACGTGTTGGGCAATCAAGTGCATATGTCCAGGGGACGCAACGGTGTGGTAAAAGTGAGTAAAAAGACTTTTTGAACATTGCAGGCATTTTTTATGAAATGTAATTTACACTGAATGAGACAGATCATTTTCGAAAGCACTAGATAGATGCAAAACAACTATAAAGCTACAATTGTTCATAGACTGTTGTTTTTCCCATGTTAAAGGTGAATGGAGTAACTAAAAACGTACCTGTTTTCTTGAACGGAAGTGATGTATCTGTCTATGCAAGTGGGTCTTTCACATACATCAGTGCCAATTTTGGCCTGATTGTGAAGTACAATGGACTGTATGAACTGACAATCTCCGTACCTTCAAGTTACAGGTATCTGCCATGTTTGAATGCTTTAGTTAACATTCTGAACTATCTATATTATCACATACTTGACATCTTTAGCTTCAATCAGTCAACATGTTTTTGATTCTGGATGTGTTTAATCATTGTCATTAATACAGGGGAAAAACATGTGGACTTTGTGGAAACTTCAATGGAAATCCAGATGATGAGTTCCGCATCCCATCTGGAATGATGGTCACCACTCCAGATGAGTTTGGGACAGCTTGGAAGGTGGCAGGCAGCGATACTTGCAGCGATGGGTGTGGCTCCTCCTGCCAACAATGTACCAATGAGCTCCATGCTAGAGCTCAGTGTGAGGTGATTCAGGCAGCCGACGGCCCGTTAAGATTCTGCCATGAGCACGTGGACCCGGCACGATATTTCAAGAGCTGTGTGTTTGACGTGTGTGTGTTGGGAGATGATTTTCTGTGCGGGGCCATTCAAACATATGTCAGCGCCTGTCAGTCTGCTAATGGTCGAATCTACCCATGGAGACAAAACATCACCTGCAGTAAGTCAACCAGACAATTTCTGAATGAAAAGTACATCGAAAGTCATACGAAAAATCTACTATGTCCTCTCTCAGCACGTCTCCTGATTGACTGTGTACTCACCAATTCATGTAATGGTCTGAGGTTATTATAACCAGCTAATAGCCACCATTTCTATTCTCACTTATCAAGGACCTGAGTGTCCCGCCAACAGCCATTATGAGCTGTGTGGTAGCGACTGTGGCCACACCTGTGCCAGCAGCATGAATGCCAGCTGCGGGCAGGTTTGCTCTGAGGGATGTTTCTGTGATGAAGGTTTCGTCAGGAGTGGGACGGGATGTGTCCCTGTGGAAAGCTGTGGCTGTGAACATGACGGCTCCTACTATAAGGTAAGGCCTGACCCAGTTAATACTTTATATAGTTGTAAGAAGCAACATTTTCAATAAAAATGTGTCCTTTTCTCTTTTGTTGTCGCAGGATGGTGAGTCCTTCTGGACAGAAGGTTGCTCCCAGCAATGTGAGTGCCATGCTCCCAATGACCTGCGCTGTTCTGCTGCATCTTGCACTCCTGCACAAGAGTGTGCCATCAGAGATGGCAGGCTTGGCTGTTTTCTTTACGATTTGACCACTTGCACCGTGTGGGGGGGATCCACACTACATCACTTTTGATCACAAGGCCTATGACTTCCAGGGAACGTGTCGCTATGTTGTAGCAACCCTTTGTAATGACACAGATGGACTCCATCCATTTTCAGTGGAAGCTAAGAATGAGCGCTGGAGTCGGAGTACAGTTTCAGTCATAGCTGAAGTTTTTGTGAACGTGTTGGGCAATCAAGTGCATATGTCCAGGGGACGCAACGGTGTGGTAAAAGTGAGTAAAAAGACTTTTTGAACATTGCAGGCATTTTTTATGAAATGTAATTTACACTGAATGAGACAGATCATTTTCGAAAGCACTAGATAGATGCAAAACAACTATAAAGCTACAATTGTTCATAGACTTTTGTTTTTCCCATGTTAAAGGTGAATGGAGTAACTAAAAACGTACCTGTTTTCTTGAACGGAAGTGATGTATCTGTCTATGCAAGTGGGTCTTTCACATACATCAGTGCCAATTTTGGCCTGATTGTGAAGTACAATGGACTGTATGAACTGACAATCTCCGTACCTTCAAGTTACAGGTATCTGCCATGTTTGAATGCTTTAGTTAACATTCTGAACTATCTATATTATCACATACTTGACATCTTTAGCTTCAATCAGTCAACATGTTTTTGATTCTGGATGTGTTTAATCATTGTCATTAATACAGGGGAAAAACATGTGGACTTTGTGGAAACTTCAATGGAAATCCAGATGATGAGTTCCGCATCCCATCTGGAATGATGGTCACCACTCCAGATGAGTTTGGGACAGCTTGGAAGGTGGCAGGCAGCGATACTTGCAGCGATGGGTGTGGCTCCTCCTGCCAACAATGTACCAATGAGCTCCATGCTAGAGCTCAGTGTGAGGTGATTCAGGCAGCCGACGGCCCGTTAAGATTCTGCCATGAGCACGTGGACCCGGCACGATATTTCAAGAGCTGTGTGTTTGACGTGTGTGTGTTGGGAGATGATTTTCTGTGCGGGGCCATTCAAACATATGTCAGCGCCTGTCAGTCTGCTAATGGTCGAATCTACCCATGGAGACAAAACACCACCTGCAGTAAGTCAACCAGACAATTTCTGAATGAAAAGTACATCGAAAGTCATACGAAAAATCTACTGTGTCCTCTCAGCACGTCTCCTGATTGACTGTGTACTCACCAATTCATGTAATGGTCTGAGGTTATTATAACCAGCTAATAGCCACCATTTCTATTCTCACTTATCAAGGACCTGAGTGTCCCGCCAACAGCCATTATGAGCTGTGTGGTAGCGACTGTGGCCACACCTGTGCCAGCAGCATTAATGCCAGCTGCGGGCAGGTTTGCTCTGAGGGATGTTTCTGTGATGAAGGTTTCGTCAGGAGTGGGACGGGATGTGTCCCTGTGGAAAGCTGTGGCTGTGAACATGACGGCTCCTACTATAAGGTAAGGCCTGACCCAGTTAATACTTTATATAGTTGTAAGAAGCAACATTTTCAATAAAAACGTGTCCTTTTCTCTTTTTGTTGTCGCAGGATGGTGAGTCCTTCTGGACAGAAGGTTGCTCCCAGCGATGTGAGTGCCATGCTCCCAATGACCTGCGCTGTTCTGCTGCATCTTGCACTCCTGCACAAGAGTGTGCCATCAGAGATGGCAGGCTGGGCTGTTTTCTTTACGATTTGACCACTTGCACTGTGTGGGGGGATCCACACTACATCACTTTTGATCACAAGGCCTATGACTTCCAGGGAACGTGTCGCTATGTTGTAGCAACCCTTTGTAATGACACAGATGGACTCCATCCATTTTCAGTGGAAGCTAAGAATGAGCGCTGGAGTCGGAGTACAGTTTCAGTCATAGCTGAAGTTTTTGTGAACGTGTTGGGCAATCAAGTGCATATGTCCAGGGGACGCAACGGTGTGGTAAAAGTGAGTAAAAAGACTTTTTGAACATTGCAGGCATTTTTTATGAAATGTAATTTACACTGAATGAGACAGATCATTTTCGAAAGCACTAGATAGATGCAAAACAACTATAAAGCTACAATTGTTCATAGACTTTTGTTTTTCCCATGTTAAAGGTGAATGGAGTAACTAAAAACGTACCTGTTTTCTTGAACGGAAGTGATGTATCTGTCTATGCAAGTGGGTCTTTCATATACATCAGTGCCAATTTTGGCCTGATTGTGAAGTACAATGGACTGTATGAACTGACAATCTCCGTACCTTCAAGTTACAGGTATCTGCCATGTTTGAATGCTTTAGTTAACATTCTGAACTATCTATATTATCACATAGGCTACTTGACATCTTTAGCTTCAATCAGTCAACATGTTTTTGATTCTGGATGTGTTTAATCATTGTTATTAATACAGGGGAAAAACATGTGGACTTTGTGGAAACTTCAATGGAAATCCAGATGATGAGTTCCGCATCCCATCTGGAATGATGGTCACCACTCCAGATGAGTTTGGGACAGCTTGGAAGGTGGCAGGCAGCGATACTTGCAATGATGGGTGTGGCTCCTCCTGCCAACAATGTACCAATGAGCTCCATGCTAGAGCTCAGTGTGAGGTGATTCAGGCAGCCGACGGCCCGTTAAGATTCTGCCATGAGCACGTGGACCCGGCACGATATTTCAAGAGCTGTGTGTTTGACGTGTGTGTGTTGGGAGATGATTTTCTGTGCGGGGCCATTCAAACATATGTCAGCGCCTGTCAGTCTGCTAATGGTCGAATCTACCCATGGAGACAAAACACCACCTGCAGTAAGTCAACCAGACAATTTCTGAATGAAAAGTACATCGAAAGTCATACGAAAAATCTACTATGTCCTCTCAGCACGTCTCCTGATTGACTGTGTACTCACCAATTCATGTAATGGTCTGAGGTTATTATAACCAGCTAATAGCCACCATTTCTATTCTCACTTATCAAGGACCTGAGTGTCCCGCCAACAGCCATTATGAGCTGTGTGGTAGCGACTGTGGCCACACCTGTGCCAGCAGCATTAATGCCAGCTGCGGGCAGGTTTGCTCTGAGGGATGTTTCTGTGATGAAGGTTTCGTCAGGAGTGGGACGGGATGTGTCCCTGTGGAAAGCTGTGGCTGTGAACATGACGGCTCCTACTATAAGGTAAGGCCTGACCCAGTTAATACTTTATATAGTTGTAAGAAGCAACATTTTCAATAAAAACGTGTCCTTTTCTCTTTTTGTTGTCGCAGGATGGTGAGTCCTTCTGGACAGAAGGTTGCTCCCAGCGATGTGAGTGCCATGCTCCCAATGACCTGCGCTGTTCTGCTGCATCTTGCACTCCTGCACAAGAGTGTGCCATCAGAGATGGCAGGCTGGGCTGTTTTCTTTACGATTTGACCACTTGCACTGTGTGGGGGGATCCACACTACATCACTTTTGATCACAAGGCCTATGACTTCCAGGGAACGTGTCGCTATGTTGTAGCAACCCTTTGTAATGACACAGATGGACTCCATCCATTTTCAGTGGAAGCTAAGAATGAGCGCTGGAGTCGGAGTACAGTTTCAGTCATAGCTGAAGTTTTTGTGAACGTGTTGGGCAATCAAGTGCATATGTCCAGGGGACGCAACGGTGTGGTAAAAGTGAGTAAAAAGACTTTTTGAACATTGCAGGCATTTTTTATGAAATGTAATTTACACTGAATGAGACAGATAATTTTCGAAAGCAGTAGATAGATGCAAAACAACTATAAAGCTACAATTGTTCATAGACTGTTGTTTTTCCCATGTTAAAGGTGAATGGAGTTACTAAAAACGTACCTGTTTTCTTGAACGGAAGTGATGTATCTGTCTATGCAAGTGGGTCTTTCACATACATCAGTGCCAATTTTGGCCTGATTGTGAAGTACAATGGACTGTATGAACTGACAATCTCCGTACCTTCAAGTTACAGGTATCTGCCATGTTTGAATGCTTTAGTTAACATTCTGAACTATCTATATTATCACATACATGGCATCTTTAGCTTCAATCAGTCAACATGTTTTTGATTATCGATGTGTTTAATCATTGTCATTAATACAGGGGAAAAACATGTGGACTTTGTGGAAACTTCAATGGAAATCCAAATGATGAGTTCCGCATCCCATCTGGAATGATGGTCACCACTCCAGATGAGTTTGGGACAGCTTGGAAGGTGGCAGGCAGCGATACTTGCAGCGATGGGTGTGGCTCCTCCTGCCAACAATGTACCAATGAGCTCCATGCTAGAGCTCAGTGTGAGGTGATTCAGGCAGCCGACGGCCCGTTAAGATTCTGCCATGAGCACGTGGACCCGGCACGATATTTCAAGAGCTGTGTGTTTGACGTGTGTGTGTTGGGAGATGATTTTCTGTGCGGGGCCATTCAAACATATGTCAGCGCCTGTCAGTCTGCTAATGGTCGAATCTACCCATGGAGACAAAACACCACCTGCAGTAAGTCAACCAGACAATTTCTGAATGAAAAGTACATCGAAAGTCATACGAAAAATCTACTATGTCCTCTCAGCACGTCTCCTGATTGACTGTGTACTCACCAATTCATGTAATGGTCTGAGGTTATTATAACCAGCTAATAGCCACCATTTCTATTCTCACTTATCAAGGACCTGAGTGTCCCGCCAACAGCCATTATGAGCTGTGTGGTAGCGACTGTGGCCACACCTGTGCCAGCAGCATTAATGCCAGCTGCGGGCAGGTTTGCTCTGAGGGATGTTTCTGTGATGAAGGTTTCGTCAGGAGTGGGACGGGATGTGTCCCTGTGGAAAGCTGTGGCTGTGAACATGACGGCTCCTACTATAAGGTAAGGCCTGACCCAGTTAATACTTTATATAGTTGTAAGAAGCAACATTTTCAATAAAAACGTGTCCTTTTCTCTTTTTGTTGTCGCAGGATGGTGAGTCCTTCTGGACAGAAGGTTGCTCCCAGCGATGTGAGTGCCATGCTCCCAATGACCTGCGCTGTTCTGCTGCATCTTGCACTCCTGCACAAGAGTGTGCCATCAGAGATGGCAGGCTGGGCTGTTTTCTTTACGATTTGACCACTTGCACTGTGTGGGGGGATCCACACTACATCACTTTTGATCACAAGGCCTATGACTTCCAGGGAACGTGTCGCTATGTTGTAGCAACCCTTTGTAATGACACAGATGGACTCCATCCATTTTCAGTGGAAGCTAAGAATGAGCGCTGGAGTCGGAGTACAGTTTCAGTCATAGCTGAAGTTTTTGTGAACGTGTTGGGCAATCAAGTGCATATGTCCAGGGGACGCAACGGTGTGGTAAAAGTGAGTAAAAAGACTTTTTGAACATTGCAGGCATTTTTTATGAAATGTAATTTACACTGAATGAGACAGATAATTTTCGAAAGCAGTAGATAGATGCAAAACAACTATAAAGCTACAATTGTTCATAGACTGTTGTTTTTCCCATGTTAAAGGTGAATGGAGTTACTAAAAACGTACCTGTTTTCTTGAACGGAAGTGATGTATCTGTCTATGCAAGTGGGTCTTTCACATACATCAGTGCCAATTTTGGCCTGATTGTGAAGTACAATGGACTGTATGAACTGACAATCTCCGTACCTTCAAGTTACAGGTATCTGCCATGTTTGAATGCTTTAGTTAACATTCTGAACTATCTATATTATCACATACTTGACATCTTTAGCTTCAATCAGTCAACATGTTTTTGATTCTGGATGTGTTTAATCATTGTCATTAATACAGGGGAAAAACATGTGGACTTTGTGGAAACTTCAATGGAAATCCAAATGATGAGTTCCGCATCCCATCTGGAATGATGGTCACCACTCCAGATGAGTTTGGGACAGCTTGGAAGGTGGCAGGCAGCGATACTTGCAGCGATGGGTGTGGCTCCTCCTGCCAACAATGTACCAATGAGCTCCATGCTAGAGCTCAGTGTGAGGTGATTCAGGCAGCCGACGGCCCGTTAAGATTCTGCCATGAGCACGTGGACCCGGCACGATATTTCAAGAGCTGTGTGTTTGACGTGTGTGTGTTGGGAGATGATTTTCTGTGCGGGGCCATTCAAACATATGTCAGCGCCTGTCAGTCTGCTAATGGTCGAATCTACCCATGGAGACAAAACACCACCTGCAGTAAGTCAACCAGACAATTTCTGAATGAAAAGTACATCGAAAGTCATACGAAAAATCTACTGTGTCCTCTCAGCACGTCTCCTGATTGACTGTGTACTCACCAATTCATGTAATGGTCTGAGGTTATTATAACCAGCTAATAGCCACCATTTCTATTCTCACTTATCAAGGACCTGAGTGTCCCGCCAACAGCCATTATGAGCTGTGTGGTAGCGACTGTGGCCACACCTGTGCCAGCAGCATGAATGCCAGCTGTGGGCAGGTTTGCTCTGAGGGATGTTTCTGTGATGAAGGTTTCGTCAGGAGTGGGACGGGATGTGTCCCTGTGGAAAGCTGTGGCTGTGAACATGACGGCTCCTACTATAAGGTAAGGCCTGACCCAGTTAATACTTTATATAGTTGTAAGAAGCAACATTTTCAATAAAAATGTGTCCTTTTCTCTTTTTGTTGTCGCAGGATGGTGAGTCCTTCTGGACAGAAGGTTGCTCCCAGCAATGTGAGTGCCATGCTCCCAATGACCTGCGCTGTTCTGCTGCATCTTGCACTCCTGCACAAGAGTGTGCCATCAGAGATGGCAGGCTGGGCTGTTTTCTTTACGATTTGACCACTTGCACCGTGTGGGGGGATCCACACTACATCACTTTTGATCACAAGGCCTATGACTTCCAGGGAACGTGTCGCTATGTTGTAGCAACCCTTTGTAATGACACAGATGGACTCCATCCATTTTCAGTGGAAGCTAAGAATGAGCGCTGGAGTCGGAGTACAGTTTCAGTCATAGCTGAAGTTTTTGTGAACGTGTTGGGCAATCAAGTGCATATGTCCAGGGGACGCAACGGTGTGGTAAAAGTGAGTAAAAAGACTTTTTGAACATTGCAGGCATTTTTTATGAAATGTAATTTACACTGAATGAGACAGATCATTTTCGAAAGCACTAGATAGATGCAAAACAACTATAAAGCTACAATTGTTCATAGACTGTTGTTTTTCCCATGTTAAAGGTGAATGGAGTAACTAAAAACGTACCTGTTTTCTTGAACGGAAGTGATGTATCTGTCTATGCAAGTGGGTCTTTCACATACATCAGTGCCAATTTTGGCCTGATTGTGAAGTACAATGGACTGTATGAACTGACAATCTCTGTACCTTCAAGTTACAGGTATCTGCCATGTTTGAATGCTTTAGTTAACATTCTGAACTATCTATATTATCACAAGGCTACATGACATCTTTAGCTTCAATCAGTCAACATGTTTTTGATTATCGATGTGTTTAATCATTGTCATTAATACAGGGGAAAAACATGTGGACTTTGTGGAAACTTCAATGGAAATCCAAATGATGAGTTCCGCATCCCATCTGGAATGATGGTCACCACTCCAGATGAGTTTGGGACAGCTTGGAAGGTGGCAGGCAGCGATACTTGCAGCGATGGGTGTGGCTCCTCCTGCCAACAATGTACCAATGATCTCCATGCTAGAGCTCAGTGTGAGGTGATTCAGGCAGCCGACGGCCCGTTAAGATTCTGCCATGAGCACGTGGACCCGGCACGATATTTCAAGAGCTGTGTGTTTGACGTGTGTGTGTTGGGAGATGATTTTCTGTGCGGGGCCATTCAAACATATGTCAGCGCCTGTCAGTCTGCTAATGGTCGAATCTACCCATGGAGACAAAACACCACCTGCAGTAAGTCAACCAGACAATTTCTGAATGAAAAGTACATCGAAAGTCATACGAAAAATCTACTGTGTCCTCTCAGCACGTCCCCTGATTGACTGTGTACTCACCAATTCATGTAATGGTCTGAGGTTATTATAACCAGCTAATAGCCACCATTTCTATTCTCACTTATCAAGGACCTGAGTGTCCCGCCAACAGCCATTATGAGCTGTGTGGTAGCGACTGTGGCCACACCTGTGCCAGCAGCATTAATGCCAGCTGCGGGCAGGTTTGCTCTGAGGGATGTTTCTGTGATGAAGGTTTCGTCAGGAGTGGGACGGGATGTGTCCCTGTGGAAAGCTGTGGCTGTGAACATGACGGCTCCTACTATAAGGTAAGGCCTGACCCAGTTAATACTTTATATAGTTGTAAGAAGCAACATTTTCAATAAAAACGTGTCCTTTTCTCTTTTTGTTGTCGCAGGATGGTGAGTCCTTCTGGACAGAAGGTTGCTCCCAGCGATGTGAGTGCCATGCTCCCAATGACCTGCGCTGTTCTGCTGCATCTTGCACTCCTGCACAAGAGTGTGCCATCAGAGATGGCAGGCTGGGCTGTTTTCTTTACGATTTGACCACTTGCACCGTGTGGGGGGATCCACACTACATCACTTTTGATCACAAGGCCTATGACTTCCAGGGAACGTGTCGCTATGTTGTAGCAACCCTTTGTAATGACACAGATGGACTCCATCCATTTTCAGTGGAAGCTAAGAATGAGCGCTGGAGTCGGAGTACAGTTTCAGTCATAGCTGAAGTTTTTGTGAACGTGTTGGGCAATCAAGTGCATATGTCCAGGGGACGCAACGGTGTGGTAAAAGTGAGTAAAAAGACTTTTTGAACATTGCAGGCATTTTTTATGAAATGTAATTTACACTGAATGAGACAGATCATTTTCGAAAGCACTAGATAGATGCAAAACAACTATAAAGCTACAATTGTTCATAGACTGTTGTTTTTCCCATGTTAAAGGTGAATGGAGTAACTAAAAACGTACCTGTTTTCTTGAACGGAAGTGATGTATCTGTCTATGCAAGTGGGTCTTTCACATACATCAGTGCCAATTTTGGCCTGATTGTGAAGTACAATGGACTGTATGAACTGACAATCTCCGTACCTTCAAGTTACAGGTATCTGCCATGTTTGAATGCTTTAGTTAACATTCTGAACTATCTATATTATCACATACTACTTGACATCTTTAGCTTCAATCAGTCAACATGTTTTTGATTCTGGATGTGTTTAATCATTGTCATTAATACAGGGGAAAAACATGTGGACTTTGTGGAAACTTCAATGGAAATCCAGATGATGAGTTCCGCATCCCATCTGGAATGATGGTCACCACTCCAGATGAGTTTGGGACAGCTTGGAAGGTGGCAGGCAGCGATACTTGCAGCGATGGGTGTGGCTCCTCCTGCCAACAATGTACCAATGAGCTCCATGCTAGAGCTCAGTGTGAGGTGATTCAGGCAGCCGACGGCCCGTTAAGATTCTGCCATGAGCACGTGGACCCGGCACGATATTTCAAGAGCTGTGTGTTTGACGTGTGTGTGTTGGGAGATGATTTTCTGTGCGGGGCCATTCAAACATATGTCAGCGCCTGTCAGTCTGCTAATGGTCGAATCTACCCATGGAGACAAAACACCACCTGCAGTAAGTCAACCAGACAATTTCTGAATGAAAAGTACATCGAAAGTCATACGAAAAATCTACTATGTCCTCTCTCAGCACGTCTCCTGATTGACTGTGTACTCACCAATTCATGTAATGGTCTGAGGTTATTATAACCAGCTAATAGCCACCATTTCTATTCTCACTTATCAAGGACCTGAGTGTCCCGCCAACAGCCATTATGAGCTGTGTGGTAGCGACTGTGGCCACACCTGTGCCAGCAGCATGAATGCCAGCTGCGGGCAGGTTTGCTCTGAGGGATGTTTCTGTGATGAAGGTTTCGTCAGGAGTGGGACGGGATGTGTCCCTGTGGAAAGCTGTGGCTGTGAACATGACGGCTCCTACTATAAGGTAAGGCCTGACCCAGTTAATACTTTATATAGTTGTAAGAAGCAACATTTTCAATAAAAATGTGTCCTTTTCTCTTTTGTTGTCGCAGGATGGTGAGTCCTTCTGGACAGAAGGTTGCTCCCAGCAATGTGAGTGCCATGCTCCCAATGACCTGCGCTGTTCTGCTGCATCTTGCACTCCTGCACAAGAGTGTGCCATCAGAGATTGCAGGCTGGGCTGTTTTCTTTACAATTTGACCACTTGCACCGTGTGGGGGGATCCACACTACATCACTTTTGATCACAAGGCCTATGACTTCCAGGGAACGTGTCGCTATGTTGTAGCAACCCTTTGTAATGACACAGATGGACTCCATCCATTTTCAGTGGAAGCTAAGAATGAGCGCTGGAGTCGGAGTACAGTTTCAGTCATAGCTGAAGTTTTTGTGAACGTGTTGGGCAATCAAGTGCATATGTCCAGGGGACGCAACGGTGTGGTAAAAGTGAGTAAAAAGACTTTTTGAACATTGCAGGCATTTTTTATGAAATGTAATTTACACTGAATGAGACAGATCATTTTCGAAAGCACTAGATAGATGCAAAACAACTATAAAGCTACAATTGTTCATAGACTTTTGTTTTTCCCATGTTAAAGGTGAATGGAGTAACTAAAAACGTACCTGTTTTCTTGAACGGAAGTGATGTATCTGTCTATGCAAGTGGGTCTTTCACATACATCAGTGCCAATTTTGGCCTGATTGTGAAGTACAATGGACTGTATGAACTGACAATCTCTGTACCTTCAAGTTACAGGTATCTGCCATGTTTGAATGCTTTAGTTAACATTCTGAACTATCTATATTATCACATACTTGACATCTTTAGCTTCAATCAGTCAACATGTTTTTGATTCTGGATGTGTTTAATCATTGTCATTAATACAGGGGAAAAACATGTGGACTTTGTGGAAACTTCAATGGAAATCCAGATGATGAGTTCCGCATCCCATCTGGAATGATGGTCACCACTCCAGATGAGTTTGGGACAGCTTGGAAGGTGGCAGGCAGCGATACTTGCAGCGATGGGTGTGGCTCCTCCTGCCAACAATGTACCAATGAGCTCCATGCTAGAGCTCAGTGTGAGGTGATTCAGGCAGCCGACGGCCCGTTAAGATTCTGCCATGAGCACGTGGACCCGGCACGATATTTCAAGAGCTGTGTGTTTGACGTGTGTGTGTTGGGAGATGATTTTCTGTGCGGGGCCATTCAAACATATGTCAGCGCCTGTCAGTCTGCTAATGGTCGAATCTACCCATGGAGACAAAACACCACCTGCAGTAAGTCAACCAGACAATTTCTGAATGAAAAGTACATCGAAAGTCATACGAAAAATCTACTATGTCCTCTCAGCACGTCTCCTGATTGACTGTGTACTCACCAATTCATGTAATGGCCTGAGGTTATTATAACCAGCTAATAGCCACCATTTCTATTCTCACTTATCAAGGACCTGAGTGTCCCGCCAACAGCCATTATGAGCTGTGTGGTAGCGACTGTGGCCACACCTGTGCCAGCAGCATGAATGCCAGCTGCGGGCAGGTTTGCTCTGAGGGATGTTTCTGTGATGAAGGTTTCGTCAGGAGTGGGACGGGATGTGTCCCTGTGGAAAGCTGTGGCTGTGAACATGACGGCTCCTACTATAAGGTAAGGCCTGACCCAGTTAATACTTTATATAGTTGTAAGAAGCAACATTTTCAATAAAAACGTGTCCTTTTCTCTTTTTGTTGTTGCAGGATGGTGAGTCCTTCTGGACAGAAGGTTGCTCCCAGCGATGTGAGTGCCATGCTCCCAATGACCTGCGCTGTTCTGCTGCATCTTGCACTCCTGCACAAGAGTGTGCCATCAGAGATGGCAGGCTGGGCTGTTTTCTTTACGATTTGACCACTTGCACTGTGTGGGGGGATCCACACTACATCACCTTTGATGGGGCTCTGGCTCATTTTCAGGGCACATGCTCTTACATCATTAGTGAGAGTGTGAGCCACGGCACCAATGAAACCCAGTTTCAGGTGATTGCCACCAATAATCACCGTGGCAACAACCGTGTCTCGTTTGTTTCAACAGTGGATGTATACCTCTCAAATCAACCAGAGACTGTTAACATCAGGATTGGACCCAACAAAAGGATAACGGTAAATTCTTAATTACTTTCAAGATGAATGACTTTTGACATCTGTCTGGGTTAAACATATGACATAACAAGTGCCTCCTCACTTCTTGTCTGTCTCTTGTATAACTTCTCCTCCCTCAGGTAAATGGAAGTGAAGTGTCTCTTCCCACCACTGCAGGAACTTTAGCTCAGGTGGGAAGACAGGGAAGCTACATAGTGGTCGATGCCATTCATTTTATAGTCCAATTCGATGGCTGGAGTACTTTACTGGTCAGACTGGACAGAAATCATCAAAACAGAGTCACAGGGATGTGTGGAAACTTCAACAATGACCCTGGAGATGACAAAGTCTTGCCTAATGGCACATTGGCACAAAATGACAATGACTTTGGACACAGCTGGAAGGCACCCACAAGCAAACCAGGGTAATTACAACACATATTTTTTACAACTATATTTTTTAATACAAAATGCATGAGAATTTGTTATTCTGGGAATCTCAATTGTTAATTCTATTTAAAAATGTCTTTAATCGCAGTCGCTCAGAAATACCTCAACCAACAAAGTAACATATATATTTTTTAACATAAGCATCGAAACCAGTAAAAGGTTTGAGGGTTTCACAATAAAATGAATGTCTTTTCCAGATGTGGATCCACTGATGATGAAAGTGGGGATGGAACTAATGACTGTCCCTTTATGGAAGAATACTCTGAGCTCTGTAGTGTCATCACCAACACTAGCGGCCCATTCAGTGCCTGTCACCTTCACTCTGACCCCCAGCCATTTTTCAGTTCCTGTGTCTACGATCTCTGCCTCTACACTACAGCCAATGGCATGTTGTGCTCTGCTGTCTCAGCCTATGAGAGAACCTGCTCTGTATTGGGGTTGAACATCTCTGAATGGCGCTCAGCTTTGCAATGTGGTATGTTTGTACTGGGCTAACAAACCATGCCAAGATAATACATGAGAAAAAATATATTTCAGTTTTTTTTACCTGTACTTTTTCATCATTCCTTCGCTCATTTTTTCCCCACCGCTTCTGCAGATGAGTCAGACCCCTGTGAACAACTGAACTGCACAGAGTATGAGTGGTGCGGTGAGAGAGACGGTGTTTACGGCTGCTACTGTGATGAACACTATTCTCGGCCCAACAGTGAGAGTTACGGTGCGAGGTCCTCTTGTCTTCACAGAACACACTAATAATAATGTTGTTATTTGTGAGATTTTTGTTAAAACCAAAGGAACATAATGTGCCTTTATGGCAATATAAAGGTATTCAAAAGCCTTTCATTAGTCCTGTCTTGGGATCTGGTATACCAAAATCTATTTTCATTTTTTTCCCTAGACTCTTTCATCACTTGTGTGAGTAGTTCAGGCACACTATCCCTGTCACGCTGTCAGCTGTTTGAAGCTGGCTTCCATCCTACTGCCCTTCATCTCCGAGATGGTTCCTGTAAGGGGACTCTCCAGGATGGACGACTAGTGTTCAATTTTAACAATGATGACCAGCTATGTGGGACGGTTCTCAGGGTACAGTCCATAGCCTACAACGTTATCAAAACAGACAGATTTTAGATGTAAATGTTTAACACAGGATGGATTGCATCTGTAATATACTAATTATACCTCTTTAATCATCTAAATCTTAAAGAGCAATGGGACCCACTTCATCTATGAGAACTCCATCCAGAGCAATGAAGACACAGACATTGAGCTGGTTTTCTGCTGTGAATACCCTCTGACTCAGGCCCTGTCTATGGATCTAGGCATCAATCCTGTAGAGAGGTACAGTAATAGTCACAATAGTATCTCCAAAGAAATGCTGAGCATTTTTACAAGAACACATACTGTGTTTGATCTTATGTTTGCAAGCTTTAAATCATTACACATATTCTTATAGATATATTACACAATGCTAAATGTTCACCTAGATTTTCACCAGTGGTTAAATTTCATCAAACGACAGTATTATGTTTATGTGCTCGAAATAATCATAGTATATAATAACCTGTTTTGTGTGTGAACATATGTGATTTTCTATGTCAAGATGTGGCCTATGAGATTTTTTCCAGCAGTCTACTAGAACATTTTCTATTAATTAGAAAACAATACATTTAAAAAAAAAAAAATACAATATGTTAATAATGTTGTGTTTTCACAGCATTGTGAAGAAGAAGCTCACATCTGGCCAGGGTCACTATCATCTGAGAATAATCCCCTACCAGGACGCTGGCTTCCTCGTCCCCCTGACTGGAAAGAGGAACATAGAAATGGAAATCGACCAGAGGTTGTATGTGGAAGTGCGGGCTGAAGGAGTTGATGAACGGCAAATCTCCACCATTCTGGACTCTTGTTGGGCCACACCAGTCAACATCGCTGGCTACCCTGTCCGCTTGGATCTCATTAAGAATAAGTAAAGGAGCTATTGCAATTTCACCTTGTGTTATTACACTAAAGAATGGATAAATGTAATACTAGCGAAAATCTTGCCTCTCCCCACCTGCTTCACTCATCTTCTCTTCTACAACCCTGTTACCTACTAACATAGTAACTTCTCCCTCTTTCCCTGTCTTCCAGGTGTCCTAATTCAGAAGATGGTTCAGTCGAGCTGGTTCAGAACGGTATCTCCACTGTGGCCCAATTCTCATTCAGGATTTTCACTTTTACCAATTTTCCATCCATCTATCTGCACTGCCAGGTCCACCTGTGTCTTTTGAGCAGGAGCAACTGTGCAGCTGTATGTACCATTATCCATTCTTCCTCACACTCCTCTATAATCTTTCCTATTTATTTTTTCCTCAGTGAGACAGTTGAGTTTGTAGGTGACACATTAGACTAAGTAGCAGAGGTGGCAAAAGTACACACATTCTTTACTCAACTACACGGCTCCAGTAAAAGTAGAAGTACAGGCTCTGTAATTTACTAAAAAGAAAAGTTTCTCTGCAGGACATTTCTACTGTTACTGTTGACATTACTGCTCTTCCTGTGCAAAGCTAGGCCACCAGTCTATCACAAGGGTAACACAGAGAGTACTGGACTCATACTCATACATTTGGAATCACTTTCATAATCACATTCATATCTGTGGTCAGTTTGAGTCTTATAACCTGCAATTCCCTGAACTGAGGACACATTGTGTCTGTGTGTGACTGGTAAAAAAAAATCCTGTACTCCAAAAGCACAAAGTGTGATTGCTCAGCTGCTTTGTCTCTAGGGTTGTGCTGCAGAGCCCTTAAATGATCGCTATCTGTAAGTCACAATGAATCCATCAATAAAACCCTGCAATGTTGTTCTTGCAGTATTGCAACCCAGGTCACCACAGAGTTTACAGAGATGTATACTACCATGACTCTATAACGCTCTCACTTGGACCTCTGATTGCCATGCAGAGTACAAACTCGGTATGTACATATTTATATTTTTTCATAACATCGATATTATTGGCAATTATATATGTATGTTTATATATGATTATATTTTGGTTGCTCTCTTGCAGAAAAGAATGATGAATCCTGCTGGATGACCTTGTCATGTTGGTGACTGCAACAGCTCTTCGAATATTAAGAGCTCACGTACAGTAAACAGATGAATATATAACCAACTATAATATCATTATTAAAGGACCATAGCTCTATCATGTAACTCTTTATCCTAAGCTATATAACAATCTCTTGAATATTGTTTTCCTCTGCATAGTCATAACATAGATTTTAAGAACTAAATGAAACGTTAATCTGTACGGTACATGATTGTTTTACATGGAAGATTGTAAGCCTTGAAATATTTAACATATCTCTCAATGCTTCATGTCTCACTTTCTGTATGTATCGATTGTCATGGTTGAGATTAACCATTCAAATAAATGAAGTAATTGCTGTTAATCTTTTTCAACAAGAAAAGTAAGAGAGTCCTACTTGCAAGACTAAGCCATGAAGAGAGAAGTCTGTATAATCATCAAACCACCCTTAATATGAATTAAAGTTTTTATTTATTATTATATTTGATAATTCTGATATTCAAATTAATTGATTGCACCAACAAAGTTTGGTGCCCCTTTAAACCATTTTATATCCCAACATCATAGAAAACACGAAAGTCAAAATCATGGCTTTGTTCTTGAATTTTATTTTCTTCTGCACAGAGTAAAGTTAAATGACAATCCAGCTTGTACATGACTTTTGGTCTGGGCTGTGATACACTAATGGGTCATGGAGAATTTGAAGTCTTGAATCTGTTAACTGACAACTTAAAAGTTACAAATTAAACAAGTGGAGAAGCTTGCATGCCTAAAACTATCATGCCTGATCCCCATCAAGGTATTTTAGCCCCTAATCTGATCCGAGTCATATTAATAGAGTACCTGATACAGAGTCCCGATCCGTTACTTGTATTTTTTGCGCACTTCAAGTACATTAAAGTTACTAAAATCAATCAATTGCTTGACAATTGAATAGCTCTGCATTGCATTAATACACTGTTCTTTGTTTTGTTTTTTACACAGTAAAGTTTAAAATAAAGAAACGTTGGTAATCTCAACATTTTTCTAGCTCTTATACTTTTTTACAAATAAAACGTTAATAAACATTAATTATTTTCAATATTGTTTTCATGAAAATAATTGCGAGCACTCATAATAGCAAGGTTACAGCCTATCTGTCATGCAATGGTTGATAATGTAATGGCAATATTTAAGAACCTATACAACCCTTTGACCTGGTCATTGTAAAACCATATGCAAATGTTAAAGAGGCTATTATATGCATATAACCTTTAGCCCTGTTTCTAACTACACTCTATGTCCAAGTAAACAGCGGGATGTTGAGACTTCACTAAGATGCCAAGGACATGATCATCTCATCACACTATCTGTCTGTGTACTGTCCCACAACTCAGGAATGTGTAACTGTGTTTGAGTGACGCTCCAACAGGGGTAAAACCATACTGCTTCTTCCAATTGGGGCTCTTTCGGACTTTCACATACAAGTGTATGTAGATAGATAGATAGATAGATAGATAGATAGATAGATAGATAGATAGATAGATAGATAGATAGATATTCCTTTATTTGTCCCACAATGGGGAAATTCCAATGTTACAGCAGCAAAGTGGATAGAGAAAAAACAGTAATAGTAGGGAAATAATAAAAACACTATGTACAAGACAGTAAGAATCCACAACAGATAACACAAATAGTAGCAGCACTTGCACATGGGCAATAGATTGCACAGTGAATATGGTATGGTATTGCATAGTAATTATTGCACATTGTTATTGTCAACATTATTATTATTATTGATGCCGAGACAGGGGGATTACTGGGAGCAGTGCTGGTTGTTTAACAGTCTGACAGCAGCAGAAAGGAAGGACCTACGATATCTCTCCTTCATACATTTGGGGTGAAGGAGTCTGTCGATGTGACGGTTGCGTTGAGACCATTCATAGATGACTTGAATAAAACTTTACAGAAAGACAAGATCATACTTTGTATGCTTTATTAAACAAATTGCCACCACAATAACACCTGCAGATATAATATATAACAGTAGCAAATATTTCAGACATGCTCTGCTGTTCATGGGCAGAGAGGTTAAAGCACATGGCCCATGACTTCATGGTGAGTGGATTAATATGTCACCTGTGACTTTAAGAAAAAAATAATTTCCAAAGTTGAGCTGTTTCTGTGATTGATTAACCATTTATCAACGTCTGATTGTTTTTGAGATGTTTAACAATAAGGACTTCTCTATTTTTTCACTATCTTTCCTTCTTCACACTGGTCTAGCAGGTTGATCAGTGGTTGGAGTTCAGGGCTGACATCTGAACATTGGGCAACCCTATAATGGATGCCACTATGTTTAGTAGTGCAATGGTTACCGTACTTGTTTGGTTCACACGAGAAGGCAATTAGATGAGTTTCATCTGAGTGTCTGAAACTGGTCAAACAACAGAGGAACTGTGCCAGTTCTATAAAGTTGCAAACCTGCAGTTTCACATGGTTATGAATTTTCAGGCAAAGTTTCTGCAATTTCAGCAATGCTTTAGAAATAATTTTAGCTGAAGCATTCACACTGCATTTTCCCCAGGAAATGCATTTTCAAATTATAAATAATGATGCACATTCAGAATGTACACTTGCATCTTTCCATATTTTTCAGTTATCTGAGTAATATTTATTAGCTTTTAGATTTAAATTTAGACTGTGGATAAAGCCTAAATCTACTGCATTCCACTAAAGGTAGGTGAGAAAATATGTTCAGAATGTTTTGTTCGTCATGACGAAGCAATTAGATTTCATACATCTGAATGCCAGTAACTGGTCCAGCAACATAATTATAGAACTGTGCCAGTTCTTGCTGTATAAAGCCTGGTTGCAGACCTGCAGTTTCACATAGATGAGAGGGTAAAGAACAAAAGAAGCCCATATGAACAAGTAATGAAATTATTTTGTAGAAATTAGACTTTTTTTTAAGCTGTTTCTTAATGATAGTATTTCCCCACAAAAATGGTGCAATTGATAGTAACTGAACGATAGTAATAACTTTTGCGTTTAAGTTTTTTGGAGTCAACTATGGGACAGAATTTTTTTTTTAACTTTAATAAAGCATTGTCCTGTTTGTTTGCCAGTCAGCAGAGTATTAGTTATATATAACATATTTGGCTATTAATATCAAATAAGAAAATTACAGGATTGTGTTTGTGTGTTAGTTTTTTTGGTTTCTTGTCTCAAACTTAATTTGTTATAATTGGTCTGTAGGTTTTTATTGTAGGATTTGGAGAATGGTGTCAAATCATGTTGGCTGTGCTGCTTTTGGGGATGATAAGTAAGTATTCAATTAAATCAAATTAAATTAAATTCACATTTATTTCTGTTGATGCATTTATGTAAATTCCCTGACTTTTTGTCTACTGATGTTAGCAGTCTCAGATTTTGGTCCAATTATATTTAGAGACGCGACGGATGAGTGTGAACGCCCTTCAACCCCCATCATCCCGCTGGCAGGCAACAACATTTGTCCGGGAGGGCGAGGGTCAGGCCAGTCTCACCACCTCAAGGCCGGATGCTGGGCAGTTGAACAGGGCACGTGATTGGAAGTTGCTGGTAGACTTAAACCAAAAGCTGTGCTTCCTGACTGAAATCGCATCCACCAACCTGCGACCAGACCTTGTGCTGTGGTCAGCTTCGCTCAAGCACGTGTACATCATTGAGCTCACGGTCCCCTGGGAGAGTGCAGTAGAGGAAGCCTATGAGCGAGCTACAACAACGAGGCTGGACAACGAGGGTCTGACCAGTGGAGGTAGGTTGCAGAGGGTTTGTAGCCACCTCAACATCCAGGCTACTGCGGGAGGTGGGAGTGCGAGGGAAGGCCCATCGGCAGGCAGTCAAGGACCTCACCAGAGCTGCTGAAAAGGGGAGTCAGTGGTTGTGGATAAAGAGGAAAGACTCCACCTGGGCCCTCAAGTGAGTTGATGGGATCTAGGGAGTGAACCTGGGACGCTGGGATTCACTGCTGAACCCTCTGGTGGTGTCGTGGGCCTATCAGCGAAACACCTGGGAAGGAGGGCTCCCACTTGATAACCCAGAGGATGCCATCACTCACTTGACCATCCCACAAGCTACTCTGGATCTCTCCTGCAGGGAGTAGATTGCTATTTGTGTAATTCTACTTCTTACTGAATCGATATCGAAACATTCAAATCAAAATCAATAAATCGAATCGAATTGTGAGGTTTTTAACAATACCCAGTCCTACTCTATAGACACTTTGCATTTAGAGGCCTGATGTACGACATTCCCACACTACCTCCTATCAAGGGCAGGTAGAGCGCTTTAATAGAACTTTACTGTCAACACACAAAAAGCTGACTGAAAGAGCTCGTTTCCCAATATGGTGCATGCATATAACTGCACCCACAGTGGAACCACAGTGTTTTCTCCCTATTACCTGCTTTAAGGGTGTTCCCACTTGTGTAGTCTAGGGTATACGCGGGTATAGAAAATCAGAGAGCAGATGGCATAGAACAGGCGTTACTCACCTGTTTAACTAATGCTGGCTTTACAGAAGAGTGGCTTCATGAAAACTGGGTAACATTTGTATCTGATGGAGCCAGTGTCATGTTAGGAAAGAAGTCAGGAGTAGCAACCAGGCTGACCTCGAGATTCCCAAAGCTTTTTGTATGGAACTGTATGAACCATAGACTTGAACTCGCTGTGTCAGATGCAGTTGATGAGGTAAACTCACAAACAAACACATCAAAACTTTTATCCAGAAGCTATATTCTCTGTATAGTGTGTCAAACAAAAATGAACGTGAACTCAAATACAGCAGCTGAAGTAGGCTCACAACTTCTTCGCATTGGCAGAATCTTAGATGTACGCTGGGTGGCCAGTAGCTTTCGGACTGTTTGTGCTGTTTGGACATCCCTGGGAGCTCTTGTGCAGCACTTTAAAAATGCTTGCTGTGATGAGACGAGGTCCACCAAAGACAGGCAAATGTACAGAGGTTTACTAGACCATGTTCAAAGTCCATTTGATGTGTGGAAGAGAATGTTTTGCGTTTTTTTTAATCTAAAGTGAAATATGAACAAGGATGCATTGTGAAATTCAGATCTGAAGTATTTTATTTAAATAAATGTTCAAAAAATAACTGAAACACCATGTTTGCCTCATCTATATTTTACATTTATGCAGGCTGCCTGTGTGACCAGTAATACCTACAAACTGCTCCTGATCAAGTCATGTTAATTTTATAATAGTGGCACACTCTGGCCCACGCTATCTGTTGCAAATCAGCTGTTCAAAGACACAGTTTACAAAAGAAACTACTGACTTGCCAAGTGAGAGAATAGGTGTCATTCCAGGAATAAGGAATAGTTCACTCAAAATGCATAGTTGTCTCTCACTAGTTTGTGGGCCAGTATTGGTTTAGTAATTTCATAATCCTTCCTCCCTGAGATCAAGCAGCAGAAATTATGTGACGATGAGCAAATACTACTGACGGATTTTTGGGTAAACTAAATAGAGTAGTCTTACATGTCACTGTTTCTAAAACAGGGCGCTTTTCTGGGCTGTGTTAAAAAAGGTCAAAAATTGAGAGTATACCCACTTCTCCAGGGACCACTACACCATCGTGTTCCCTCTGTGTGCTGATAGACCTGCTCTTCAACCTACAGCCCAGTGAGACACAGGAAAGTTATGTAGAGTATGTTCAGAACAAGACAACATCACACAAGCAGACAAGTGGAGAGCTCAGACAGTGAAAGCAGTTTACTGCAACTAAAAATGTATGGTATAGTACCAACTGGAATGTACACTATGATAAATGGACACGATTCAGACATTACACAGTGAATTACAAGAGTAATGACAACTATGAACATTTAAGTGCCATTTAAGAGTAATACCATGTGAATTCAGGAAGAAAAGTCAATATGTGAAGCGGAAACACTCCTTGGTAACTAAATGTCTTGAGACATTTAAAATTGAGGGGGAGAGTTTAGTGCAATAAGATAATTTCTTGGATAGAAAATAAGTTTAAAGAATTTTCCATATGTGCTTTCAAAGTGTTTAAGGGAAGAAGAGGAAAAGTGTTCATATTAGTCAGAATTGAGGGTATAAAGTTATTCATCACCAGTGCCATTGTTACAAAGTAGTACCAGCAAACCGCCAGTCGGTGTCAGTGTTGGTATGTGAACAGTGGATGAGCAGAGGGAGTCACCGTGTGAGCAAGTCAGAAACTGAGAGTCCCCCCCTTTATTAAATGTGGAGCACCAGACTGAGCCAGTGTGACATAATTCTGTGCATCGATACATAAACATTAAGACATAAGACACTCTTTTTCATTGCAGGCAGTTTCTAAAGAGTTTAGCACGGGTATAGGTCTGCATTTGTCTTAAGATGTTGACTGACGATCAGGTTGGTTATTTACTGTCCAAAATAAGATAAAATAAAGATTTTTTATCATTTTGTATAGACAGGATAAGCTGTTTTTTCTGTAGGCTCTCAGCCCCCCCGAGCCTAACCCAAATCCTGCATCCAGCCTCCAGCAAGCTCCAGTGGGCTCATGCTGAGCTCTGAGGTCAGTGATCAGTGAGGTCCATGCCCGTACCCAGTGATTGTTCCCAGCTGTCCTTGAGTGTGTGTGTGTGTGTGGATACGAGAGGTCAGACAAGATTAGGCACTGGGCGTAGGCACAGATACAGACTGGATAAAGGATTTGGGTTTGGCTCAGGGGGGCTGAGAGCCGTTCCTGTGTGGGCTGGAGGTATCTTGTTAATTCAGAAAAACAGAGCAGAATTTTTTTTTCTAGTGAAAGAAAAAACTGTTGATTAATGGACTGGACATGACTGTAAAAAGGCCACAGGATGGGTTAAAAACCAGCATGTTTTCAGCCAAGGTGGATGTTCTGAAGATGGGGAAGCTGAACTGACTGCGCAGCTGTACAGACAATTTTGGTTGAGGAAACAAGTGAAGGTCTGGAAATTAGAGGGAATCATTCTTGGAGCCATTAAAGTTTGTATTTTACAGCACTGAAGATGTGGAAGTTTCTTGAAGAAATAACAGATAGTTGAAGGTATACTATTGGCATAATGTAAATACCAAATGGACATGAACAACTACTACTTGTACTGGTACTACTTGTACTTTTAATACAAGTAGTAACGCACTTCAACTGTTGTGATATGCTGTTTGCTGAATAAAGGGCAACAAAACTTTACAACGACAAAACAAATTTACTCAGTTTGTGTTTTTTGTTTAGTTTTTTTTAAGTTCACTTTGGTTTTACCATGAAAAAGACAGAGCTAAGTTAGCGTATTTTAAGATAGGCCTTTCACTGACCCCTCACCCCTCAAGACTTACAATCTGTCGGTACTGCAGCACCAGCCACACACATACAACAGACTAACGCTTTCGTCTAACAACTGCTGCTTCTTCCTTCAGGGATGTGGGAATCGTGTGCCACTGTTGGAAAATTAGCCAAGCTATTAGCATTTATAAAGTTGTTATTTATTATTGGAAATCAGGAAAAAAGTGTGGTGATGCTAAGTTAGGTTCTGTCTTTTTATCTCTTACCCTCATCCTTTCCAGTTCCCCCAGTTTCCCTGTTTCTAGCTTAAACCACCCTTCTCTTTCTCAACTACACATTTTCTCTCCCTCTCCATCTGTCACTCTACCCTCATGTCATTTTGGCTCCATCCCTCTGGATGCTGCTGTTTCCCCCGTATTGTATCTGTCACTCTGTAGTCACTCTTCCTTCTTTCCTACTACAGCTTAAATATTGAAGCTCTCCATCCACTCCAATACTTAATTTTTCACATTAGTACAAAGTAATTACAAGTATACATGTACTTAACTTCAGGACTTCCCTTTTCTGCAAGTTAATATGTGTACACTTAAGAGGGAAAATACTGTTCTTCTGCTGCTATAAGGATTTTAAATAAAATATTCACGTAAAACTTATGATCTGTTTATAGAATACGATGCATTGATTAAGATTAAATGACCCAACAGCTCCACTTCAAGCCACAATATTAAAATGCTGTTTGCACAATATAATATATATATATATATATAATAATGCATCTGTAATAACAACCAAGTAATATAATTTATAATATAACACTGACACATACATTTTTCTGCATAATAAGTATGTTTACATTTGATACTTTAGATATTTTGTAATGATAATTTCACTGAGATTGTAAATGCAGAACTTTAACTTCTAATAGAGTATTTTACTTTGCGGTATTGAATTTTTAATTCAAGTAAAATGGATTAAAGTACTGAAGTGTTAAACAAAGTAAGGAGAAATGTAACGTTACAGTTATATCTGGGAAGAAAAGCCGAAAATAAAAGAGAAGGGTGAAGCATAATAGCAGATTAGAGATAACATATTTTTTAAAAAAGCACTAACATAACGTTACTTTAAGAAACTTTGACCAGGTTCTAATTCTGTATGGTCGTTATGTTAAACTGAAGGTAAACATAGCAACGGCACTCAACGGACAGTTAGTTTAAAGTTAAGTAATAACGTTAACTGTTAGTTTAAAGTCATTGTTAAACTCACTACAAAGAAAAAAAAAAGTATGAAAGAAATTGCTGACCGTTGCGAAGGTTGGTTTCGGGTAAGTACGACATATAATGCAATGCTTTCTGAGTTATCCTTGTGTTTAAAATAGCTAATGTTAATGTTAACTTTTAGCTGCTAACGTTAGCTAGCGAATTCCAGCCGTAACCTCCAGCGGGGATGTGAGCCACGGCTGGGAAAGTCATTAGCATTCATAAAGTTGTTATTTATTATTGGAAAACGGGAGAAAACTGTGGTAAAGCTAAGCTAACGTAGGTTCTGTCTTTTTTATCTCTTACCCTCATCCTTTCCAGTGCCCTCAGTTTCCCCGTTTTTAGCTTCTCTTTCTCTACTCTCTCCCTCTCCATCTGTCACACACTAGTCCCCCCATAGTCTTATTTCTCCCACTTCTTCCTTCTTTCCTAACTTAAATATTGAAGCTCTCCATCCACTCCAACATCCAATACTTCATTTTTATATGAGTACAAAGTAAGTATAAGTTAATACTTGTACACACAAAAACTGTTCTTCTGCTACAATGCTGTAAGGATTTTTATATAAAATCAGTTTATAGAATATGATGCATTGATTAAGATTTAATGACCCAACAGCTCCACCTCAGCTAGCCACAATATTAAAAAGCTGTTTGCACAATAATGCATCTGTAATAATAACCACATTATATCATTTATAATATAACACTGACACATGCATTTTTCTGCATAATGAACAATGTGATCCTCTGCCTCCACACCACAACCAGCCAGATCCACTCTGACTAGATCTCCATTTGTAGCCCATCGGCCTGAAAGTGGGGTGCTGTTTTGTTTTAGACCTGCTGCTTTGTTGCTCAAGAATAATCACTTGGAGAAAAGTGAAGTTATATTTTGTGGTACACATTAAAGGTTGAGGATCCTCTGCAATAGTCTAGATTCTTTTGTCACTTGGTAATCCATGTGTATCCTCTTTTAACAGCTTTTATCAGTGCTAAAGCCTAAAGGATGCTGGGAGATGTAGTTGGAACAGTAAGAGTTAATCAACTGCAAAGACCAGCAATAATAAGCTGTGTGACATGCAGGCCCATGTGTCCCTGCAGTGCTGGGCTTCTCTTTTAAAAAATAAAAGCAGCTCAGGACTCCAGTTCCCCTCATTTCCTTATAATGGCTCAACTGACATTGTACTGTACCACCTGAGACTTAAAGCACTAATGGCATTTGGAGCGATGAAGTCAAGCCAAGGCCAAGTCATGTATGAAATTATCAGGGATCGTTGTTGGTTATAAGTTCCCCCCTCACCGACCACAGTTATTGTTAATGCATGGCCATTTAAAAGGTTTATCACTGTCTACAGGAGGCTGTCAAGAACAGATAACCAGCAGCATTACCATATCTGCTACACTTCAATCATCAGCGGTCAGAGCACTAGAGAGGGTGTTGACATTTACCTTGTCTCTTTCTGCAGAATCTTGGCACTGCAATGACCATCTGATTATCATTTATTTTCACAGCACTCCACCTCGTGACCATCTGGTTATCAACTTATTCATTTATGCAGCTTCTCTAATGTGTATATTTATCAACATATGGCTGCTATTATGTTATTTTTTTCTTCTTCTACACTTAGTCTACCTGTTCTCTTACAGAGTATCACTGAGAAGCCGGTGACACCGGAGTACGAGGTGGCACCAGTGCAGAAGTCGCGCTTCACTCTGCTCCACGACAGTGTGGCCAAAGCCCTGTGGGACTGGCTCATTCTGCTGGCCACCTTCTACGTGGCTGTCGCTGTGCCCTACACCGTCAGCTTCACGCCGTACCATGACACTGTCGCGGCTTCATACTTCACCATTGTCAGCGACATTTTAGTGGAAATGCTATTTATTATAGGTGAGGGTTAAAAAAAGTTACTTTGCTCAACTAATTAGTAGTTATGACCATCATCAAGCCAATTCTGTCCACTCATTTTGACATTTTTTATGCCATGACGTGAAACTTTTATCCAACATCTGTTCACTTTTATGGAAGAGGTGTCCAGCATTTTTAAAGTGCTCTGCACATTGCCATGTGTGCTTTCTAGAATTTTAAAATCCAATTTTGCCACCACCATTATCATCATCTTACCTTCTGTCAACTTCTCCTAACTGAAATTTGTATTTAGTGATGAGCCATCATCTCTGCAAATATCGACAGCTTGGATGACAGACGAGGTTTTGCCTTATCAAACACACACCCAGAGGTCTGCCTGTTATGTGCTGGCAACAGTCTGACACTGGGGTTAGATGATTTGTCTAACAAACTCAATGATCCATATGGATGCCTTAAAACAATGGCATATTCCAGCTGTGTACATCACATACAGGTGAACCACTGGGATTTAATCTGAGTTTGTGACACTTCCTTACCGCATACAATCAGTTTTATTTTATCAGCCACTTTAATGAATGTGAAAATGACTATACCTTATTTCAGTTACTGAGAAAAAGAATTACCTTCGACCTTTATAATTGCAGACATTATCCTGAACTTCCGCACCACCTTTGTGAGCCAGTCAGGGCAGGTGGTGTATGAGTCGCGCTCCATTTGTGTTCACTATGCCACCACCTGGTTCTTTGTGGACTTGTTGGCTGCTCTGCCCTTTGACCTACTGTATACCTTCAACATCACAGTGGTGAGTACAACTGGCCAATAACATGTCCAGTCTTCTTTTTATTCATTGCCCTGCCATCCATGACTGCTGACATAAGCAGTTCAATAATTATTCATAATACACAGCAGTTTGCATTAAATGTACAACCTTTAGAGATACAGTAAATTGCATCTGTTGCCACTTCCTTGCCTGCCTGTGTGACGATTGCTCCTCAATAGTGAATTTTACACAGGAAAAGCACATTTGTTTGAGCAAAATAAGTCGCTGCTTGTCCAAGCTGTGATATTCAGCTGTTTATATTCAGTATATGTACAGCCAAAGTTTCCAGATATAACAAAGCAGAGGGACTCACTTTCTCACTCCTTTTCCCCATCAATATGCCCCCCATTATTGCTTTTCCTTTTCAGAGCCCCTTGGTCCACCTACTCAAGACTGTACGCCTGCTGCGCCTCCTTCGTCTTCTTCAGAAGCTGGATCGCTACTCCCAGTACAGTACCATGGTGCTGACCTTACTAATGTCTGCGTTTGCCCTGCTGGCACACTGGATGGCCTGCATCTGGTATATGATTGGAAGCATGGAGATAGAGAACAGTGAGACCTGGGACATTGGTGAGTCTGATTTTGTTCAAGCATTGCTGAAGCTGAAGCTGTTTAAGTATGAAGGTCAGGACGTGTGTTTCATCTAACAAGAGCGAGAAAATATTATTTCTTGTCAGTGTAAAGGATACATGGAGTAATAGTTAAAACTGATTTTTATCATGTGCCATCACAAATCTAATATTTTATTTAACTGCTCATTTCATAACTTAAGCACAGTGCTGACTATATAGATTTGATTCAGTTTCCATAGGTGCTGTTTAAGTCAGTTGGTTCCTTTTTAAAAAGGCAAACATTCCAACAAATAAGACCATAGACTAGGTTTTGCCAACACAGTGAGTAGACATTTGTTGTGTCCCCACTCAGCTTTAAATACTCATGTCTCACCTATTGGGATCCAATCCAATCCAATCCAACTTTATTTGTTAAGCACTTTAAAACAACCAAAGTTGACCAAAGTGCTGATGTCTAGCTCTGCTCAGTGATAAGATGCTGGCAAACACCTTACTGTGGCACTCTAATGAGATCAAAAGCTGATATAAACAATTTGACATGGAGAACAATAAAAACCCATAATCAAGAACTGACTGTGATATACAGAAAAATGAAACACCTGGTCTAGTCTGCTGTGCAATGTAATGTGTGTGTGTGTGTGTGTGTGTGTGTGCATAATTTTCAGTCAGTATATTCTGTGTATAAGAAGTTAGGTCATACCTGCTAATTAACACTCTGCCTTTTTTATACCTGGAGGAACCAATATAATTCTGCCCTGTCCTGCACTGACATGTCAGCCTCCTGACACTGCTGAAAATCTCCTTCTGACACACACACACACACACACACACACACACACACACACACACACACACACACACACACACACACACGCAACATACACTTTGTCTCTCTTAGACCAGCATTGCAGTACCATCCTGCCACTACCACCTAGCTCTGAGATGACAGAAGACACACAGGCATAAAGTTAACTAAATAGTATATTTTTGACATTTTTCTCTCATGCTCTCTCTCATGCCTTCTCATTCAAGGGTGGCTCTATAAGCTGGGCAAACAACTGGAGACGCCCTACATCAACAGCACGGTGGGCGGCCCGACAGTACACAGCTCCTACATCGCTGCCCTTTACTTTACCCTCAGCACCCTGACCAGTGTGGGCTTTGGCAATGTCTGCGCCAACACCGATGCTGAGAAGATCTTCTCCATCTGCACCATGCTCGTTGGCGGTATGTCTGACACCAGGGTACATTCTCTCTCTGGTGTCCTGGCATAACAGTGCCTCTCTTCGACACGCCAGGGCAAGAAATTGGGTTGGGTGATGGTTTTGCTGGCCTTTGAGACGCAGCTTGTTGACATCTTTATTAACCCTTACACAGATTATTTAAGCTGAAGTGGCAATTATTGGTTCAACAACCGAGGAGATAATCATTGTGTTTATATATTCTTTTTTAGACTGCTAGTCAGAACAGGATCTGTAAATGACTATTGCCCCTGTGTGGATCAATAGGTAAATTATTAGTAACAAGTGTAGATGTTTGGGTAGTAAACAATATAGAATTATTATTTTAAAGCAGTGGAAGGAGTAGAAAAGTAATTTTTTATTTTGTTACAGTTTAACCCATTCAAATTGTGGCTGAAAGAAACAGCCTTCAGAATGAAATTCCAGACTGTTTTATTTTTACCAAATATTCAGGCTATAAACTATTATTTACTGTCTTCCATGTCGTTTGTTTCCGTCTCACACAGCTCTGATGTACGCCCTGGTCTTCGGTAATGTGACGGCCATCATTCAGCGTCTGTACTCACGACGTTCTCTCTACCACACACGCATGAAGGACCTGAAGGACTTCATCCGTGTCCACCGTCTCTCCCAGCAGCTCAAACAACGTATGCTGGAGTTTTTCCAGACCACATGGTCTGTCAACAATGGTATAGATGCTAACGAGGTAGGGGTCCCTTTCATTATTGTTGTCACTTAATACTTTTGTAATGGTGGTGTCTGTCCTCAGTAAACTTCAGGGTAATGTTTAGATAACATTTGAGCACATTTAAAATCCACTCACAACCCTTTGCAGCTGTAGTTGTTTTATGATCTTTCACAACACTTGGCCGCCTGAACACCAGCAATTGACATCTTGAAATTCAAAAGAGGGTAACTGGTGGCGACACAGTCCATTCCCTAATTACCGATCAGTGTCACAGCTCATTACATCTGTCACACATCCCCAGCTCCTACACGACTTCCCTGACGAGCTGCGGGCCGACATCGCCATGCATCTGAATAAGGACATCCTCCAGCTGCCGGTCTTTAAGGGGGCCAGTCGTGGCTGCCTGCGCTCACTCTCCCTCCATATACAAAGCTCCTTCTCTGTCCCTGGGGAGTTCCTTATCCGTCATGGCGATGCGCTGCATGCCAACTACTTCATCTGCTCTGGGTCTCTGGAGGTGGTTAAAGACAACATAAAAGTGGCAATGTTAGGTTTGTGTGCACTTTTTTAGCATCATATTTAAGGTTTTAATGTAGTATAAGAGGGGGCAAGAAAGTTAATATTTAATGTTTTGATTTCAGGACCAGGGGACCTGATTGGGTCTGACCTGCCTGGTACAGACCAGGTGATCAAGACCAATGCCGATGTGAAGGCGCTGACCTACTGTGACCTCCAGTATATCAGTGTGCGTGGCCTGAGAGAAGTGCTGAAACTCTACCCTGAGTACGCCAGTGTGTTCGCCTCCGACATCCACAACAACCTCACCTACAACCTGCGTGATGGCAGCCTGGAAGAGGTACTAAATACACACTTGCACACAAAAAGTTGCATTGATTAGGGCTCCATTTTTCACAATTAAACCTGTCACAGTCATCTATTTAAACCTTTATATACTTTACAAAGACTTTAATTCAATATGCTTAAAACTGCCTACCAACCCACAAAACTTCAGCCACTGTCTTACTCACATGTTTACTGGTAAATAAGGATAAAATGATGAAGAAAAGCTTTCTAGTCAAATGGGGCTGTTATTAGAGGAGACAAAAACTCAGTTCTACCATTGGCATCACACTATTCCACTGCTCAGCAGGTGGCGATAACACGCCAAGTCTTGCTGCAATATACCAACACTGTGAAGAAGAAGACTGTAGGCTAATAAACAAGGAAAATTGGCTTTGCACATGTTTTGTGAGGAAGTAAATGCACTCACTACGTTAGTCCTCATGGATACACTCGATGCATTTCGGGTTAGTAACACTGAATGTAAACTATTGTTTGTTTACAGGAAAATTTCAAGGGGCACTTCTAATTTCCAAAGGTGTAATTTCTAGGGTTCAAAAGTTGAATAAATACATGAGGCTGTGTCTTTTGTAATCCCTGTTGCTTGTTTTTGTTCCTGCAGGGCCACAGCCCGTTCTCAAGGTCCCACAGGCTTTCCCATGTGAGTTCAGTTCAGCCTTCTTCTTTCAGAGGTGGTATTATTCATTTTTCCACAAGACATGGTTTCCTTCACATACTTGGTTTTTAGTGGGCTTGTGTCTGATTTTTCATTTAAACCCCCCATGTTTTTCTGGGACATACTGTATTGCTGGTGATTACCATAGGAGAGTTTGTGCAAGGACTTACCCTACAGGTTGAAACTCATTTGGAGAGAGCAGTTCAGACCCCGGAGTTAGCTCGCTAACTGGGTCACTAGCTCCCCTAATGGGAAACCTTTGAGCCACTTGTCTCACTATATACTGTATGCTCTATGCCCCGCCTTATTTTTCTATTGTTAAAATACAGTGTACAGTGCTTTCTTGGTCAGATATGAAAAGTTAAATTGAATATAAAACCAGTTGTTTTTACTCACAAGCACACAGGCATCTTGTGGTTAGAGCATAAAATATTTGTGACAGTATTAAAGTAATATAATTAAAATACTATCAGCTGTAAATTAAATGATGCAATAATTGCTCTTTATCAACAGCTTTTAAAATAAATAGATTACTCATAAAATGTTAAGGAAGAAATATATTGTTTTCCAACATGATTCCAATATTTAAAAATCTTTCAGTATTGATGTAATCATTATTCAGGTATTTCCCTTAACATTAAAAAATTGAGGATTAGTTCACCCTTCATTAGTGAAACCTTTTGATGGTGCTTATTGTATTTGCTGTGTTGTAGGAACCCAGGCTCCCTTTGGAAACAAAGGGGGACAACCCTGATGACTCCTTCCTCCTCTCACCAGCGACCCGCTCCCGTCGCAACCTCCTGCTGCCCAGCTTCGGCAGCCCTGTTCGCCCTACCCCCCTGGGAAACCTCCAGGGGGATGATCTGCGGCAGTTACAGCACAACGGTTTAGAAAACCTTAGTCATGGCCTTCACGGGCAGAGCTCATTCCCTCAGCCATCATCAAAGAAAACCCCAGATCTTAATCCCAGGTAGTGTCTACATTGATACAATGTCTACATTAAATTACTTTTCAATGTTGGTAGCTGGCAGGCCAAAATAAAGAAATACACCACACACACACACACACACACACACACACACACACACACACACACACACAGGAGTGTCCACCCCTCCAGACTAGGCTCTTCTCCTCATGTTCAAACACACACGGGCCTCAGATGATAAAATAATCTACTGTTACATTTACATAACATTAATTACTCCAGCTTCCCTCCTCTTCACCCCTTCCCCGCCAGGGTTGTAGACGGCATGGAAGACAATAGACACACGTTCCATTTCAACGTGGAGCACAGCGGGCCTAAGGCCAGTACAGGAGGCACCACCCAAGGTAGGCCAAACCGCCACCAGCTGCGAGAGTAACCTAGGTGCCAGATGGCTGGAGGTAAACTCAAGAGTTGAAACAGTGGATACAACACTGCTGCTCTGCCTCCTTCTGGGGAAATATGAAAGTGCACAGGAGTGAAATGACAGCCAGGCGTCTGAAGAGTCAGAGAACATGTTAAGGGACTGCAGAGGTCAAAGCAGGGAACAGATCGTCTGACCTGGGCTTCAGTCATAATTATGTTTCATATTAATATTGATAAATCCTTGCAGTGGTGTCCTTGAGTTGTGTGTTACTAAGTCAGCTACTGTTGGTGCTAATGTTTTCTCCTCCTCATTTCTCCAGACTCCACACAGTATAATGCCACTCTGCTGCTGGAGACGGAGGAGATGCGACAGAACTTCAGTCAACTCAACCAAAAGGTAAGGTACAGCCCCTCAACCCAAATTAAGACAGATTGGACCAAATATAATGTAGAATCAGCTCTATGTCCTATTCATCATTCCTTCTGGCTCCTGTCTGTTAAGTATTTCAGAGAGATTGAAAATAAAATACAGGAAGAATTAATCAACTGGAAAGTCAACAGAAAAACAAAATAAACTGAATGGTTCTTTCATAGATGCATTTCTGGCATTCTCATTCAATGAGCCATGTTTGTACATCTACAGGAAAAAAACATCCAATTAGATCAGGTAGACTCATTTTCTGCCATGTATCTGTCCGTGCACTATTCAACCTAGCTCTGCTTTTGGCCCTTCTCTGGCCCCCTTTGCCTCTTGTTTCACTCCCTTGTTTACAGTGTCTGCCTACTTTCATACCTATTTGCGTCAGAGATTAAACCTTAAAGATAGAAGCTGATTCATTTGTCCCGCTGTGCTGGGGACTTCATTGGGCAGAACTGTTTTTTATTTAAGCTGTTCATTGTAATAACCAAGTCTTTTAATTACACAACTAAACTGTGTGCACTCTCTACTCAGGTGGACAGATTTAATCAGGAAGTATCTGAGAGTCTGCACCACATAATACACCTCCTCCAGGCCCAGGTATCCAGCCCTCCCACAGCCCCCAACACTGGAATATCCTTTTAACCTAGCCTCAGCCTACCAACTCCAACATGAAGGCCATGGCCACCAAAGCAGCCCTCATAATCTTTTTTTTTATTTAAAAAATAAAAAAATAAAGTTCCACAACAGTGGCTTCCAGTATATACTGTATATTTTTTCCAACATCCTCAGAGCAATTTGCAGTTGATAGTACCTGTTACCTCCTTGCATGGTAAAGTTGTTTATTCTTTTTCCAAAGGAAAAGGTTTTCAAATCAATGTGTAAGCAACATGACAACCTGTTAATTGTGTACACATATACTGTATTTGTAAGGCAGACAGGTCAGAGTAGTTGGATGTCATTTTTCCTTTTTTTGGAAAAGAAACACAGAATAGAGTAACATGTTCTATAAATGACTGCTTAGTTGTAATAGAACATCTCATCTCAGTCAGAAATCCAGTTTAAATGTAAAATAATGAATATCCAACTCCGATTTAAGCTTAGGAACTTTGTGTTAAAGCTTCAGAAAAACTGGACTTAACGACTTTTTTCTGTATTGTACATTCATCAAAGTTAGACTTTGTGTTTGACAGGTGGTTGTGCATGATCTGAAACCCATTCTCAAAATATTGTTGCATGTATTCAGTTATGTCATAGGACTTAAATGTTTAATTTGATGGGTTATTCAAGTTTCATAGTCTGAGAAAGGCGGACGTAGTTGTAGTTTAGAAGTAGAAACATCCATTTTGTTCAGTCATTGGAGAGGCCGGTGTGCAGTACTCTGAAACTTGGAGAAGATAAAGACTTCAATAAATACATTTAAATAAAAGTATAATGTCATGGTATAGTCCTCCATTTGTAGTAATTTTGTTTGTTATCATGATTTTACAGTAAATCTAATAAAAGTTTATTCCTAATTATAACATGACATGAAACTGGCTGGTGTTGCGTTAGGAGATTTTTTCATCACTGGAAGATTTGTTGTAGCTTGGTAAAAAATTAGGTGATTTATCAATATGATGTCCCAAATGTATAAAGCAAGGGCAGGTTGGTTTGATTTTCACATGTGTGTATAGTTTTTATTGGAGATGGGTAAAATTTGCTTTGTTTATACTACGTACAAATGGTTAAAATATGTCCTTGGATGTGTTTTAGATGATTAAAAAACATTCTTGATCCTCCTCTCTTATTTGTGACTATATGTGAAAGAGTTGCAAGACCAGCAAGAAGCTGTGTTAATCAATAATTAGTGCAATCAACCTAAAATCAACAAATAGAGATGAATCAACTGTTCTAGGAGCTACAGGGGGCATCATATTTGTTCTAACTTTGAAGGTATTTTAGGGAATATTTAAGAAGATTGGTGCTCAGAAGGTTTAAGGGTTATGTCAAATCAGCATTCATAATGTGTTGCGCTTCAGTTAAATCTGGTTTTAAAGTTTGAGCCACTGTACCCCACTTACTTACACTGAAAACCTTAGTTTACCCTAAACTTTTACAGCTACTTCCCAATTTAAAATTAATGAATTCTTTTAATTAAACTATTGAAAATCCCAACAGTGCAGCCACTAGAATGTTCGGCTTTCCTAAAAAAAATAGAGGATTTGTGGCTGTTGTTTCTCTCATTAGTGTCTGTGGATTCAATGAGTTTCTTGTCAACGCTTTGGTTTATCCCCTTTTCTCACTAAGGCTGATCCGTCTCGACTCTTTATCCGATTATATAAGTGAACATACAGTATCTTTCATGTATTTGTGGAGAGGGAACTGTGAGTGTGCTTAGACAAGAACTTTAGCAGCAGCAGCAGTGATTCCTGATCAAAGTCAAAAAACAGCTATGAAGTTTAGCTCTTTATATGTCTATGTACATTTTATTCAAGCTATTTTGCTTATCTTTTTTCATGTTGGGCTTAAGTACACCAAGATGTACACTACTCTCAAAAAAACATTCATGATTCATGTTTATTTTGAGTTTCATGTCCCTTGGCTCAGTTTCAACAGGTCTGTTAACCACAGTTAACAACACAGCATGCCAGTTTTCTGACAGCTTCCTGTCAGAAAACTGGCACACAAAGTACAGCCTGTAAACAAATAAAGTCATGTATTCTCTTTATGGTGGTTTGATGATTATGACAACATTTGATTTAGCAAGAAACACGTCAAAGAACTGACACTGTTTATTTAACTGTAAAGGAAATCTGGTGGAAAACAAAACAAAACAGTGGGGAAAACATCTCAATATAACATCACATTTTCAAATCTCTGCTTAACTAGGTTATTATCATTTATTACAATATTGATAACATTATTAGTATTCTTAATATGTCTGGTTTGAGTGGTCATGGTGTTATCTGAAGGGTTAATGATCTACCTACGATACAGTGCGTGTCCTGTAGGGGTGTAAGAGTGTGTTTTCCCAGCATCCATGACTGTCCTTGATGAGTCACTCTGTGAGGAAAACCCAGATGACAATTTCAAAAGTTTGAAATTCACTGAATATGCAACAATAATGGAAAGATTGCGCAACAAAAGAGGATAAAAAGGAAGCCAGAGTATCAACTCTCCACAAGGACAATCACATTCATTCAGGTGGGATATGTTTGAGGTTTTGCATATGTGGATTAAATTGTTCTTACATTTAATTGGTGTCTGATCTTCTAACACTTTCCCATCTTTTCTTATACAGAGGCTTTTGCACAGAGACGTGACATTGTGAAAACATGAAGACTGTGATTCTTGCTCTGTTTGTATTGTTGGCTGTCAGCCAGAGTGAGTTGACGTGCAACCTGCAGTCTATTTTACCTAAATTAAAATGAAATTGCAGAGATAGTTTGATTAGGATGTTGAAAAACTACTTTTTTTCCAGGTGAAGGCTTGAGGTGTAACTGTGGAGGCCTGAAGCAATGCTCAAGCCCCGTGGAGACCTGCTACGGTTCAAACAATGTCTGTGCCAGCGTCATCATTTATGCTGGATCCCGTAAGTGCTTTAGTCTTCACTCGGCTGGAGCAGCAGTAACAGGAGGTGGTCACAATAAAGTGAACAGTGACTACTACTACTACTGCTACTAATAATAAGAAGAAAACAGTACTTTCTGTAATAATCCATCCTGTCTTTTTCCATGTTTTCACAGGTCCCAGCTACTTCAAGGGTTGCATGACATCAAATGAGTGCATGAGAATGAATCATCCAGGGATTTCATCTGCCTCTTGCTGCAGGACTGATCAGTGCAACAGATAAATGAATATCATCATCATGACTATCAGCTCTGATAAATTAATATTCTGCTGTCATGTAGTGTCTGTTCTGCTATTCTCATAATAAAGAACAATGTGTTCTAGTTTTTGCTGTTTATGCCTCCTCATTCTTTTATTCCTTCCCCTCTCATTTTTCTCTCAGAAAATTATTTTATTTCTCATCAGAATGTGAAATCCAGCTAAATATTATTTACCAGGTGGGTTAGTCAAAAACATCTTTTTCTTCTTGTTCCTGAAGTTGGATGTTTGAGCTTCACTGAGCAGAATGATTTTGACACTAGAAGGATGTTGCATGATGAAAGGGAAAGTTTCTCTGTGCTCATTAAAAATCAGATTTTAACCGGCGGGGGGGAGGGGTCTACAGGCATGATTTGTGACATCACAAATACTTTAGAAGTCAGTATGCCAAATTATACAAGTGCGATGTAGAAACTGGAAGCCACCAGTGCACAAACACTGAGAATGGACTTTATAGTGAAGTAGGAGACATTGTGACCAGCTTAAAATGAACAAAAGACAACAAGTCATGTTTATTTGTAAAGTCGAACATCTCATACAGTGACATAAAAATAATCTGATTCTAGGATCCAGGCTTGTCACTGGTTAGGATTGAAGCAGTGTTTTGTTCATTAAAAATGGTGGCTGTAATGCTTGTTTTGATTCCCCAGCTTTGGTTGTCTCTGTCTCAGTTCTCAGTCTGGCTAAATCAAAATCACCCTTTTCCAACATTTCATAAAACTCTACATAAAGTCTTAACGTTTTATTGCATCGTGATTAACATTACATAATTTTCACACCTCTATATGTATATATATTTTACTTCAATTTCTCATCTCTATCATAATTTTGTTTTGTTTATCATTTTCATTCAAGTTTGGTTACAAAACAGTTGGCAAAATCTTAGCACAAGGTCCACTTACCTACTGGAAATTTCAACAAGGACCCGTCAATCTAAACCTTGAGCTTCTTATATTTGATGATCGTTTATCATTTTTCAGTGCTCTGTTGTTGTAATTATTATAAAATGATGCAGACGGAAATAAACATTGAAGTTCATAAAAGTCACAGTTTGTCAAGCAAAGCCATGGTGCTATTTCAACATTGCACACTGCTCTCCATGTCACACAGTTTGTTGGAGAACAACTGTAGAGTTAATGATACACTGGATTTGCATTGATTGCTCAACATGTCCAGATAAATAAAAAAAAAAAAAGCTGACAGCCTGACAACACACGTTTAAGGTATTAAAACCCCAGTAGGACAATTTATCAGGTGAGCTGTCTTTACATTTTTTTATGTGGATTATAAGAGTGCTTCCAGCAAAACCTGGCATTTAATTTCTCTTACAATAAAAAGATTGATGTTACCGAGACATTGTGAAAACATGAAGACAGTGATTCCTGCTCTTCTGGTATTGTTGGTTGTCAGCCAGGGTGAGTTTATGTACAGGGAACACAACAAACCTGCAGTCTATTTGAACAAAATGTAACAGTATTCTAATCCTAATAGCCCGGTGGCACAAGGCTTGCTATTTAAATGATTGTGTTTCCAGCATGTCTGTTATGAGCAAGTTTTAAAGCTAAAGGCCAGTAATTTGATAATTGTGAAAACTCAAACTATTTTTACTATTACTAAAAAAACTAATTTGTTATCTGATAATCCATCCTGTCTTTTCCCATGTTTTCACAGGTCCTGCCTACTACAAGGGTTTTATGACAGCTAATGACTGCATGTTCATGAACTGTCCCGGTATATCATCTGCCTCTTGCTGCAGGACTGATATGTGGAACTATATATGTGATATGTGATACGGCACGGTGCAAACAGGCAATAAAAAATAAATTTTCTATAAATAGAAAAGACAAGTAAACAATCAAAAATTTAACAGACATAAAATAAACAACAATCAAGAATTAAGGCACTTGGGTATCTACATGGTGAAATAAAATAGGATAAATAAGTAAAGTATTTAAACAGGTGAGGTAGTGCGGTGTAGTGCAAATAAACAGTGCAAATAAACAGTGGAAAGTGAAATGTGCAGTCGAGGGGGGTATTGCACAAAACCAAGATATGGGATTAAGCCGGGATATGTTGGTTATCCTGGCTTAATTTTGCCTCAAGTCAGCAGGTCAAGTTACTATGGTGATTTATTCTCTGCAGCTAGCCTGCTCCAGACCAGGTTAACAGCCAGGCTAACATTAATCCTAGTGATTCACCTGTATTTCCACCGTCAATCCTGTGAGGAATTAATGTGTTTTACAGCATGTCCATGGTCTTTCTAAGTATGTTGCATCATTTTAATTATCCTGCATTAAAATATTACATATATATTGTCATTTCTCATTTCATTTAAATCTGTTGGCTGTTTGTAATTGCAACAGTCTTTTTATATTGATCCAAGTGGTAGTATTATTACTCAGGACAAGTGTTATATTGCTATGCTAATGAAGACTGCTTGTCAAACTGCCGTCAGAGGTTTCATAAATATGTGTTTTATTGCAGTAATTGAGATTACAAAACACAGCTGATGAAGTTGCAAAGGTGTTTTCAATGAAATCTGTGACAAGGGCAATATAGTAGGCTATATATATATATATATATATATATATATATATACACACATCTATATATATGTATATATATACATCTAGTACATAGTGTTTTTTATTATTTCCCTACTCTTACTGTTTATTTATACTGTTTTCTCTCTATCCGCTACTGTTACAATAAAGGAATATATTTATCTATCTATCTATCTATCTATCTATCTATCTATCTATCTATCTATCTATCTATCTATCTATCTATCTATCTATCTATCCAACTCCCATTCACCTGTTCCCTCTTCATAATGGCTTACCCTTTCTTGGAGGATGTACTGGATGAGGAAGCCCTAATCCTCAGACGAGCATTTAGTCATGAAAGAGTCTTCCGGGACAGGTCAAACCCATTGGCCTTTGGAGATGACTATCTCATTGAGAGATACAGATTCTCAGGTGACGGACTAAGATATTTATGTAGGCTGCTGGGTCCAAAAATACAGCACCAGACGGCAGGAAGCCATGCTCTCACTGTACCACAGATGGTCTGTGTTACATTGAGATGTTTTGCAAGTGGGAGCTTCCTTTATTCTGTTGGGGATGCAGAGAACCTCAATAAAGGAACCATTTGCCGAACATATCCTGGCTTGGTGGGCCGCCCCCTGTGCTATGGTTTTTTTTTTTTAACTGCTACAATCATACAGACATTCAACATGTCAGCAGACATCTAATCTATTCACCTCATTTGTTCACTGTTATCTACTTTAAAGTCACTTACCAGCCTGCAAAATGTTCTTGGATCTAACTTTTTTAACATTTTTAATGTAACTTGCTGCCAGGTCTTTTTATGGCCAGACAAGTTTGTTCTTTATGAATTGTTTGCACTTAATCCTACTCTACATTTAAGTAACATGCACCTCTACTTGCCACATTTAAAGCAAAGTGTACAACAGTTGATTAGTAACTCCTTTAGTCCTTTAATTGTAGCCTAATTATGACAGTTCCAGTGGAGCACTGTTGTAGTTTTGGACTACTTAAGCATTAAGCCGGTCCGCTATTGTCTGCCTGGCTTTCTCTCTTTCTTTAATTATGGCATTGATATTTCCTTTTTTTCTTCTATCTTTTACCTCTTCATAGAAGGGGAGGGGTCAGTACCACACGGTGATGCAGCTTGTCAGGATGCTCTCGATGGTGCCTCTGTAGAAGGTGTGCATGATGGGAGGCGGGGCTCCTTCTCCTCTCATTTTGCAGAGAAAGTTATCATGGCATCTGTCAGTGGGTGGGATATATTAGGCAGCAAGTTAATATTTTGTCCTCAAAGTTGATGTGTTAGAAGCAGGAAAAATGGGCAGCGTGAGGATTTGAGCTACTTTGACATTGGCCAAATTGTGATGGCTAGACGACTGGGTCAGCATCTCCAAAACTGCAGCTCTTGTGGGGTGTTCCCAGTCTGCAGTGGTCAGTACCAATCTAAAGTGCTCCAAGGAAGGAAAAGTGGTGAACCAGTGACAGGGGCATGGGCGGCCAAGGCTTATTGATGCATGTTGGGAGCGAAGGCTGGCCGTGTGGTCCGATCCAACAGACAAGCTATTGTAGCTCAAACTGCTGAAAAAGTTCATGCTAGTTCAGATAGAAAGAGCAGCTGCAGACCAGTCAGGGTCCCCGGGTGGTCATAACGTTATGGCTGATTGGTGTATATCCCCACATACCTGCCTGTTTGCTGTATTAGGACCATCCTCGCTACAGGGTGCGGGACCCTTAACAATCTCCCCTCTAGAAAACAACAAACGTATACACACATTTCTTACAGGAACTAGGGATGTCCGATAATATCCGCCCTTCGATATTATCGGACGATATTCACTAAAAAATTTAATATTGTGAATTATCGGTATCGGGTTTTTATAACCGATGTTTGTTCTGTAGGCTTCAGCATTTCCGAGCCTGCATGAACGCAGCATGGGACGTTTACCGGCGCGCGCTAGATGACGTATAACAACAACAACAACAACTACGCTAGACTGGTTGGTTGCTAACCGTGGCTAACAAGCAAACAATTTAAAGATGAATGATTTTAATATTAACACAAAATAAGTGCAATGCACCTTAAATATTTTACCCTGCTCTGAGCTGTTCCTTAACCAAACTAACAATTGGCTTAGAATTTACATTAGCACTCCTTCAGGTCCATAATACAATTAAACACATTAACCAAAGCTAGTGCCTAGCTAGCGATTAGCGTTAGCGCTCTTTTCAGTATTAATACAATGAAAGTTGAAGTTGTTCTCTTATTTTGTTGTTCTCTTATTTTGTTGTTCTCTTATTTTGTTGTTTCTTATTTTGTTGTTCTCTTATTTTGCACAGACAGTGTTTACATTTGGAAAGCCATGTTGCATTTATGTATGCATCCAGTGGGGCATCACAATAAAATGAGGCATAATGTGTTAATTCCACAATAGGAGATATGTTATGTTGTTACCTAACAGTTTTGGTGTAAAAAGCCTGCATATATCGGTATCGGGTGATATTGGTATCCGAAATTGAGAGTTGGACAATATCGGAATATCGAATATCGGCAGAAAAGCCAATATCGAGCATCCCTAACAGAAACACAATTGTCCACTGTATTTGAACGCATCTCCAAAATACACTATTCTCAGCTCAACTGAAATTACAACATTTCTCTGTCATTACTGGCTTAGTTTAGTTAGCTTAAGTTTAAGGATGATGGAAATTTCAACTATATATAACACAAACAGATCTGGGATAGTAATGTGTATTGGCACTATCAAGGGGAATCCATGGTAAACAAAACAGATAATGAAACAAAACAAAGATGTGATAATGAAATGGCTAGAAATAAGTGACAAATACAACTAGATCAACAAAATACAACAAGATTAACTGCCACAGTTAAAATCTTTAGATAAAAATGATGTGGGTATGGAAGTTAAGAAGATAAAGCCAGAGAGAGAGGGTGTCCTTGCTCTCTCTCACACACAAACACAACCAGCAGAGAAAGTCACATCACATGTTAGGTCAAACAGTTAACAAACAGTTTATATTAATGAAAGAGCCAGTCAGTCTTGCAATAAATTACCCAGCAGTGTGCAAAACTGGACCACATCCAAGTTAATAAATTAACACATCAACGTACAAAAAGTCCTTAGGAATCACAGTCCTATCTTTCTAAATCCTTATCTCCAACAACATGATCAAAGATGTACAATAATAATGGTTCTACTGTCCAACTGTAGGTGGTGTTACATTGATAGTGAAACTGTGAATGAAAACAGGAGTAGCTGAGTGTACAGTCCACACTGTCCACCTACCATCAACTGACCCCAGTGAATAACCAATGTAACCTTTTAAGCAACTACTATGTTGTACGGTGTTCCAACTTTCTGTTGTTTGCACTGTACAACACATTGTAACCCTGAATGCAGCTACATTATTACTGTGATTAACTCTGGAGCAAAGAACTAAATAAAATGGTTTTTGAATTTGTGAGATTTTAGTTAAAGCAAATGAAAAAGAATATGCAACGTAAATAATATTCAATAACATTATATTGTCTAGTCTGGGGATTTATTATACCAAGATCATTTTTTTCCCCCTAGACTGGTCCATCCCTTGTGTTAGTGGTTCAAACACAAAAAAACCCCTTACACTGCCAGTTGGCTTCCATCCCAGCATGGTGTGTTGTGTATTGTATATGTTTTTGTTTGTTTTAAAATAAAGTATACAATAACAAACCCTCTCTTTAATTGTTTTGGCCTTGTTACTGTCTCTGGCAGAGATGTTCACAAGTCTTTTTTTTGCAAGTCCAAGTCAAGTCTCAAGTCTCTAAAAAATAAAAATCATATGTCTCTTCTGGTTGTAATGAGCCTTCTGTCATCTGCTGCTACCCGGTCACTTACTGGGGAGTATCTCTCTTCTACCCCTGACATGGATGATATAGCTAACATTTTTATGTGTAGCAAAACACATCTGGAACCACATGTTTCTGAGAGAAGAACTGGATCTAAGCTAATGTTGCAGGCTATATATCAATCTTTTATTTCTGATTATAGAAAGGGTTGCTAAAAAACGATATAGACTAACTCAGGGTAACAGGAAAATATTGCTATTTCCTCAGGCCATTAAGACTCCTGAACCAGAACTTGACCACTCCCCCCACCACCAGGACTCAGCCTGACACTCACACATACACACACCCTTGCACATACTTTAATTTCTGATTCCATTATTTAGATTATATTTAATTAAATTATTTACATCATATTAGTTTGATTTTATTCATATTTATCTTATTTATTCTATTTATAAGGCCAGTTTAGGAGTAACCAGGAGACATTTCACAGCATGTTACTCTGGGACTTCTGTATGTGACAAATAAAGTAATCTTGTAATCTTGTAAATCTAACATTGTTAGTAATGCAATAATAACTAATCATCCAAGGTTTGCACTCTGCAACCGTATTGTTTAATTACACTGGGTCTCTAATGACACATTCCTCTATCCTCTCACTCAAACTCATTGTAATGGTAACCTGGTAAACCTGTAACATTAACGTTACTGGTCAACAATTAACCTGTAACCTGCCTGTAAGCCGACAGTATAACTATGTATTTTTCTACGGTTAACGTTAGCCAGTAAGATGGTGGCAACGTAACTTTAGATGATTAACGTTACCCGACCTTTTTTTTTTTTTTTTTTTTACGTCATGTCAACGCCACTCAATGCAAACAAGTGCGACAAGCAAACTAACATCCACTCATCTATTCAAATATTCAGTTACAAAGCTAGTAGCAAGCTAAGTGAATGTTACATAGTTGATACTGAGCTAACCGTCCATATGCGCTAATGTGACTGACCTATCCAGGTGAGTTTTCAGGTGCCTGATAACATTTGATGTGGTGGATCCAGCGTCCTTTATTCGCAAGGCTGCTGACTGCAGACTTTGCAGTCAGCGCTCCTGTTGTTGGTGCCGTCCTATCTCTGGTCTCTGGGAGTTTCTCTCTCCAGTGTTTGTAGCTTTGGTGCAGCCTTTGCTTAAGTTACGTGATTGAACACATTTAATGACACCAACCCCACCCAAATGTTATTATAGTCAGATCTATTTCTGCTCTAATGACGTGGCTGTCATATTATGAGCCTATGCATTCACAAAGTCTTTAATTGTTTGCCAGCTCACCTTCCTGCATTGGGCAGCTGTGTTGTGGAAATTTCTCTGCTGCTGGTGAAGAATGAAATAGAGAACTTCTGCCGGCCGACAAGTTTATTTTCTTTGCAAAGAAAAGGTCAATCAACACACGAGCGGTCAAAGATGAAGAAGGACCCCGAACATGGGGATATCTAAACATTTATACCTGAGGACCACCTCTTTCACACCCCTTTGTCTGCTGTAGGGGTCTGGCCTTCCAGGAAGTGCTTTCCCACCCCTCTGCCCACTGCAGACATCAGGGCCGACCCCCTGCTGGTGTGTTTTACATATGAGGTGTCCTACAGGATCTTGCATTCAGGTGCAAAGCCAAGTCCAGACATCACAATCTACAAAACACAAAAGGACCTGGCATCTTGTGTTAGGAAGGGGGAGGTTGGGCATCTGCAGTGGCTGAAACAAAGAAACTGAATCTACCATTACAGCTGCTACTATGTTGCTTTTAACCTGGATTAGGTGTTCAACTCCTTTGTAATTATCTAGTATACTGTACATTGAATTGATTGTAATAATATACTTGAAGTGTGCACTGTGCAACTGTATTATGTAGGAAAATACAAATATTGGCTTGGATATTGGCAGATAATATTAGATGACTCGGGTCAGGGCAAAATTCTTCTCAAGGCAGTAGTGTGCTTGACCTGAGTTGGCTGCCATGGACAAATGAGAGCGGATGTCCAAAATTGTTGTTTGTTGACTGTGGTTGCAGCTGAAAGTAAATAAAATTTGTTTTGACCAACAGACTTGTGGTGCTGGATTGTGCGCTGAGGGAACCCACGGTAGAAGTACAGAGACTTGCTACAGTCTTTATCATCATCTAACCTTTATTAGGGTTTGTGCATTGCACAGCATGCCGACAAAGAAAACCAAAACTATCTACATACCACTAAAGGTGAGTGAGGTCCTACTGCATTGTTCGTCTGGGATGTGACCCATAAGTGGGTCATGGAAGATTTCAAGCCTTGAATTTGTTTTGACAGATGTGAAGAAGTTTACGTGCATACAACGCCCTCTGATAACATATCTGTCATTCCATCATTCACAGGAGCATTTCGTTGGACATCTCATTTTACAGTCTGTATCGAAACTTCTTGACACCTTGGACCAATCTACTTTGAGTGATATGACCACAAAATCATTCTCATTGCGTGATTGCTATGTCTCTTATTGTGACGATGCATAGAATAATAAAATGGATCAGACTCAGTGTGCCAGTGTGGGTGACGGATTTAATAAAAAAACAGATAAAAAAAACGCGTACCAAAAACACAGATTTGACAAGCAGAGGCCTTTAATTAAAACGAGAAAAGTTTTGGTCATCATCTAATCTTTATTGGGGTGTGTGTTATTGAGATGTAATTATGATTTTTCCTTTCAAGTTCTTACAGGTTTGCGAAGGGAATAATTGCTGGCATTGCAGAAAGTGAAAAAACATGCCAGTACATGTCGTGCGAGAATTAGGAAGGACAGCCAGAGAGACAGAGACAGAGAGAGACAGAAAGAGAGAGAGAGAGAGAGAGAGAGAGAGAGAAGTTTTGCGTATTGTCACGCTATTGCACCACTCCTTCATCTGTCAGCTGCCTTTATTTACCAAAGCATTCTCCGAATTGTTTGTTTCATTGTTTTTCCAGTAAGCCATGGTTTCACTTTTGCACTCTTGTCATATTAACACCTACTTCAAATATGTTTTATCAGCAGGGAATTAGCAGGTGTTGCTGCATGTGGCTTACGTTTCTAAACTGGATAACTAAGACATAGACAAGGAACAAGGAACTGAATGCTAGACTACATATACATAAATAGAAAATATAGACAAACAGAAAGGAGATGGACAGGTAGAGCACAGAGTAGGGTCAAGGTGTTTATGTTTCAGTCTTTTTTGTACTATGTGAGAAATGTTCTCTAGATATGTGGCACCACCTGTTCAGAATCATTCATTTTCATTTCAACATTTCTTTTATGAAGAACTTATTTTACCAATTAACGTTATATAAATTAGTCCTAGAGTCAGATTTTGTGTACTGTGCATGTACTGTAGATACACTTTTCATTTTTGGTCACTTTTTCTTGTTCCTATCGAGTTTGAATGCACTTAATGTACTAAAGCACATTTTAAATAGCCTCACTTTACGAATTGTGCTATATGTGCTAAATAAATAAACTTGCTTTGCCTTGCCTAGTTATGAAAGTGAATAACTAAATTCAGTTAATGAATACACAATTTATGTTTACATGTACATATACTTATTAATTCAAAATTACAATGTACGTTCAGAAAATACACTGTCTGGGTTAAGTATTTTGTAGTTACCAAAGTAAGGAAAAATCTGCTACTGGTAGATGAATAACCTGAAAACTAATAATTAAGGTTGAGCGACCGAGCAAGTATTCGGCTGAAATGAGTATCCAGTATAGATAATGTACTTTGAGTGTCATCACATATGGGAACTTTTATTATTAAAAATGTTGCTGAGTTGTTCGGTAAATAGTTCTCTTACTCACGCAATCAAAAACTTTGCTCTGAAACTAAATTCTGAGACTGTTCTGTAAATAGTTTTCTAATAAATTTAGCTACCGCTGATCAACCCACATCAATTTTAGGCTTAAATTACCAATTTACCATTACCAATTTAACAATTGTCCGGTTTGAGCCCACCAATTCAGAGTAGGAATACCAATACAGATAATTTAGTTGATTGAACAGATGCATATAATGGTGTACTTGCTCAGCCCTAGCAATAACTTCTCTTGATCCTTTCACAACATTTACCATTATTTAAAAGATATTGATGCGAGCAGTTCCTCTCCTTTGCATGTGCGTATTCTAAATCAGACAGGTAGGCAAACTATTCATAACCTTTCAACAGAAACGAAACAGAAGACAAATAACAGGGCGTAGGAACAGAAAGTACTCACATTTATAGAGAAATAAATTGAGAGTGCTCAATTAAATTTTGTTGTATAAACTGTGCCGCCCCATTGGTTAGGGTTAGATAACTAAAACTTTGTGGTCAAAGTTAGGGAATAATTGCCTTCATGGTTAAATAAACTTAGCTTGACTGGAACTGTTAACTAATAAAGAAATAAATACAACCCATGAAAACTGTTTCAGTGTATCCAAATGAATATGGATATTGTCTTCGAAAAGAAAACATTTCTAAATTAATTTTAATCAATGTTAGGAGCCCTACAAAAGAAATTCGTTTCACCTGCATCGTACTGGGATGGAGGCAGAAATCTCAGAGATGGATGTGTCAGATACACGGTAAACCAGATAAACAGAAATATGAGACTGATAACTTATAACAAAGAGCAGGTCATGGATTCCCAGAAGTTATTGATAAAAAGATAAGTATGAAGTGTTCATAGTAAAGGTCTGAGCAGCGTTTGTCAATATTTATTATTACATTATACATACATTATTAAAACATTTTTTTTTGTATTTATGGCAGCCTAAACATGCTTGAAAGCCCATGAAACCTGGCACACATGTCAGTGATGGCGAAAATGTACATGTCATACAGGTCTCGCACATGAGCGCTAAATAGCAGCCTGCTTCACTGATATGTCTGACGCACATGTAACATGTCCAGATGTATAAAAAAAGTGTCCTGGAGCCAAACCCCGAACCCACCAGAAGGTCAGCCATTTTGAATATAATGGTACTTTGAAGAACTCATCTTAAGGAACTGATTAGATTAACTTGGGTTAAGAGTTATCAAAAGCATGGATTTTTGTTTTTGTTGTTTTATTAAATGTATGAGGAATTTACTGGATAGATATCTTGAAGGGGAGATTGGTCCCGTTTATTTGGCAGCAGAAGTTAGTTCATGCTTTTCTACAATGGTGAACAATATTGTTTTGTGATATAACATGTCAATAAATACAGCTCTGGAACAAGTGTTTTGACACTTCAGTAGCTTTCTAACAACTTAGTCAAAGTAGCCTTTGTTTGTTTCTGCCGAACACAGTCCGATCAGTTACATTGTTCTTTCATTATAATAGAATGGTTTTTTTTTTCACTTGTGAAGAGGAAGCAATTAGATTTTATCCATCCAAATGCCAGTAACTGGTCAAACAACAGATTCATGGAGCTGTGCCAGTTCTTGATGTATAAAGCCTGGTTGCAGACCGGCAGTCTCACATAGAGGAGAGCCATATGAACAAAATAAGCACACATGAACAGGTAATCAATTTATTTTGTAAAAGTGAGTCTAATGTTTTACAATTATTGCACAATGATAACATTTACTAAGAAGGTGGTGCTTATTTACAGCTGGATTACAATAATAACTAAACTGAGGGTTTACATTTTATTGGAGGAAATACTCACATATTATCGGCACAATGCACTAACAGCTAAAATAAATTACCTTTAATAATACCTTTTATTACCTTTGCAATAAACTTCCTGTGATAATGTCAAATGTTTATTTTTATTACCATTATTATCTCAGGCACTCAGGTGATGTTCACAGTAATGTATGGTCAGTCAGCAGGATAGATGTATACTGTATACTGTAATAAGATATTGATTTAATATCAGTCTTCAAGAAAAGGTGATTTGTTCTTGGTGCAGATCTGAATTCGGGTACAGTGCCAGGATGTTTTATTTACCATTGCAACATATAGGTTTTTTCTTTTTTCTTTTTTTTTTTTTAATGTGTTTTTGTTTTCTTGTTATACTTGGTCAGCAGGTTTGAATTTTGCACTTTTGAGAATGGCAAATCCATTAATGTTGCTTGTGCTGCTTTTGATGATCAGTAAGTATTTGATAAATCCAAATTTAATTTATTTATTTGGAAAAAAATCAGTAATTTACTTTTGTTTATTGATGATATTGATATTGTTGTCCAATTACATTTCTGTGTTTGTGTTCATAGGTACAGTGACTCCTCAGATTTCAGGTAAACTGACCAAGATAAACTTTTTTTTTGTTTTCATGTTTTCATATATATAATACACACGCTAACGTCCTGTACATGAATTATGAATTATGTTACAATAGCACATTTTTTACATGTTATGCCAGTGTTTACTGCCACCTAAATAAAAAGTTACGTTCATATAGCACAGCAAAAGCTAAAGGTGTGGAGGTTTGGGAGATATCACACTGACACCAGAGGCAAGGCTTTGTTTCACTGCCTCCTTCAAGTTGCACCTGTGATTTGACCTGAAGTGTACTCTGCTGCACCTGTACCTACACTTGTACTGCCATATCATTTTGTGCACTCAATCAAAACAAGATCTTGAGGTGGTGTTAAATTGCTCTTTAACAAAAAGCTTTTTCATGGCAGACATTTTGATTTGAAATACATTTTGTAAACTATGGCTCAGTTCCATCAAGTGTCCCAGTAACACATGACCGTGAGATAGCATGTACATTATCATGACCCTGGACCTGGCTCAGCTAAATGGAATTTAGTCATTTCTAAGGTTTTCAATTACATCTCTGCTTTTCCTTCAATGGCATGCCAAAATGTCTGTGATTGGTTATATTCCATGTGATTATTAGTCCACAAAAATAACAGACAATAAAATAATGTTTTGTGTCGGATCAAACATGGATGTAATGGTTAGGTGTGGTGATTACAAATGTTAAATGTTAAAAACACTATATGGCATGTGCCAATAAGGCCAATGGACAGCAATTTGACTTTGTTGTAAATGTGACATGAATCTTGAATCTTGAATCTATTGTTCTCTATAGGACCCCTCTACCCAATTGTTGGAACAACAAGCGCTCGGTCAGACGATGGAAGTTCTCCTCAAATTATGCTGCAACGACCTTTTGTTTACTTCGGACAGTCCTATAATCAGATTTATGTATGTGAAAATAATCTTAGCAAACTGAAACTTCTGGTTTGTTTAGTGGAGGCATACAAATTTCTGTTTTGAATATTACAAAAGCATTAGAATTAGTTGGAGTCAATATATTGATATAGCCAAAATATGGTAATAAAATACTGTAGCAATATGTTGATATTTGATCATACATCATTTTCAAGGACTGTAGTCGATGCCTACTAACTCTTCTTTAGTAAGAACTGGTTTATTTGTTTCCAGGTGAACCACAATGGACACCTGACCTTCAGTGCACCATGGTATAGTTACGTACCTCAAAGGTTTCCAATGTATGGATCCAGAGACATCATTGCCCCATTCTGGACAGATTTAGACAACAGAGGAAATGGTCAGATCTACTACAACCAATACACCAATGGCAGTGTTCTCCAACAAGCTACTCAAGACATTAATGAGTACTTCCCAGAGTTGAACTTCAATGCTGCCTGGGTGTTTGTTGCAACATGGTATGAGGTGGCCTATTACCCAATGACTGGAACAGTAAGTAATCTTGTTCTAAATGGGAAAATGCATATGATGTGCATGTGTGTATTTTTTATGACCATATTTACTATAAAAAACACAAATCATCTCTTTTCAGCAAACAACCATTCAAGCAGTCTTGATCTCTGGTGGCCAGTACTCATTTGTACTAATGAACTATGGGATAATAGCTTCAACAACTCGCAGTATACAGGTTAGAGACATTAAAATTATATGCAGATTCACTGCATGACATGTTAAGTTGCCATGCTTCACCTAAATCTGAATGCAATAATGGAAATGTACAAATACAAAAATGCGTAAAATTCATTTTATCTCTATGTATCTACATGTATTTCCAGGCAGGATATGACACGGTCAACTCTGCTCACCATTTCACAATCCCTGCATCAGTCTCAAGCAATGCAACAGGCAGTAACTCAAATTTCAGCCTGAGCAGCAATGTCAATGTACCTGGACGCTGGGCTTTCCGGACAGACCATGGATCAAGAGGCTGCACTTTTAATGGTAAGGCCAGAACTAGAGGGTGATCACTAAAGGTACTTATTTATAGTATATGTGCATACGTGACCACCAATCCATGAAGAAACTGGCAAAAATGTCATTAAATCTCTGTTTGTTATTAAACCGTTAATTAATGTTTTACATTTACATGTTGATTTTGTCTTTTGTCTTTTTGCTATAAAAGTAGAAATACAATGCCAAAACCTTGTTTGCATGTGTTTCAAGGGACTTTTATTTTCATTTTCTCCAAAGGTGAACAAGTTCAGCTTGGTGACTCATTCTGGAGGGACAGTAGCTGTGCACAGAAGTGCACCTGCACCTCAGCAGGCCTGCAATGTCACAACCAACCCTGCTCCTTTTCCCAAATCTGCCGGAGAGGGACCTTTCAGTTCTCCTGCCAGACAGTGCAGAGACGCACCTGCACCATAAGTGGTGATCCACATTACTATACCTTCGATGGCACAGTGTTTCACTTTCAGGGCACCTGCACTTACGTTCTCTCAGAGCAATGTGGTCGAGAACTGCCATACTATAGAGTAGAGGGCAAAAACGAGCACCGAGGCAGCACTCAAGTTTCCTGGACACGACTGGTCAAAGTGTTTGTCTACAATGAAACCATCGAGCTTGTCAAGGGACGTCGTGGTGAGGCTAAGGTTAGCAATGAGAATTAAGCCTCCATTTATGGTAATTCTTAATTTAGTATGTAGCTTAAATATTTTTACAACTATGTCTTTGCTTCCTGGTGTGCTTACAGATTAATGGAAACTTTGTAGCCACTCCCATCTCCCTAAGCAATGGAACAGTCCAGATTTATGAGTCAGGTTTTTCTGTAATTGTCAGTACTGACTTTGGCTTGGAGGTGTCCTATGATGCCTACCATTATGTCAGGATCAGTGTGCCCTACACTTACCAGAATGCAACGTGTGGCCTGTGTGGAAACTTCAACAATCACCCTGGGGATGACTTCCGAACCCGCCAGGGTGAGGTCGTGAGCTCTGATGTGGTGTTTGCCAATAGTTGGCAAGCATCAGGGGACGATGAGCCTGGTTGTGAAGTGCATTGTGGAGGTCTCGACTGCGCTGCCTGCAGTGTGGACCAGACAGCTTTATACAGCAGTACTGAACATTGTGGTATCCTCCAGAACAATTCTGGACCTTTTGCTGCTTGCCATCAACGACTTCCCCCACAGGACTTTGTGGAGAGCTGTGTGTATGATCTGTGTGTAGGAGGAGGATACCAGCCCATTCTGTGCCAAGCCCTAAATGCATATGCCAGTCAGTGTCAACAGAATGGTATACAGCTGCCAAGCTGGAGGAGACAAGGCTTCTGTGGTATGTCTGTTAATCAAACAACCTAATGTTAGAATATGTTTCTGTAAAATGTCCATGATATCAAGATCAACGTTGTTTCTTTTATCTAGAAATCCCCTGCCCATCCAACAGCCACTTTGAGTCCCAAGGCACAGGATGTCCAGCTACCTGTGTCAATCCCAATTCTACCTTGAACTGCCCTCTCCCTGCCCAGGAGAGCTGCATCTGCAATTCAGGCTACATCCTTAGTGCTGGGGTCTGCGTCCCCCATGCTGATTGTGGCTGTAGCTTTGAGGGTCGCTACTACCGCTCTGGAGATACCGTAATACTAGATGAGGACTGTGGGAGACGTTGTAGCTGCAGTTTTGGCTCCATGACATGTCGCTCCCATGGTTGTGGCCCACTAGAGTCTTGCAGGGTGGCGGAAGGAGAAAGAGGATGCAGACCTAACAGCTATGCAACATGTTGGATAAGGGGCCCAGGGTCATATCATACATTTGATGGACTGACATACCGGTATCCAGGGGCATGTCGCTTGACTCTTGCCAAAGTAATGGGATTGTCTAGTCACCCACACTTTATGGTGACAGCAGAAAAAGTGCCCAGAGGCCAGCAGGGCTTTGCCAGGGTGCTAAGGTTTGAGGCAGAGGGAACACAAGTCTCCATGGAAATGACGGGTAGCGGCATAGTTCAGGTAAGTCACAGTAAGTGATATTTTAATAACTGATGTGACAAAAATAATGTTAACACCAGATTAAAATGTTAATAAAAATAGTTTTTAACTATTTCTGTTTTAGAATCTTGTTTAGAACAACACATAACAGAAAATCTTTCCTCCACAAAAAGGCTCTGAAAAGTAGTCATTGAGGAAATTTGACACTAGCTGTATAAATATCCCTTTAGGTTGACGGTCAGCGGATCCGACTACCATTCAGCTCAGCATCCAGTCGACTCCAAATCTACCACAGCAGCATTCGCAGTATCATGCTTCGCACCTCCTTTGGTGTAACTGTGCAGACAGTATGGCCTCACTTTGTGCGTGTCACTGCACCTGGTATCTACAATGGATCACTAGGTGGACTCTGTGGTAATTACAATGGTCACCCACATGACGACTTCCGCACACCCAACGGCATCCTGGTCAACAGCTCTCAGTCCTTTGGGGACAGTTGGCGAGATGGTTCCCTCGCTGCACACTGTGTGGACAGTGAAAATGACCACTCTAACACAAATAACAACTCTAGTGAGGACTGTGGTATTCTTAACTCACCACATGGACCATTTGCTCAGTGTTGGTCCATGGTCAACCCACAGCAGCATGTGAATTCATGTGTGGAAATCATTAGGGCCTCTAGAGATCCAGCATCAGCACTGTGTGAGGTCCTACGAGATTATGCACTAATGTGTCAACAGAGGGGTGTTGCACTAACACACTGGAGGAATGCAACTGACTGTGGTAAGCACTTTGCCCTCTTTTGATGTAGGGGGCTTTAATATTCATATATTTAATAACTTTTATGAATACATTTCTTTGTGTTTATTTAGAGCAAAACTGCCCTCTTAACAGCCATTATGAACTCTGTGGAAGCTCTTGTCCTGCCGCCTGCCCCAGCCTTGCCTTCCCCTTCTCCTGTGACACTGCATGTCAGGATGGCTGCCAGTGTGATGATGGTTTTGTCCTCAATGGCAACCAGTGTGTACGACCCACAGCTTGTGGATGCTATCACCAAGGCCGGTATCGTTCAGGTGGTGAACAGTTCTGGGATGGCGAGGAATGTCAGAGTTTGTGTACGTGTGATGGCACTACGGGGGTAGTTCACTGTATCCCCAACTCCTGTGGACCCCAGGAGTCCTGCCGTGTGGTAGAAGGAGAGTTTGGTTGCCATCCCAACCCTCACGGCACCTGCTCTGCCTCTGGTGACCCCCACTACCTCACCTTTGATGGCAAGGCGTATGACTTCCAGGGTACCTGCCGCTATGTTCTGGCGACACTTTGTAATGCTACTGATGGTCTCCACCAATTTTCAGTGGAAGCTAAGAATGAGCCATGGAATGGATTGCCAGTTTCAATCACAGCTGAAGTTTTTGTGAATGTGTGGGGCTATCGAGTGCGTATGTCAGGAGACAGTAGGGGTATGGTAGAGGTGAGTGGAACCATAAGTGATATTCTTCATCTTAAGAAAATATATAATTTAGTAAAGCTCCAAATAGTGGGTTTGTTCACCAAGAGACTCAGAACACTAACAAGTTTGTATTTCAAGAATGAAATGTCCCACTCTGTACATATCTGGGTTACAACTCCTTCTTGAAAACGTGTGATGTTATCAGCCAACACATTGTGATTAGATTTTTTAAGCTCTTACATGTCAATACTGTTATCAAAAGAAAAAATATTGAATTGGTCAGGTTATAATGCTAATAAAATGCCTTCTTCCAATTTGTTTCCCATTTGAATAGGTAAATGGAATAACAAAAAATCTACCAGTTCTCTTGAATGGAAGTCGTGTATCTATCTATGCAAGTGGACCTCGCACATTTGTCAGTGCTGATTTTGGCCTGACTGTCACATATGATGGATGGAGTACAGTGTCTATCTCTGTTCCTTCAAATTACAGGTAAACATGAACTTAAAACCCACCAACCCCTTTGTAGTTTGACTTTTTGATTTGTTTCATGGCCCCTATTTATTTAATTTAATGTTTTTTTTAATTGGATTCAAGTTCTCTTATCTGTCATCTACTTTTTGTCTTTTATCATTTTATTTACATTTTGATCATTTTTATTTCTCATGTTCATGTGTCATATGAATAAAAAATGTTTTACTGTTTATATTTTCATATATGATGTCTTATTATCAGCTTGTCAGTCATCCGTAAATCACTTTGAGTTGCATTAACTTGAATGAAATGTGCAATGCAAATAAAGCCTGATTGAGTCACTGGTTGAACTTGTTATCTGATGACATTGACATTTTTTCTCTGATTATTATTACCAATAGTGGACAAACATGTGGACTTTGTGGAAACTTCAATGGAAATTCAACTGATGAGTTTCACACCCCATCTGGAATGATGGTCACCACTTCACATGAGTTTGGGACAGCTTGGAAGGTGGCAGGAAACTACACCTGCGGTGATGGGTGTGGCTCCTCCTGCCCACGATGTACCAATGAGCTCCCTGCTAGAGCTCAGTGTGAGGTGATTCAGGCAGCCGACGGCCCCTTAAGCTTCTGCCATGAGCAGGTGGACCCAGCACCGTATTTCAGTGACTGTGTGTTTGATGTTTGTGTGTCTGGGAATCGAGGCCAAGATCTTCTGTGCAGGGCCATTCAGACATATGTCAGTGCCTGTCAGTCTGCTAATGTTCGAATTTACCCTTGGAGACAGAACACCACCTGCAGTAAGTCATGTGTTGTTTATTACACAAACAACCTAAGAAACAATCAAAGAGGTGTCTTGAAAAAAACAAAAACAGTATCTCTTACATCAACATTTCTTTGCTAACTTTTCAAGGACTTGAGTGTCAAGCCAACAGCCATTATGAGCTGTGTGGTACTGACTGTGGCCACACCTGTGCCAGCAGCATTGATGCCATCTGTGAGCAGGTTTGCTCTGAGGGATGTTTCTGTGATGAAGGCTTCGTCAGGAGTGGGACGAGATGTGTCCATGTGGAAAGCTGTGGCTGCCAATATGATGGATCCTACTACAATGTATGTATAACATTTCATTATCCCATTCTCTTTTCCTCTGAGCAGCCTTTTTTGTTTTTTTAGTGTACCATAATGCTATATTTTATAAATTTCCATGCCTCTGTTTTTCTCCAATGCTACAGGCTGGTGAGTCCTTCTGGACAGAAGGTTGCTCCCAGCGATGTGAGTGCCATGCTCCCAATGACCTGCGCTGTTCTGCTGCATCTTGCACTCCTGCACAAGAGTGCACCATTAAAAATGGCCAGCTCGGCTGTTTTGATGCAATGTCTACCTGCACTGTGTGGGGGGATCCCCATTACATCACCTTTGATGGGGCATTGGCTCATTTCCAGGGCACATGCTCTTACATCATTAGTGAGAGTGTGAGCCACGGCACCAATGAAACCCAGTTTCAGGTAGCAGCCACTAATAATCACCGTGGCAACAACCGTGTGTCGTTTGTATCAGCAGTGGATGTATACCTCTCAAATCAACCAGAGAGAGTAAACATCAGGATTGGACCCAACAAAAGAATAATGGTAAACACCATTACTTTATTTTATATAACTTAATACATCTGTTTGGGTAAAACATCTTTCTCTAATCTCTCCTCCCTCAGGTAAATGGAAGTGAGGTGTCTCTTCCCACCACCGCAGGAACTTTAGCTCAGGTGATAAGGCAGGGAAGCTACATAGTGGTCGATGCCATCGACTTGATAGTCCAGTTTGACGGTTTGAGTACTTTACTAGTCAGAGTAGGCCAAAACCGTGAAAACAGAGTCACAGGGATGTGTGGAAACTTCAACAATGACCCTGGAGATGACAAAGTCTTGCCCAATGGCACACTGGCACAAAATGACAATAACTTTGGAGACAGCTGGAAGGCACCTACAAGCAAACCAGGGTGAGCTGTTATAAAAATACAATTTTTAGGGAATTTCACACACAAAGTGGCATCAGTACATCATTATTGTCCGTTAAAAACCTTTCACTATAAAGAAGAAGTCTTATTCAGCTTGACCAGCAAATTTTGCATGCCATGGCTTCTTTCAGATTTTAGGCAACAGAGCAATACATCCGCAATTGTTCATGCTTATGTCTTTTCCAGATGTGGATCCACCGATGAAAGGAGTGGTGATGGACTCAATGACTGTCCCTTTATGGAAGAATACTCTGAGCTCTGTAGTGTCATCACCAACACTAGCGGCCCATTCAGTGCCTGTCAGCTTCACTCTGACCCCCAGCCATTTTTCACTTCCTGTGTCTACGATCTCTGCCTCTACACTCCAGCCAATGGCATGCTGTGCTCTGCTGTCTCAGCCTATGAGAGAACCTGCTCTGTGCTGGGGTTGAACATCCCACAGTGGCGCTCGGCTTTGCAATGTGGTATGTTTGTACTAATGGAGAGCTAAAATAGTGCATGAGAAAATGAATCCTTAGCTTCATGGAGCTGGCTTTTTGTCCTGCTTGTGGAAAATGTATTTTCTGTTTTCACCTTATTTCCATAGCTGAGTCAGACCCCTGTGAACAGCTGGACTGCACAGAGTATGAGTGGTGTGGTGAAAAAGACGGTGTTTACGGCTGCTTCTGTGATGAGCACCACCATCGGCCCAACAATGAGAGTTATGGTGAGGACAGCTCCTCTTAAAACACTGCTTTATTTTTCAAGATCACTGAAATGACAGTGATTATGTGTAAGATGAGTAGTAGACTAGTATTGTTAGAGAAAAATGTACACCATCACAAGAGCGTGGAACAACATTCAAGTTTTGGTTGTAGAAAAACAACTATACATTTATTATTTATGGCTTCATGGAGCTTTGGTATTCCTATTCCATTTTACAGCATTATCCTCCTTCTTTTCAACCTGCATAATATATTAATGAACCACTTAGGAGCTACACAACAAGTTGTAAACACAACACTGTTAAATTGAAACAAAACAATGAGCTGAAAGATACAAAAATGCTCCACAACCCTACATAGAAATGCATATAAATCCACAGTCCACAGGCAACCATGAAAATTGGTTAAGGTCTCTTTTTAACCTAAAAATGTCACATACTACAAATTATTCTTTTTGCGTTTAACAAGCTTAACATATTATGTTGTCACACATTCATTTCTCTTTCATAGACTCGGCCATCACTTGTGCCAGTAGTTCAGGCACCATGTCAGTATCGCGCTGCCAGCTGTTTGAGGCTGGCTTCCACTCTAGTGCCCTGCATCTCCGTGAAGACTCCTGCAATGGGACTCTCCAGGACGGACGACTGATCTTCCACTTTAACAATGACGACCACTTGTGTGGGACTGCTCTCAGGGTACAGTCCATAGACAATCAACACACACTCTGTTCTCTATAAGACATCTTCAAACTATAATAAACTTATAATATTTTGTCATTTCCATTTCAAGAGCAACGGAACTCATTTCATCTATGAGAACACCATCCAGGGTGACGTGGACCCCCATGAAGGGCTAATCAGCCGCCAGAGGAACATTCATCTGCGTTTCTGCTGTGAATACCCTCTGGCCCAGGCCCTGTCCATGTCTGTGGGCATCAACCCTGTAGAGAGGTGACAACACAATTTCTGATTGGTTTCCTGACTTAGCTTTCAAGGTTGCTCAAAGTAATAACGATAAAATGTCATTTTCATAGTGAACATCTGTCCATAATGACACAGCGTATGTCTTGCTACTAGGGTTTCAATATATACGTAGTCTAATAACAGTATAATAAAGAGTGCTACAGCTGCACCTCAGACCTTTTTGGAATACTTTTTGTTGTTGCTATGAAGACAGTGGTAATGACAATGACAAAGACTGAAATCAGGCTGTATAATTGTCCACCACCTGCATTCTGCACCATCACTGATAAACCTAGCATTTAAACAAACAATACAACAGGAAATTTAGGGGAATCTGTCCCAGTTCTGTAGGTGAAATGTGAATGCGTACAATATTTCCATCAAGACTTTGTCCAGCACATTTTCTGTAAATTTTATTCACTACACAACTGTTAATTATTAATTAATGAGTAACTCTTGAGCTGCCAGATAAATGTTCCTTGTCACGTGTAGTGACATAATTTGCTGTTTTTTCCTAGCGTTGTGAGGAAGAAGCTTCCATCTGGCCGTGGACAGTACCATATGAGAATGATACCCTACCAGGACGCTGGCTTCCGTTTCCCCCTGACCAGTAACAGCAACATCGAAATGGAAATTGACCAGAGGTTGTATGTGGAGGTGCGAACAGAAGGAGTCGATGAAAGGCAGATTTCCACCATTCTGGACTCTTGTTGGGCCACACCAGTCAACATCGCTGGCTACCCTGTCCGCTGGGATCTCATTAATGCAGAGTAATGCCAAAGTCTCTAGCCCTTGAAGGGCCTTTCTTCACTTGCTCCACCCATCCGTTTCACAATCTAACCCTTCCACTTTACCTAATAGTCTGCCTGATAACATTGAAATGTCTCCCTCTTTCCCTGTCTTCCAGGTGTCCTAATCCAGCAGATGATACAGTAGAGCTGGTTCAGAATGGTATCTCTACTGTGGCCCGATTCTCATTCAGGATGTTCACCTTTACCAACTTTTCATCCATCTACCTGCACTGCCAGGTCCACCTGTGCCTTCTGAAACACAACAACTGCTCCGCTGTAAGTACTACTGTGTTTGTGGGTGTTTGTAGCAGGATTATATAGATTATTAACAGGTGCATCAGCAGAAGCCTGTAATTGTGTTTTCTTGCAGCATTGCTACCCAGGTTACCACATGCGAATTAAGAGGGATGTATCCTACCATGCTGCTACAGACATCTCACTAGGACCACTAGTCCTGAGACAAGATAGCCCAGGTAAAGCTCTCTTATCTTTTTATAACTGCTGTACTCTTGTAGATGACACACACAGAGCTTGATTAATATATATTATGTAACCTGGTTTGCACTTGCTCTCTTGCAGATGGAAGGATGGAAACGAGCAGTGCTACAGGCCAGTTGACCTCTGTAGTGACTCTGCTAGTCAGTTTGCTGGCTGCCAAAATGCTGACCTAGAGAGATTGGAAAGGCACAAAACAGTAAACAGATGAATATACACATATTACTCCGGAACATATTAATCAGTCAGTAGTAGATAAATCAATGGGCATAGATTTTAGAATGGTCAGTAATCTTTCTGTGTTGTGATCAAATAAAAAGTTGAATGAGATACCCTTTTTGTTATGTGAAGGCTGGAAAAATGTGTAGATATTACAGAATAATTGGAAATATATCCTCTACTTTGCTTTTTATTTGTGTTCCTCCCTAAGAGGCTTTGTTTAAAGTCGTAAAATCTCTGAACTCCCTTGCCTTTGTTATGATTTTTACTGATTTTTTTCTACATTATTCTTATATCCTTGTACCTTATTTGTGGTGATTAATAGCATTAGATATCTGTCATATAAGAATAATAATTGTATAATAAAGGTTAAAAGGTGAGGTGATTTCATGCATGGAGTGTGGATCTCATATTTGTACAATTCTGCCCACAGGGTGGAAAAGGATTAAACAGTATAGTAGCATTATGTACTGATACATACTGTACGCGAAGGTACAAGGGAACAGGATGTGAAGTCAGGGAATAAGGGGGACCTATGTGGGAACTTAAAAATAATTTATACTGTAAGTACTTTTTAACAAGTAGGCCTACCTTTTATGTTATGGAGTACAGTATGACCATTACTGAGCAACAATCTGTATTTTGGGAGGAATTTAACAGGAACTTGCAAATATTGTAAATATTTTAAAGTGCCTGGAAGCTATTATGATATGAGCATGACCATCACTGAGAGCTGCACACAGGTAAAAAAAACAAGTGGCAGCAATTTATCTTATATAAATCTGTCTTTAAGTCTTGAGGTATTCATGTACATTAGGCACTGAACATGACTTTATTTGTTGAGGGATGTACTTTTAATTATTGGTGGCATCTACCTGAAGGCTTGCTTTTATTGAGTTTGATGACACAATAATAGTGTAATGTTGTATAAAAGTGAATTACTACATTCATTAAATGTATATTCAATTTAAACTGTGGAATGACCAAAAAAAGCAAAGCCACAGCATCTCAATAGTCATGTTCAATAAAGGCTAATACTACTGCATATGATAGTCATGTTACAAACTTTGTAATCAAAGCAAAGGCCTTGGAACAGAAAGTAAAGTTGTGAGCATCACAAAGGAAATTTCATTTACTTTTATTTTACCCTGGTGGAGGCAGATATCTGAGTACTGGATATCTCAAAATGAAACATGCAGGCAAATAAAACCGAAACTATTAATTATTAATATTAACTATTAATCTTGATACTGTGGAATATTTTAAGCCTTGAACATCTGCATACAATCTGTTTCAATAAAACAGAACTGGAGAAGTTTACAAGCGTAAAACTCACACTGCTTCCTTATCTGTCATTGTCACCGAAGCAGTTCTTTACTCATTGTGATTGACTGATTGAGATTCACATCTCATCTCACTCTCTGTATCAGTTTTCATTGATGCATGGCTACTACAAATTTTCTCACGATTTACCAGCAGGGCAGCAGCGCAACATGTTTGTAACTGGTCCTGGTGCAAATATTTTTCTTGTGCTCCCCAACCTTCCGGGTCGAAAAGCAAACTCATGTACACGTGGGCATCACATATTGACTCCATGCAATTGCTAACCTGCAGCCTTTGATCAGCACCAAGGACAGAAGATGAAGTGTCAAATCTAACAATCTGCCCTGGACTCAAAGCACCACAGCCTGCTGTCTCTGACTATCAAAGAACCAAATTAGCTTTAGCCAACCTACAGTAACAAATCCACACTAAGCAGCTTACACAGTATGTCAATAACCACAGAACAAATAGCAATCAAAAAAAAAAAAACCAACTTACTATTAAATCACATTCATCATCATTGTCATTAGATTACAGTAAGTGTGCATTTTCTAACATCTGAGAGGTGATTTGAATACTTCCATGACAAAGAGACACCTGTACTCACCCGTTAGAAGTTCATCCTACGGGGCTTTCACTCAGCAAAGTCATTAATAACACTGCTCAAGTCCATATCCCATACTCTGCTGTTCTAAATTGAGAGTATATACAATCCAATGAGTCTTATGTCATGCTGCTCGCGGTACTAGTCACTGCTGAGCGCAGTATGTGAAAGTGTGAAAGGGGCCCACCCACAATGCATTGCATCTGCTGAACCACTGATACTTGCACCACTGCAGCAGGGAATTAATTGTCTTGAAGGTGTGTCTGTGACTTACATTTCTAATGAATCAAAACTTAAGTTAGTTACTTCAAACATAGATAATAGACAAAAATGATGGACCTCATACATGTACATATACCAATGTGCTGTACCTTTGCTGTCTCTAGGGGGGTCAATGTGTTTACTTTTTTTGGCCTTTTTATTGCCTTTTATTTTGATAGGGACAGCCAAAGATAGACAGGAAAGGAGGGTAGAGAGAGTTGGGATGACACATAGCAAAGTGCTGCAGGTCAGACTTGAACCCTGGGCCCCTGCAGCAGGGACTCGGTACATGGTTGCCAGCTCTACCAGGTGAGCTAACCAGGCACCCATATACATTTGTCTTTTAAGGTTAAAGGTTAAATTACATGTACTGTAGCACTGAGCACGCTTTTAGTTTTTAGGGGTTGCACGTTTTTTGGAAACATCTACTGTAAACTCAGTAAATGAATATCCAATTCATGTTTACCTGTATACATGAAGTTTTATAACTAGGTTGTAGTTGACACGAGAAGGCAATTAGATTAGTTTCATCTGAATGTCTGAAACTGGTCAAACAACAGATTAATTGAACTGTGCCAGTTCTTGCTGTATAAAGTCTGGTTGCAAACCTGCAGTTTCACACGGATTGAGAATTTTCAGGCAAAGTTTCTGCTATTTCAACAATGCTTTAGAAATAATTTTAGCTGAAGCATTCACACTGCATTTTCCCCAGGAAATGCATTTTCAAGTTATAAATAACGATGCCCATTCAGAATGTATACTTGCATCTTCAGTTATCTGAGTAATATTTATTAGCCTTTAGATTTAAATTTAGACTGTGGATAAAGCCTAAATCTTCTGCATATGATAGTCACATTATAATTATACTATATTGTTTAATTAGAATTGTTGCAATCAGATGAAAGGACTTGGAACAGAAAGTATTCACACCAATAAAGAGGATGTCAGTAATCTCCAAAACTACCTGTCTGAGCACTCTGTTAGCATTTCCAGTGGTCTGCTTCCCCCCATGGTGATGGTATGGTTAAGTTTAGACAACTAAAACCTTGTGGTAAAGGGTAGGAAAAGATCATGATTGTCAGGGAATGATTGTCTTATAAATTCTAATTTAATTAATTAATTAATCTAATTCTTAATAAATTAGATTGACTACCAAATGAAACACTGTTGAACATGAAAACTGTCACGGTTCTGCGGGTTATCCAGACCGATTGGAAACAATGTTCTGTAAAGTTTAAGTTTTTTATTTCATTTTTCAGTGTTGAGAGCACCACAAAAGAAATTCTGCCCAGCCTCATTGTACTGGGTGTTGGCTCAGAGATGAATATCTCAAAACATGCCAGTAAATATCTAGATTCCACTAAAGGTAGGTGAGAAAATATGTTCAGAATGTTTTGTTCACTTGTCATGACGAAGCAATTAGATTTCATACATCTGAATGCCAGTAACTGGTCAAGCAACATACTTATAGAACTGTGCCAGTTCTTGCTGTATAAAGCCTGGTTGCAGACCTGCAGTTTCACATAGATGAGAGGGTTAAGAACAAGAGAAGCCCATATGAACAGGTAATGAATTTATTTTGTAGACTTTTTTTTTTTTTTTTAAAAAGCTGTTTCTTAATGATATATTTCCCCACAAAAATGGTGCAATTGATAGTAACTGAATGATAGTAATAACTTTTTCATTTTTTTGGAGTCAACTATCGGACAGAAAAAAATATTTATTTTTAATAAAGCATTGTCCTGTTTGTTTGCCAGTATGCAGGGTAGTTATATATAACATATTTTGCTATCAATATCAAATACGAAAAATTACAGGATTGTGTATCCTTGCATATACTCTCTGAATCCTTTCAATTTGTTTGTTTGTTTTTTGTTTTCTTGTCTGGAACTTAATTTGTTATAATTGGTCTGTAGGTTTTTATTGTAGGATTTGGAGAATGGCAAGTCAAATCATGTTGGCTGTGCTGCTTTTGGGGATGATAAGTAAGTATTCAATCAAATCAAATTAAATTAAAATCACATTTATTTCTGTTGATGTATTTATGTAAATTCCCTGACTTTTTGTCTACTGATGTTAGCAGTCTCAGATTTTTGTCCAGTTATGTTTATCCATTTGTTTTCATAGGCAGGGTGATGCCACAGACTTTAAGTTCAAGTAAGTTAAAGCTTCGATAACCTCTTAGGCTACATTCACACTGCAAGCTTTAGCTCTGAAATCAGTTTCTTTGTTTGGCTGTTAAAATTATTTTTTAAATGTTCCAGTTCCAGTGTGAACCGGTCACAAACCTGGTGTGACCAGCATGAATTTTAATCTAGAGTGAAATAAAAGTCACATGAATTCTGATATGACTGTTCACACATGACTGTCAGATACAAAAATGCCCTTAATCCAAATTGAAAGTACAGTGAATATAAACGGACAGCAAACAACCTAAAGTGAATTTGTTTCAAACTTAAAAGATCAAGTAAATACCAGTTTAACAGTTTACTCTGCTGCACTTGTTGCTAATGCCAAAAGTGATATCATACTGTACTGATACACCATAAAGTACATTCAGCTAAAACAATATCTTCAGGCTGTGTTTATTAACTGACTTTTTGTGAATATATGTTGACCATCTAAGATTCTTATCTAATTATATTTATGCATTTGTTTTCATAGGTACCGTGACTCCTGAGATGACTTCAGGTAAGTTGAAGCTCAAATAACCTCTTAGTTTTCATTTGTTCATACCCTTAAAAAGCCAAACATACAACCTTTTCAAAATCTGTAGATCAAAGCAGTTATTGCTTCAGGTTTATACTCAGTACGCCTGGATTACATCTAATACCACTCGAGTATGATTGTATATTACCAGGAATGAGTAGCTTTTAACAGAAGATGTTTGTATGCATTTGTTTTCAAAGGTTTCGTGACTCCTGAGGTAACTCCTAACGTGACGTCAGGTAAGTTGAAGCTCAAATAACCTCTAAGTTTTCATTTGTTCATACCCTTAAAAAGCCAAACATACAACCTTTTCAAAATCTGTAGATCAAAGCAGTTATTGCTTCAGGTTTATACTCAGTACGCCTGGATTACCTCTAATACCACTCTAGTATGATTGTATATTACCAGGAATATGTTTGTATGCATTTGTTTTCAAAGGTTTCGTGACTCCTGAGGTAACTCCTAGTGTGACGTCAGGTAAGTTGAAGCTCAAATAACCTCTTAGTTTTCATTTGTTCATACCCTTAAAAAGCCAGATAGGCAATCATGTCAAACTCAGAGGTTCAAAGCAATTTTTATTCAGAATTACACTCATTACAACTGGATTACAGCTAATACTACTTTTGTATGATTGTTTGTTTGCATGAATGAGTAACTTTGAACAGAAGATGTTAGCTGCAGATTATGTCAGATCAAATGTCAGTTATTTTTTGCATTTGGCATGTACTACGCAGATGTGGAAAATGACCAGGTATAGTTACTCCTGTATATTTGACAGCACACAACATGTGAAGTCTTTTACATGAATTATGCCATATTAGTACAGTTTACATGCCAGTGTTTAGTGCCATTTCATTTGACACAGTAAAAACTATGGTTGGGGAGGTACCACACTTTCACACCAGAGGCAAGGGATTGCTGGTTTAATGGGAAACAAAATATGTTCTGTTTGGGTTCAGCTGGTAGATGAAAGATGTACTTCAGACCTGATTCACAGAGTGGAGACAGAAGAACTGTCTCAGCTTATTAGAATTACTTTGAAAATGCCAAATGACTTACCCTACATGAATACATTTTGTTTGATTGTGCTATATAATGAGGGACAGTCAAATATCACTTGCATGAGGCTGTTCTCAGCAGACAGATCACAGGCTTTTTATTTAATTATACTATGTGTTGTATTATGTGTGTGTGTGTGTGTGCAATTACATTAATTTAATATAATTGTGCATTAACATTAACTCACTCACACATACACAACTGGTTCAGTTTTCATATGATTCCATAAGGTATTGGCTATGTATGTTATTATTTTAATGTTTACACCAACCAAAAGTTTCATTTGTGGCTTTTAATATAAAACTTGTGAAATTATTATTTTTTTTCAACAAGGCAGACTTTTATATATTTATCTCTAGTCACTATATTGGATTGAGGAAATATCCCACACACACAACACAAAAGCATATTTTTGTACAAACATGGTTATGAATGGTTAGGTGTGGTGATCTAGACATTTTAAAAACACAGCAACATTTGCCATCTATTTTATGTTTTTTTACTTATCATGTCTTTTGTTTTTCATAGGACCCCTCTACCCAATTGCTGGAAACACAACAACTCGATCACTTGATGGAAGTTCTCCTCAAATTCCCCTGCAACAACCGTTTGTTTACTTCGGACAGTCCTATAACCAGATTTATGTAAGTGAAAATAATTTAAACCAAATACAAAATCTAAATCTTTTGAATGCTTTTATGGAGGAATAAAACATATAGCATAGAAGAGTTGAAATTAGTTGGAGTCAGTACATTGATATATTACAATATGATTATGAAAAACTGTAGCAATGAATATATTGATATCGGAAAATATGCAGTTGTCAATGACTGTAGTTGATGGCTACAAATTCTTCATGAGTAAATAACTGGTTTATTTGTTTCCAGGTGAACCACAATGGACACCTGACCTTCAGTACACCATGGTCTAATTTTGTACCTCAAAGGTTTCCAATGTACGGATCCAGAGACGTCATTGCTCCATTCTGGACAGATTTTGACAACAGAGGAAATGGTCAGGTCTACTACAACCAATACACCAATGGCAGTGTTCTCCAACAAGCTACACAAGACATTAATGAGTACTTCCCAGAGTTGAACTTCAATGCTACCTGGGTCTTTGTTGCAACATGGTATGAGATGGCCTACTACCCAATGACTGGAACAGTAAGTCATCTTGTTCTACATGGGGAAATGATGTGCATGTGTGTATTTTTTATTACTATATTAACTTTAAAAAAACACAAATAATTTTGTTTCAGCAAACAACTGTCCAAGCTGTCTTGATCTCTGGTGGCCAATACTCATTTGTGCTGATGAATTATGGGATAATAGCCCCATCAAGTCACAATGTACAGGTTAGAGAAATTAAGATTATACGCTGCGTTCTACAAAACATGTCTTAAAGCTGCCATACTTACTTAAATCTGAATGCTGTCATGGAAATGTACAAATACATATAACATAAAGGTAATTTTATCTATGTGACATTTATTTCAGGCTGGATATGACACAGTCAACTCTGTACACTATTTCACCATTCCTGGATCATTCTCTTACCATGCAACAGGAAATAACTCAAGTTTTCGCCTAGGCAGCAATGTCAATGTACCAGGTCGCTGGGCATTCCGGATAGACCATGGCCCACCACTTAATGAAGACACTGGCAAGTCTGACAACAAATCTGTCCTTGTTTTTAAACTACTGAAGAATGTTTAATATGTTGCTAATAGCTGACTGTATTGTGCCCTTAACAGTTCATAAAATAGTATTTTCTTGTTGTTCAGTATGTTCAATTAAAATAATCCACAAAACACAAATAACAATGAAGCATATTTTTGGATATTGGATAAAACATGGATATTAAAGCTTAGGTGTGATGATCTATACATGTTAAATGTTGGGGTGCCCAGTAGCTCACCTGGTAGAGCTTGCACCCAATATAGCACGGCAGAGTCCTGACCACAGTGGAGGAGGTTCAAATTGGACCTGTGGCCCTTTGCTCCATGCCTCCTCCTGTCTATCTTCCCCTTTCCTGTCAATCTTTGGCTATACTATCAAATAAAGGAAAAAATCCCCAAAAGAAAATGTTTAAAAATGTTTAAAAACATATGCAATATATGCCAGTTTGATATTTGCCAACAAGATCAAATTTATTGTTATTCTATTTATTTTAATATGTGACATGTTTTGTTCTTTATAGGACCCTTCTACCCAATTGCTGGAAACACAAGCTCTCGATCACTTCATGGAAGTTCTCCTCAAATTCTCCTACAACAACCTTTTGTTTACTTCGGACAGTCCTATAATCACATTTATGTTAGTGAAAATGATTTTAACAAACTACAATATTCATATTTCTTGAAAGCTATACAAAGTTCTGATATGTTTTGTAGAGGAATAAAAAATTCAGTTTCAGATATTATAGAAGAGTTGGAGTTAATTGGAGTTGATATATTGATATATTACAATACTGGAATAAAATACTGTAGCAATGAATATGTTTACATTTGATAATATGCAATAGTCAATGACTGTAGTTGGTGGCTACAAATTCTTTAGACATAACTGGTTTATTTGTTTCCAGGTGAACCACAATGGACACCTGACCTTCAGTGCACCATGGTATAATTACATACCTCAAAGGTTTCCAATGTATGGATCCAGAGACGTCATTGCTCCATTCTGGACAGATTTTGACAACAGAGTTAATGGTCAGGTCTACTACAACCAATACACCAGCGGCAGTGTTCTCCAACAAGCTACACAAGACATTAATGAGTACTTCCCAGGGTTCAACTTCAGTGCCACCTGGGTGTTTGTTGCAACATGGTATGAGATGGCCTACTATCCAATGACTGGAACAGTAAGTCATCTTGTTCTACATGGGGAAATGCATATGATGTGTGTGTGTGTATTTCTTATTACCATATTAACTATAAAAAACACAAATGCATTTTTTTCAGCGAACAACTATCCAAGCAGTCTTGATCTCTGGTGGCCAGTACTCATTTGTGCTGATGAATTATGGGATAATAGCCCCATCAAGTCACCATGTACAGGTTAGAGACATTAAGATTATACGCTGCGTTCTACAAAACATGTCTTAAAGCTGCCATACTTACTTAAATCTGAATGCTGTCATGGAAATGTACAAATACATATAACATAAAGTTAATTTTATCTATGTGACATTTATTTCAGGCTGGATATGACACAGTCAACTCTGTACACTATTTCACCATCCCCGGATCCTTCTCTTACAATGCAACAGGAAATAACTCAAGTTTTCGCCTAGGCAGCAATGTCAATGTACCAGGTCGCTGGGGTTTCCTGATAAACCATGGCCCACCACTTAATGAAGACACTGGCAAGTCTGAAAATAAATCTGTCCTTGTTTTTTAACTACTGAAGAATGTTTAATATGTTGCTAATAGCTGACTGTATTGTGCCCTTAACAGTTCATAAAATAGTATTTTCTTGTTGTTCAGTATGTTCAATTAAAAGACCCCCCACCCCTCCCCCCAACAAATAACACAGAAATGTATTTTTATACATGGATAAAACATGGATATTAAAGCTTAGGTGTGGTGATTTATAAATGTTAAATGTTGGGGTACCCAGTAGCTCACCTGGTAGAGCTTGCACCCCATATACCACGGCAGAGTCCTGACCGCAGTGGAGGAGGTTCAAATTGAACCTGTGGCCCTTTGCTGCATGCCATCCCCCCCTTCCCTCTTTCCTGTCAATCTTTGGCCATACTATCAAATAAAGGCAAAAATCCCCAAACAAAATACTTAAAAAAAATAATAAAAAATACTTAAAACATAGGCAATATTTGACAAATTATTATTTTCCAACAGGATGGTCATTCTATTTGTTTTAAAATGTGAATTGTTTTATTCTTCATAGGACCCCTCTACCCAATTGCTGGAAACACAACAACTCGATCACTTGATGGAAGTTCTCCTCAAATTCCCCTGCAACAACCTTTTGTTTACTTCGGACAGTCCTACAATCAGATTTATGTAAGTGAAAAAAACAAATACAAAATCTAGATCTCTTGAATGCTTTTAAAAATTCTGGTATTTTTTGTGGAGGAATAAAAGATATATCATAAAAGAGCTGCAGTTAGTTGAAGTCAATACATTGATATACTACAATATGATTATAAAACACTGTAGTAATGAATATGTTGATATTGGAAAATATGCAGTTGTCAATGACTGTAGATGGCTATAAATTCTTTAGACAAAACTGGTTTATTTGTTTTCAGGTGAACCACAATGGACACCTGACCTTCAGTGCACCATGGTATAATTACATACCTCAAAGGTTTCCAATGTATGGATCCAGAGACGTCATTGCTCCATTCTGGACAGATTTTGACAACAGAAGAAATGGTCAGGTCTACTACAACCAATACACCAATGGCAGTGTTCTCCAACAAGCTACACGAGACATTAATGAGTACTTCCCAGAGTTGAACTTCAATGCTACCTGGGTCTTTGTTGCAACATGGTATGAGATGGCCTACTACCCAATGACTGGAACAGTAAGTAATCTTGTTCTAAATGGGAAAATGCATATGATGTGCATGTGTGTATTTTTTATGACCATATTTACTATAAAAAACACAAATCATCTCTTTTTAGCAAACAACCATCCAAGCAGTCTTGATCTCTGGAGCCCAGTACTCATTTGTGCTGATGAACTATGGGATAATAGCCCCACCAAGTCACAATGTACAGGTTAGAGCCATTAAAATGATATATGCAGCGTTCTACAAAACATGTCTTTAAGTTGCCATGCTTACTTAAAGGTCCAGTGTGCAACGGAGGCTCTATTAGCAGAAATGGACAATGATATTCATAGGTGTGATTTCATTACTCTATAATCATCTAAATATAGGAATTGTTATGTTTTGCAGGGCTATTCAATTGGCAGCCCACGAGTCACATCTGGCCCACTAAAACTTCCTATTCAGCCTGCAGCATACCCACTGTTTTTTAAGTTTTCTATAAGTATTTCAGTATTTATATTTTCAGTATTATGAACTGGGTATCTATGTTGAAATAGATGAGCGCAGTATTGACTTATCGACTTACGCAAATCAAACATTTCCTACTGCTACAGCACATTGAAAGCATGTCACTAGCAAAACACTGATTTTTATTACAAAATAGTTGTCACAGGAAACATATGGGCCACATATTTGCATATCCTTGCATATAAGTCTAGCTATCTTATTGGTGATGGCAAGCTGAGTGTGCCAGATATTAGCAGTGGCTAGATCCCACTTAATCCTACACACTGGACCTTAAAACCTGAATGTAGTAATGGAAATGTACATACAATACTTACAACTTGATTAATTTTATCTATGTGACATCTACTTCAGGCTGGATATGACACAGTCAGCTCTACTCACCATTTCACAATCCCTGGTTCATTCTCGAGCAGTGCAACAGGCAGTGACTCAAATTTCCGCCTGAGCAGCAATGTCAATGTAACCGGGCGCTGGGCTTTCCGGATAGACCATGGATCAAGAGGCTGCACTTTCAATGGTAAGACCAATACCACAGGGTGGTCACATTGTTTAACACTGGTTAAATGGTAATGATGCTTGCATGTTAAAGTCAATGTCTTTCAAGGAACTATTATTATTATTCACATTATATCACAAAGGTGAACCAGTGCAGCTTGGTGACTCATTCTGGAGCGACAGTAGCTGTGCACAGAAGTGCACGTGCACCTCAACAGGCCTGCAGTGTCAAAGCCAACCCTGTTCTTTTTCCCAAATCTGCCGGACAAGTGCCTTTCAGTTCTCCTGCCAGACGGTGCAGAGACGCACCTGCAGCATAAGTGGTGATCCACATTACTATACCTTCGATGGCACAGTGTTTCACTTTCAGGGCACCTGCACTTACGTTCTCTCAGAGCAATGTGGTCGAGGGCTTCCTTACTATAGAGTAGAGGGCAAGAATGAGCACCGAGGCAGCACTCATGTTTCTTGGACACGGCTGGTCAAAGTGTTTGTCTACAATGAAACCATCGAGCTTGTCAAGGGACGTCGTGGTGAGGCTAAGGTTAGCAAGAAGGACTACATCACTTAATGTAATATATTCATGTATTTTATGTATTTCACATCTTTACAACTATGTTGTTGCTTTCTGGTATTCTGTTTCCAGGTTAATGGAAATTTTGCAGCCACTCCCATCTCCCTAAGCAATGGCACTGTCCAGATTTATGAATCAGGTTTTTCTGTGATTATCAGTACCGACTTTGGCTTGGCAGTGTCTTATGACGCCAATAATTATGTCAGGATCAGTGTGCCCTACACTTACCAGAATGCAACGTGTGGCCTGTGTGGAAACTTCAACAATCACCCTGGGGATGACTTTCAAACCCGCCAGGGTGAGGTTGTGAGCTCTGATGTGGTGTTTGCCAACAGTTGGCAAGCATCAGGGGACGATGAGCCTGGTTGTGAAGCGCAGTGTGGAGGTCTGGACTGCGCTGCCTGCAGTGAGGACCAGACAGCTTTATACAGCAGTACTGAACATTGTGGTATCCTCCAGAACAGTTCTGGACCTTTTGCTGCTTGCCATCAACCATTTCCTCCACAGACCTTTGTGGAGAGCTGTGTGTATGATCTGTGTGTAGGAGGAGGATACCAGCCCATTCTGTGCCAAGCCTTAAATGCATATGCAAGTCAGTGTCAACAGAATGGTATACAGCTGCCAAGCTGGAGGAGACAAGGCTTCTGTGGTATGTCTGTCATCTCTTAACATAATTTTAAAATATCCTTTTGGATAAATGTCCATGATGTAAAGATCAATGTTATTTTCATTTGTCTAGAAATCCCCTGCCCATCCAACAGCCACTTTGAGTCCCAAGGCACAGGATGTCCAGCTACCTGTGTCAATCCCAATTCTGCCCTGAACTGCCCTCTTCCTGCCCAGGAGAGCTGCATCTGCAATTCAGGCTACATCCTTAGTGCTGGGGTCTGCGTACCCCATGCTGAGTGTGGCTGTAGCTTTGAGGGTCGCTACTACCGCTCTGGAGATACCGTAATACTAGACGAGGACTGTGGGAGACGTTGTAGCTGCAGTTTTGGCTCCATGACATGTCACTCCCATGGTTGTGGCCCACTAGAGTCTTGCAGGGTGACGGAAGGAGAAAGAGGATGCAGACCTAACAGCTATGCAACATGTTGGATAAGGGGCCCAGGGTCATATCATACATTTGATGGACTGACATACCGGTATCCAGGGGCATGTCGCTTGACCCTTGCCAAAGTAATGGGATTGTCTAGTCACCCACACTTTATGGTGACGGCAGAAAAAGTGCCCAGAGGCCAGCAGGGCTTTGCCAGGGTGCTAAGGTTTGAGGCAGAAGGAACACAAGTCTCAGTAGAGATGACAGGTAGCAGCATAGTTCAGGTAAGTAACAGAGCTAATGTAACAAAAATAATGTTGACACCAGAAAAAATTAAGTTTAATAAGTGAAAATAAACTTAAAATTATAATTTTTTTTTATGTTGCAAACCATTTTAATACAACACAAAAGAAAGCCTTCCACGCAAAAAATGATCCTGAACTGTTTGTGATGTAAACTGTTGTTGTCCAGTAAATCTGATACTAGCTGTATAAATGCCTTTTCAGGTTGATGGTCAGCGGATCCGACTACCATTCAGCTCAGCATCCAATCGACTCCAAATCTACCACAGCAGCATTCACAGTATCATCCTTCGCACCTCCTTTGGTGTAACTGTGCAGACAGTATGGCCTCACTTTGTGCGTGTCACTGCACCTGGTATCTACAATGGATCACTTGGTGGACTCTGTGGTAATTACAATGGTCACCCACATGACGACTTCCGCACACCCAACGGCATCCTGGTCAACAGCTCTCAGTCCTTTGGGGACAGTTGGCGTGATGGTTCCCTTGCTGCACACTGTGTGGACAGCGAAAATGACCACTCTACCACAAATAACAACTCTAGTGAGGACTGTGGTATTCTTAACTCATCACATGGGCCGTTTGCTCAGTGTTGGTCCATGGTCAACCCACAGCAGCATGTGAATTCATGTGTGGAAATCATTAGGGCCTCTAGAGATCCAGCATCAGCACTGTGTGAGGTCCTACGAGATTATGCACTAATGTGTCAACAGAGGGGTGTTGCACTTACACACTGGAGGAATGCAACTGACTGTGGTAAGCACTTTGCCCTATTTTGATGTGGGTGGCTTTAATATTAAATTTAATAACAATCAATTTCTTTGTGTTTGTTTAGAGCAAAACTGCCCTCTAAAGAGCCATTATGAACTCTGTGGAAGCTCTTGTCCATATGCCTGCCCCAGCCTCTCTTTCCCTTTCACTTGTGACACTGTGTGTCAGGAAGGTTGCCAGTGTGATGATGGTTTTGTCCTCAATGGCAACCAGTGTGTACAACCCACAGCTTGTGGATGCTATCATCAGGGACGGTATCGTTCAGGGGGCGAACAGTTTTGGGATGGCGAGGAATGTAACAGCTTGTGTACATGTGATGGCACTACTGGGGTAGTCCACTGTATCCCCAACTCCTGTGGACCCCAGGAGTCCTGCCGTGTGGTGGAGGGAGAGTTTGGTTGCCATCCCAACCCTCACGGCACCTGCTCTGCCTCTGGCGACCCCCACTACCTCACCTTTGATGGCAAGGCGTATGACTTCCAGGGAACGTGCCGCTATGTTCTGGCGACACTTTGTAATGCTACTGATGGTCTCCACCAATTTTCAGTGGAAGCTAAGAATGAGCCATGGAATGGGTTCCCAGTTTCAATCACAGCTGAAGTTTTTGTGAATGTGTGGGGCTATCGAGTGCGTATGTCAGGAGAGAGCAGGGGTATGGTAGAGGTGAGTGATAGAGTATTCTTCATCTTAAGAAAATATATAATTTAGTAAAGCCCCAGATAGTGGGATACGAATACATAATTTGTTCCCCAGTGAGTCAGAGCACTTGAAAAGAGCACAGAAATATCCCACTCTGTACATATCTGGGTTACAACTACTTATTGAAAATGTGTCTTGATGTTATTAACCAATATACTTTAATCAGATTTTGTTAAACTCGTACATATCAATTTAGTATTGGTATTAACTGCAAAAATACAGAATCAGAAATATCTTCTTCCAATTTTTTTCCCCCATTTGTATAGGTAAATGGAATAACTAAAAACCTACCAGTTCTCTTGAATGGAAGTCGTGTATCTATCTATGCAAGTGGACCTCGCACATTTGTCAGTGCTGATTTTGGCCTTACTGTCACATATGATGGATGGAGTACAGTGTCTATCTCTGTGCCCTCAAATTACAGGTATCTGCCACTCACTGCAGCTCAAATTTAAATATTTTGATGTCCAAACTATGTATATTGCACAATTATCAACAACCTCAGCACTCAGGAATTCTACTGCTGCCCCAGTGCTGACAAAGTCCAAAAGGAGAGAACACATTACATCAATTTCAAATTTCTAAGATTTGATGCCTGACAGTTTTCATATTGATTTTTAAATTATTTTACTTGTCTTTAAAGTGCTGTGATGGTCTTTATTTATTGTGTCTATGTAATTTTATCTATTTTATATTTTTTATTACATTGAGATCGTTTTCATTTGCATGCATTAGTCTTTAATTGTTATCAATTGTTGTCTTATTATCAGCTTGTCAGACATCCATAAATCACTTTGAATGGCACTAACATGTATGAAGGGTGCTATGCAAATAAAATAATGACATTGATCTAAAATAATGACATTGATTTTTTTCTCTTATTATTATTACCAATAGTGGACAAACATGTGGACTTTGTGGAAACTTCAATGGAAATTCAACTGATGAGTTTCACACCCCATCTGGAATGATGGTCACCACTCCAGATGAGTTTGGGACAGCTTGGAAGGTGGCAGGAAACTACACCTGCAGTGATGGGTGTGGTTCCTCCTGCCCACAATGTACCAATGAGCTCCCTGCTAGAGCTCAGTGTGAGGTGATTCAGGCAGCCAATGGCCCCTTAAGCTTCTGCCATGAGCAGGTGGACCCAGCACCGTATTTCAGTGACTGCGTGTTTGATGTTTGTGTGTCGGGGAATGAGGGCCAAGATCTTCTGTGCAGGGCCATTCAAACATATGTCAGTGCCTGTCAGTCTGCTAATGTTCGAATTTACCCTTGGAGACAGAACACTACCTGCAGTAAGTCAACCAGTCATTATGTTGTTTATGACACAGCTTAAGAAACAATCAAAGAGGTGCTGAAAAAAACAGTCTTACATGCATAATTTCTTTCATCACTTCACATCACTTTCTAAGGGCTTGAGTGTCCAGACAACAGCCATTATGAGCTGTGTGGTACAGACTGTGGCCATACCTGTTCCAGCAGCATTGATGCCATCTGTGAGCAGGTTTGCTCTGAGGGATGTTTCTGTGATGAAGGTTTCGTCAGGAGTGGGACAAGATGTGTTCCTGTGGAAAGCTGTGGCTGCCAATATGATGGATCCTACTATAATGTAAGTCATATACTTGTAATATAACACATGCATTAATTCATCTGATAGTCTCTACTATGATTTCAGTCTTTGCCATTCCCTCTGTTTAAGAGTCATTATACAACTCTTCTACATCATAGACGTTAGAATCCCAATGTCCCCTTCAGTCTGCCTGCTTCTATCAACCACTGCCATCAGTTTGTATATGTTCTGGGCTACTGTAGAATCAGTGGCTCTCCATGGCAAACTCCATGAAAGATGACCAACTACATCTGTAGATATAAAATGCTCTTTCTAAGGTAGCAATTTATTTTAAAATTTATTCTGGAATTTCAGCCAAAATGTAGAGCACCAAGGCCAAGGGGTAGCTCATTAGCTGCTACCACTTCTCATGTTTTCTTTGTGACTAAAAAGAGAAAATGCAATCAGAGATCAGTTTGACCCACGTCTCCCAGCTCCGCAGCTCCTAACCGTATTTAAGAGACCTTTTTTAGGCTATTTGAATCGTCTTTAGCCTGACTCATAGCTGCTAACTGGCTATCGTTAGCTTTTCACAGTCTGCTGTGAAGAGAACAAGCAGACATTAACCCTAAACCTAACCTTACACACTTTACAGCTGACTAAAGTAACAAAAAACAATTCCTCTGTTATTGTAACACCAAAGATGCTCACAATGTTAACTTTCTTAACCATCTCTGATTGCAATATATATTTGCGGGAGTGGGAGAAATCTTGCCTTACTGTTGATGTCCAGCATAATGACAGCTATGTAGTTGTTTGAAAGTAAAGACATGGTGAATCACATGATACAAATATGTCAAACACAACATTTCATTCCCTTTTCCCATCAGCAGCCTTTTTTGTTCTTTAATGTAACATAATACTCCATTTTTATCATTTTCCATGCGTCTGTTTTTCTCATACTACAGGATGGTGAGTCCTTCTGGACAGAAGGTTGCGCCCAGCGATGTGAATGCCATGCTCCCAACGACCTGCGCTGTTCTGCTGCATTTTGCACTCCTGCACAGGAGTGCACCATCAGAAATGGCCAGCTTGGCTGTTTTGATGCAATGTCTACCTGCACTGTGTGGGGGGACCCCCACTACATCACCTTTGATGGGGCATTGGCTCATTTCCAGGGCACATGCTCTTACATCATTAGTGAGAGTGTGAGCCCCAGCACCAATGAAACCCAGTTTCAGATAGCAGCCACTAATAATCACCGTGGCAACAACCGTGTGTCGTTTGTATCAGCAGTGGATGTATACCTCTCAAATCAACCAGAGACTGTTAACATCAGGATTGGACCCAACAAAAGAGTAACGGTAAACACCATTACTTTATTTTATATAACTTAATACATCTGTCTGGGTAAAACATCTTTCTCTAATCTCTCCTCCCTCAGGTAAATGGAAGTGAGGTGTCTCTTCCCACCACCGCAGGAACTTTAGCTCAGGTGATAAGGCAGGGAAGCTACATAGTGGTCGATGCCATCGACTTGATAGTCCAGTTTGATGGCTTGAGTACTTTACTAGTCAGAGTAGGTCAAAACCGTGAAAACAGAGTCACAGGGATGTGTGGAAACTTCAACAATGACCCTGGAGATGACAAAGTCTTGCCCAATGGCACATTGGCACAAAATGACAATAACTTTGGACACAGCTGGAAGGCACCCACAAGCAAACCAGGGTGAGCTGTTGTAATTTATGCTGCATATTCCACACACAAAATCATCAATATATCATCGTCAGTTTAAAACATTTCACCACAAAAAGAAAATATAATCTTTGTCAGCTTAAACAACAATTTTGCAACCCTCGCTTGTACTTCAATACATACAATACATGCAATACATTCGCAGTCATCAACGCTCATGTTGAAAGTTGACTTGACAACAGTATGCATAATACACAAAAAAATGTAGTAAAGTAAACAAAGTCTGCATTTTCCCAAACTTGTCTTTTACAGATGTGGATCCACTGATGAAAGGAGTGGTGATGGATTGAACAGCTGTCCCTTTATGGAAGAATACTCTGAGCTCTGTAGTGTCATAACCAACACTAGTGGCCCATTCAGTGCCTGTCACCTTCACTCTGACCCCCAGCCATTTTACACTTCCTGTGTCTACGATCTCTGCCTCTACACTCCAGCCAATGGCATGCTGTGCTCTGCTGTCTCAGCCTATGAGAGAACCTGCTCTGTGCTGGGTTTGAACATCCCACAGTGGCGCTCGGCTTTGCAATGTGGTATGTTTGTACTAATGGAGAGCTAAAATAATGCATGAGAAAATAAATCCTTAGGTTCATGGAGCTTGCTTTTTGTCCTACTTGTGGAAAATGTATTTTCTGTTTTTTACCCTATTTCCATAGCTGAGTCAGACCCCTGTGAACAGCTGGACTGCACAGAGTATGAGTGGTGTGGTGAAAAAGACGGTGTTTACGGCTGCTTCTGTGATGAGCACCACCATCGGCCCAACAATGAGAGCTACGGTGAGGACAGCACTGCTTTGTCTTTTAGATCACTTAATTGGTCTATGTATGAGATAGTATGGTATATACATGGTAACTATAACTTAACCATACCAGACATCAGCAATACCTTTTATTTTTAAAATAATCAGCCTCATTTCAGGCTTTTCATAATTGTGAAGAATTGGATCACTAGGTGGTAACTTCAACTTAGAATATCACACATGCTTCGTACATATTATATTGTCACACATTCATTTCTCTTTCATAGACTCGTCCATCACTTGTGTCAGTAGCTCAGGCACCATGTCAGTATCGCGCTGCCAGCTGTTTGAGGCTGGCTTCCACTCTAGTGCCCTGCATCTCCGTGAAGACTCCTGCAATGGGACTCTCCAGGACGGACGACTGGTCTTCCACTTTAACAATGACGACCACTTGTGTGGGACTGCTCTCAGGGTACAGTCCATTAACAATCGACACAGACTCAATGATATTTTAGATGTAAATGTTCTCTAAGACATGTTACAGCTATAATAAACTTATACCATTTTGTCATTTACATTTCAAGAGCAACGGGACCCATTTCATCTATGAGAACACCATCCAGGGTGACGTGGACCCCCATGAAGGGCTAATCAGCCGCCAGAGGAACATTCATCTGCGTTTCTGCTGTGAATACCCTCTGGCCCAGGCCCTGTCCATGGCTGTGGGCATCAACCCTGTAGAGAGGTGACAACACAATTTCTGATTGGTTTCCTGACTTAGGTTGCAAGGTTGCTCAAAGTAATAACGATAAAATGTCATTTTCATATTGAACATCTGTCCATAATGATATGTCACATCGTATGTCTTGCTACTAGGGTTTCAATATATACGTATTCTAATAACAGTATAATAAAGACCTTTTTGGCGACAATTGTGCGCTATGAAGACAGTGGTAATGACAATGACAAAGACTGAAATCAGGCTGTATAATTGCCCACCACCTGCATTCTGCACCTTTACTGATAAACCTAGCATTTAAACAAACAATACAACAGGAAATTTAGGGGAATCTGTCCCAGTTCTGTAGGTGAAATGTGAATGCGTACAAGATTTCCACCGAAACTTTGTCCAGCACATTTTATGTAAATTGTATAAACTACACACCTGTTAATTATTAATTAATGAGTAACTCTTGAGCTGCCAGATAAATGTTCCTTGTCACGTGTAGTGACATAATTTGCTGTTTTTTCCTAGCGTTGTGAGGAAGAAGCTTCCATCTGGCCGTGGACAGTACCATATGAGAATGATACCCTACCAGGACGCTGGCTTCCGTTTCCCCCTGACCAGTAACAGCAACATCGAAATGGAAATTGACCAGAGGTTGTATGTGGAGGTGCGAACAGAAGGAGTTGATGAACGGCAGATCTCCACCATCCTGGACTCTTGTTGGGCCACACCAGTCAACATCGCTGGCTACCCTGTCCGCTGGGATCTCATTAATGCAGAGTAATGCCAAAGTCTCTAGCCCTTGAAGGGCCTTTCTTCACTTGCTCCACCCATCCGTTTCACAATCTAACCCTTCTACTTTACTTAATAGTCTGGCTGATAACATTGAAATGTCTCCCTCTTTCCCTGTCTTCCAGGTGTCCTAATCCAGCAGATGATACAGTAGAGCTGGTTCAGAACGGTATCTCCACTGTGGCCCGATTCTCATTCAGGATGTTCACCTTTACCAACTTTTCATCCATCTACCTGCACTGCCAGGTCCACCTGTGCCTTCTGAAACACAACAACTGCTCCGCTGTAAGTACTACTGTGTTTGTGGGTGTTTGTAGCAGCATTATACTATATTATTAACAGGTGCATCAGCAGAAGCCTGTAATTGTGTTTTCTTGCAGCATTGCTACCCAGGTTACCACATGCGAATTAAGAGGGATGTATCCTACCATGCTGCTACAGACATCTCACTAGGACCACTAGTCCTGAGACAACATAGCCCAGGTAAAGTTTTCTTATCTTTTAATAACTGCTGTACTCTTGTAGATGAAACAGAGCTCAATTGATATATTTTATGTAACCTGGTTTGCACTTACTCTCTTGCAGATGGAAGGATGGAAACAAGTGGTGCCTCAGGTCAGTTGACCTCTGTGGTGACTCTGCTAGTCAGTTTGCTGGCTGCCAAAACTCTGACCTAGAGAGATCGGAGAGGCACAAAACCAGTAAACAGATGAATATACACATATTACTCCGGAACATATTAATCATTCAGTAGTAGCTTAATCAATGGGCATAGATTTAAGAATGGTCAGTAACCTTTTCTGTTATGATCCAATAAAAAGTGGAATGAGATTCCGTTTTGTGATGTGAAGGCCTGAAAAATGTATAGATATTACAGAATAATTGGAAATATATCCTGTACATTGCTTTTTATTTGTGTTCCTCCCTAAGAGGCTTTGTTTAAAGTTGTGGTAGTTTTTTCTTTGCAACATTAGAGGGCAGCACAAGATCAAATAGACATTTGGCTCTGTTTTCATGAAGTTTCCTGCCCACAGGTTTGTATTTTGTCATGTTTATGAGTTGTATCCTACAGGCTTTTCCAGTGATTTTTATTAGTCTAAAATCTATATTTTATTAGTGTTAATTAATAATGAAGATGTAAATGATATATGAGGTGTGATAAATTTGTGTGAAATATGAATCCTCAGCAAATCACTATATGACTATATATAATATTTGGATTGTATTTCTGTTTGAAAAGCCTTGTCCGACTGTTTTTACTGTGAAAATAGCAAAAAGCAAAGGCGACGACAATGTGCATCATACAAAAGCTGAACTCCCTTGCCTTTGTTATACTCACTGTCTATGATTTTTACTGATTTTTTCCTTCTACATTATTCTTATATCCTTTTACCTTATTTGTAGTGATTAATATAATTTGCTGTCATATAAGAAGTAATTGTGTAATAAAGGTTAAAAGTTGAGGTGATTTCATGCATGGAGTGTGGATCTCATATTTGTAGAATTCTGCCCACAGGGTGGAAAAGGATTAAACAGTATAGCAGCATTATGAACTGATACACACTGTACGCGAAGGTACAAGGGAACAGGATGTGAAGTCAGGGAATAAGGGGGACCTATGTGGGAACTTTAAAACATTAAAACAAAGGCCTTGGAACTGAAAGTAAAGTTGGGAGCACCACTAAAAAAATTCCATTTACTTTTATTTTACTCGGGTGGAGGCAGATATCTGAGTACTGGATGTCCAAAAATGAAACATGCAGGCAAATAAAACTGAAACTATTAATTATTAATATTACCTATTAATCTTGATACTGCTGAATATTTTAAGCCTTGAACATCTGCATACAATCTGTTTCAATAAAACAGAACTGGAGAAGTTTACAAGTCTAAAACTTACACTACTTCCTTATCTGTCATTCTATCATTAATGGAAGCAGTTTTTTACCCATTGTTATTGACTGTTGTTTCACATCTCATCTCACTCTCTGTATCAATTGTCATGGTTGAGATTAACCCTTAATTATGCAACATGGATAAAATAACTGGAAACTAAATGGAAACTAAATGTAAGATAAAAAATAAATTCTGTGTCCTAATTACAAGACTAAGCCATAATGAGAGAAGTCTAGTGTTGTTAAGATGTAACTATGATTTTTCCTTTTAAGTTTTTATAGGTTTGCCCAGGGAATAATTGTTAGCAATGCAATAAGCCTGGTAGTGCAAGTACATCTCATTCTAATTCTATCTATGCAAATATGCTCAGTATGCAAAGACAGCTGTCATATTGTTTAATTGATTGATTGGTTACAGGACATTGTTTTCCCAGCAAGATGCCATTGGATTTTCATAGTGTCACATTGAGGCATGCCTACTACAAATACTGTATTTTCAAGATTTACCAGCAGGGCGGCAGTGCAATATGTTTGTAATGGGCCCTGGTGCAAATATTTTTCTTGTATTCATGTACGATTACAGTAAGTGTGCATTTTCTACATTTTGTTTGTGTTCTGTAGATTATCCAGGTTTATAGGGCCATTGTCACTGCAAAGTCATTTGTCCGTGTTGGCAGCACCACAAGAAAAACAACAACACTTAATTCACCTGCATTATACTGGGGTAGAGGCAGAAATCTCAGAGATGGAATCAAGACATCAGCAAATAAAACCAAAACTATCTAAAAACAACTGAGAAAACATGTTCTTCTGTAATACAGCTCAACCAGTCCTTTCAGAAGTTCTTGATATATCCTGATAACTGATTACCTGATAGCAAACATGTGAGACTGAAACCAGAACCTTCTTGGCAGATAATTTACAACAATAGAGCAGATTATATATTCTCAACAGTTCACCCTGAAAAGTTTAGTAAATAAATATTAACTGGATTTTTTTCTTTAAGGGGGGTTAGTCCCATTTCTATGGCAGCAGACGTTACAGCATTTCATCCTTTTCTACAATGGTGACCAATATTGTTTTATGATATAAAATGTAAACAATACACCCCTGGAGCAAGTATCTCACTTCAATAGTGTTCTAACAACCTATTGTAAGGGCTAAAGCCTTTGGTAGAATATTACATTTCCTTTTTCTTTCTGTTGAACGCAGTCAGATAATCTTCATTCGTCTTAACGCACAATGGAATATTTGGTTCACTTGTTAAGGGGAAGCAATTGATTTTATCCATCTGAATGCCTGTAACTGGTCAAACAACATATTTATGGGACTATGCCAGATTTTACTGTATAAAGCCTTGTTGCATCCCTGCAGTCTCACATGGATGAGAGTTATAAAAACAAAAGAAGCCCCTATGAACAGGTAATTCATTTTGTACAAATTTATCAATTTGCTGTGCTGCATAATAGTGTTTCCTTGAAAAGTGGTGCTTATTGTGCTTAATTTCACATTTGTGCAATTTTCTCGTCGGTTGCACTTATGTGATTAAAGAAATGTTGCATATACATGCCAATTTTGTGTACTATGTATAATTTAATGAATATCTGAATCAACATGCATTCAAAACAGATTTTGCAAGTAAAACAAATTTTAGAGGACTGTGCATCACTGGCGGGGTATAAACACTTGTCCTTTCTGGTTTTTCTTTACTGTTGTGTCTGCAGGTTTTAATTGTGGGCTTTGGAGAATGGCAAGTCAAATCATGTTGCCTGTGTTGCTCTTGGGCATGATAAGTAAGTATTCCATTAAATCAACTTTAGTTGAATTCACTTTTATTTCTGTTGATGTGTTATGTTTGTTTTCATAGGCACAGTGACTCCTCAGACTTTAAGTAAGTTAAAGCTCATATAACCTCTTAGTTTTCATTTGTTCTCAATGTCTCAAAATCAGTAGTCAGCCGTGTCAGATTTAAATCCAATTATATTTATTTGTTTTCACAGGTACGGTGACTTCTCAGGCGACTCCTGAGCCCACTGCTGAGATGACTCCTCAAGTAACTTCAGGTAAGTTGAAGCTTGTATAACTTCTTAGTTTTCATTTGTTCATTCTCTTAACAGGCCACACATACAATCATGTCCAAATCAGTAGCTCGAAGCAGTTATTACCAGCGGTGCAGTGCAGGGTATATGCAGTTATATTGAGTATACCTAATTATTTCTCAGTTGGCACTGGGTATACAGACTTCTAAATCCCCTCTGATGTGCATCAGACAGTAGTGTTCTGTGAGCTGAATTTCTTTTTATAAAATGGCGAAGGCATGACATAGTTGTCCAATCTTGTGTGTCAAATGTTAATGTTACTCATGCAGCCAATTTTGAGTGAACTAAATATGCAAGAGTAGTCTTTCATTAAACTGTTTATAATACAGGGCATTTATCCTTTGCTGGATGGGCCGCATTAAAAAAAAACTGGGGTCACAAATTAGTATACCAAACTCTCTGGGCACGACTACTTATACTACTTATTACTTCAAGATTATTATTGATACCACTGGATTACAGCTCATACCACTGTTCTGTGATTATTTGTTTGTTAGTGACTTCTCAGGTAACTCCTCAGGTGACTTCAGGTAAATTAAGCTTCTTAGTTTTCACTATTTCATACTCTTAACAGGTCTCATATACAATCATCAGCCAAGTTATTACTTCAGGATTATAATTACAGCTAATACCGCTGTTGTAGGATTGTTCATGTGTTAGCAGGAATGAGAAGCTTAGAACAGAAGATATTAGCTGCAGTTTATGTTTGGTCTAATTTAAATTTATTTATCAATTTTTAAATTGAGTTTTTCCATTGATGTTAGCAGTGTCAGATTTTTATCCAATTATTTTTATGTTTTCATAGGTACAGGTACAGTGACTTCTCAGGTGACTCCCGAGCTGACTCCTCAGGTGTCTTCAGGTACGTTGAAGCTCATATGTTATAAATTGTTAGTTTTCATTTGTTCATCCTTTTAACACTTTTAGCACACATATAATCAGGTCAAATTCTGATTCAAATTTCAGTTATTACTTCAATACAATTGATGTAGGAATCAGTAGCTTTGAACAGAAGATGTTAGCTGCAGGTTATGTTGGGTAAAATCTTAATTTATTTTTCCATTTTAAAGTTTTGAAATATAATAGGGATGAGCAAAAGAGGATAATGAAAAGGATCTTCTGGCATGGTGCCAAAATAAAAATCAAGACGTTCCACCACGCAACACAGACATGGAACGTGAGCTCTGTGTCTGAGAGAGCAGGAGCTCAGTAGAATACAGGTCACTTAGGTAAAGGCTGCACTGAAGCACCAAACAATGGAGAGAGAAACTCCCTCCAGACAGCAACAAGACCAAGAAGATTAGAGTTAGTTATTTTATACTTTATTGTGTACGTTTATTTAGCTATTTAATTGTCAAGCATATACACTGGATTGATTTTAAATAAAGCTAAATAAATCTAAAAATATACTACATAAGAATTTCACATGCACTAAGCAGATGTGGAAAATAAGAAGGTAACAATAAATACCTAAAGTGCTGTTAAAGGTGTGGAAGTGCCAAACTTCCGCAATAGAAGCAGGGGATTTGCTTTGCTGACGCAATACCAGACTGAGAGGCAGTGTTTTACTCCCCCCTGGTTGCACCTGGGGTGTGATCCAAATTGTACTATGTTGCACATGTACCGACACTTGTACTGACATACAATCGTGTGCACTCAGTCAAAACAAGATCTTGAGGTGGTGTTAAATTGCTCTTTAACAAAAACCCTTTTCATGGCAGACATTTTGATTGTTATACAAGTGAAAAGTGTAAATGTTAAAAACACTATGCAACATTTGCGAATATGGAATTTGGCAATGAGGCCAATATGGATTGCTCTATTTTGTTGTTAAAGTAACATCTTGTCTGTTCTCTATAGGATCCCTCTATCCAGTTGTCGGAACAACAAGCGCTCGATCAGATGATGGAAGTTCTCCTCGAATTCTGCTGCAACAACCTTTTGTTTACTTTGGAAAGCCCTATAATCAGATTTATGTATGTGAAAATTATTTGATCAATCTTTTGAAGGTTTTTTAAAATGATAAGAATTTGGGTTATGTATAGTCAATATATTCATATATACCTATAATACTAATATAAAATACTGTAGCAATACATAAGTTGAAATTTAATAACATGCTACTGTCAAGGATTGTAGTCTATGCCTTTGTCTTTGTTAGTAAGAACTGGTTTATTTGTTTACAGGTGAACCATAATGGACACCTGACCTTCAGTGCACCATGGTCTAATTTTGTACCTCAAAGGTTTCCAATGTACGGATCCAGAGACATCATTGCTCCATTCTGGACAGATTTAGACAACAGAGGAAATGGTCAGGTCTACTACAACCAATACACCAGCGGCAGTGTTCTCCAACAAGCTACACAAGACATTAATGAGTACTTCCCAGAGTTGAACTTCAATGCCGCCTGGGTGTTTGTTGCAACATGGTATGAGGTGGCCTACTATCCAGTGACTGGAACAGTAAGTAATCTTGT